CTTCTGGTTTGATGCATCAAACAACTTATGACATTGTCAAAGTAGGGTCATCCTCTTTTTTTTTAAAAAAAAAAAACAGCCTTGCATATATTTATCGGGTATTTTTGGTAACTCGGGCATTGTCATGTTCCCTTACTGTTCTTATGTCCCGCTCCATTGGTAGCAGCCCAATAATATATTGACCTGGCTTTAACTTTTTTTTCTCTGTCAAATTGGGTCCAAAGGAATATTAGGCAAGATTAATATAAATGGGCAGACATATCTTTTAGCTTATTAAAGTAATAGCATGAAGGTCCGTGGAGACATTGTGACATTATTTAAGACTCATCTATTCTGTCAAACTTGGAGTGTTATACGTTATTTGGAGTGGCTAAAATGAGTATTAGAGTTACTCTAAGGAGTGCGTGTGTGTTTTGTTCCTTGATATAGTTTATTAGGCCCCACGGCCTGATTTATTGCTTATCAAATTATTTTGTATCATCATTTTGCTTTATTACGTACATTAGTATGATTATACACTCATCACTGTCTGTTAAGCAACCATCTCTATAGTAACTGAATGGCCTAGAAATTGATGATTATCACTGGTAATCCATTACAGTGACAACTGTCTCCCAGGAGAACATGACCTTCTTTTTCTCTCTCTCCCCGCAAAGTTGGTTTCTTTCATGATTCAATTCTGTCATGGTGCATGTACGTACAAATTGAACTTGATACATGGAATAGCTCAGTCATTTTATCATGAATACTATGACAACCTAGTATTATCGCTATGATCATCACAGATTATGATTCACACAAATTACAATCACAATATAAAATGTGTATAACATCGATATATAAACGGAAGTCGAAAAAGTGAATAATCCAAATATAAATTCGTCACACAATTTTAAAAAGGAAATAAATTCTCTATTTTAAATAGACTTTAAAATAGACATAATCATCCTTTGTAGGTCCAAGAAAGAAAAAAAGCCCAAAGGAAAGCCCTTTTAACTCAAGCTGATAATATTATCACTTTAGTTCCTTATCTTTTATTCTCTCTATTTTTGTTCGTTGATCCTTTGTACAACAAAATTCTGGGATCAAATAACTGCACGGTGTAACTCTTCCTTTTGGTTCCTTTTTTTCTCGACCCTCTCTGTCTCTCTGTCTCGCAATCTGTCTCCAGAACACAAAATAAAAAGAGGCATATAAAAATCAGCTTTTTTTTCCATTCGCGATCCTTTTTTTTTTCCTTTTTGTTCAATTCTCCTCTACCTTTCCTTTTTACAAAGAGATGAAGTCCATTGTTGCTGCCATTGCTGCTCTTGCTATTGCCGTAGTCTCTGCTCAAACCGGTGCTCCTATCACTCCCCATGCTCCTACCAAGGACCAAGTTCTTACTGCTGGTTCAACCACTGTCATCACATGGACTACTAACCCTGGCCACGACACCATCTCTTCTATCGACCTTGTTCATGGTGATCCTAATTCCCTCGTTCCTGTCGTCAATGGTCACGTTGCTGACAACGTCCCCACTGCTCCCGGCTCATACAACTGGAACATCCCTGCCGACCTCCCTGCTGGTACTGACTGTAAGTGAAAGGAAATCCGAGAAAAAAATCTAAAAAAAAAATTCGAGTCTAATTTTATCTTGTTGACCATAGACGCCTTGAGCTTTGGTAAAAGTCCCGATGTCACCTACACTCCTTTCTTCACCATTAAGGCTGCTGGTAAGATTGAAATAACGAGAAATTAATATTTTATACTTACATGTTCATTAGGTGCTTCCGCTGGCAACTCTACTGGTGGTGCCTCTTCTGCACCTGCTGCCTCTGCTTCTGGTAAGCCTTCTTCTGGTGCCTCTTCTAGCGCTCCTGCTTCCTCTGCACCTGCTGCTGCCAGCTCTGCTCCCGTTGCTCCCAAGCCTGCTGGTCCTTCTCCTGCTGCTGCTAGCTCTGCTCCTGCTGGTTCTAGCGCTGCTGCCTCTTCTACTCCCTCCAAGACCCCCTCTAGCGCCAACAAGAACGTCGCTGCCATGGGTGCCATTGCCGCTGCTGGTGCTGTTGCTGCCGCTCTCTTTTAAAAGAGTTGTTAAAGTGTGATCTTTTTAAAAATTTTATATTCTAAACATACACACTGCCTCAGAGTATATCTAATTTTTTTTTATATAAAACATTAATATATTATACCTTTTTCCCTTAAAGTAAGCTAAAAATCTCTTTTGTTTATTTTACAATGTGAAGCATGGTGTGTAACTCGGTACCCAAGAAAAAAAGGAAAAATCATGTCAAAATGACAAAAAAGTTAATCAAACATATGGTCGCTTTCCCCCTCCCTTTTGATGATTTATGCAAAAAAAAAAACTGTTTTATTGTATACATCCCAATTGTATATATGTGTGTGTGAGTTTGTGTGTGTGCGCCCCGAGAGTGGCGCTAATACATCCTTTTGTTAGGCTGCTTGTATCAGTGTAATGTTGTCTCCCTTTAGTAAAATGCGTCCTAGATTACATTTTAGTACACTCTTTCTTAAAAACTATATATATATATTACCAATCTTGACTCTAGTTTGGTTCTTTACGTCAACTTCTTCAGCAGCTTCAAGTACCAAATTCATGAATTCATCAAACCCCTAAAATAATATTCACGCGTCAATCTATATTCAAGCATTGTATATTCCTCTATTTACAATAATTTGTCCTTCAATTCTCAAATCAGTCTTTTCAAATAACCAAATCTGTACTCTTGATTTCTATATAAATATCCAAAGGATATATTGTGTAAATATGACATTGCTAAAAAGTATTACGTTGATCCCTCATTGACTCACATTTTGCAGGTATCTAAAAATAAGGTTCTAATGAATAAAGTTAATTTTGTATACATTTAACGCTATTGATAATATTTACAATGGGTTGAACCATAATCTTTTGAACTTTGGACGACATCTTTAATGCTATTCTTTTGTTATAGTGGAGTAAGAGTAAGAAAAAAAAATGTTGAAAAGCAAGAAAAGCTAGTCCTTCATTGAATCTCCGAAAAGCAAAGTATGATGACGCAGTCAATAGCATAAGGGATATCTCGATCAAAAAGAGAAGAAGAACGGCTCAGACACCCCTTTAATGAAGCGTTGTCAACCTGAGTTATATAAAACGTAATATATTTCGTAGAATTTCTGCAATAAATAATGCGCCCAGCCAGAATAATTTTTATTTTAGACAAAAAAAATGCATTAGACCCTCTTTGCTCCCCAACTACAGAAAAAAGTCAAAAAAAAAGAAAGGAAAACATGTCAGATAACTTACACTCGGATTGTATGATCATCTCCTGCAGATACATACTGCATTGGTTCAGTCGGACGCCAACTAATACAATTTACCGTGTTGTCATGTCCTTCCAATGCTTCCAATAATGTTTCATGATCGCGACTCCAAATGTAGACACGATTATCTATAAATATGTGTCAATTTCTCCCCCTTTTTCTTTTTTTTTTTTTTTGATTCACCTTCACTGCCGCTTAAAATAAGTGATTCATCTGTTCCTCCTATTGTAGATCGAATGATATATTCATTCTGTCTTTGTCCAGTGTATGTATGAACCAATCTCTGTGCATCCAAGTCCCATAAATGTACTTCTTGCACATCCTGGATATTGACAAGTGCGAATTTACCATCCTTTGTGATTGAAAGTGACGTGATAGTTCCTTCTTCTGTGATCTTGGCTACTTCAGTGATCCTTAGACCATCGACATCATATGTGGTAATACATTTATCCAATCCGATCGTCACCAACCTTTTGCCGTCTTTGGTGATCTTCATGTCTGTCGTACGCTGAGCAGGCCATCGCGCAATGGGTGAACCATTATCCACATTCTATGGAATAATAAGTAACATGATTAAAAAAGCATTTAAAAAAACCCATACCCAAAGACACATCACTTTTTCACATGCACCCGTGATAAAGTGTTCGTTATCTGGAAGCCATACAGCACTTGTCACTTGATCTTTATGTTGAGTGAATGTATGTAACAAGACACCATTCAGGGGATCCCATAGTCTGACTGCATTATCTGTACCGCAGACGAGTAGTTTTGAATCATCCGGAGACCAAGCGCAGTAAGATCCGCTTACTTCACTTCTAAAAGATTGCATCTGTTCCAATAGCTGATTCCTCTCTCTTAGTATTGGGCATTTGAAAGTAAAACCTTTTTATATTACCTCCATATCCCATATAATGCACGATTTGTCTTTTGAAACGGAGGCAAGATATTTTCCATTATTTGAATAAGCGACATGCCATATTTCATCTATATGCCCATGTAGTACTTTGACCATATGGGACGGAAAGACGTCTCTAATGTTTGTTATGGATCACCATTGTCTGATCTATATATTCTCCTTTCTTTTTATCTTGTCTTTACCTATCGCAAACGTGATCCGAAAACAGAGAAAAGTCCATATCTCTTCTTGGATTGTGATAAAGACACTGTCGTTTCTGCCACTCAATCGCTTGGTTGATTAAACTCAACAATCTGTGCTTTGGTATCATTGCCGAAGATTCAATATAATCTGACAAAGCAAATAAGCAACACAGTCTTTTCGAACGACTTGTGTATTTTACCTTGCAGTTCAATCAACAATTGTTCCCTTGAACTTCCCTTTGTTCCATCCCATTGTGCTTGAGCCATGACATCCTCTATTGATGAACACAAAACAAGACTAGATAGCTGATGAAGTCGATCTGTATTTTCTCCCAATGGTGTTATTTCATTTCTTAATACATAAAGAGCTTTCATTGTCTCATTTTGCTCGAGTAGCTCGAGGAACTTTTGCTGTCGAATCAAGAACTGCACTTTGGCTATCACGTTTGGACTATGATTCACAAAGGGCATATCACTTAATAACGTCTCGGCGAGAAACCAGTCGCCATTGAGAATACTTGAGCGAAAGTGAGATACAATATCAGATTCCAAAGAGATGCCAGATTCTGCTTGTAAGCAAGTTGCTGTATTTCTGAACTAAAATGAGCAATAAGAAATAACAAGGTTTTTGTATTTCTTACTGATAACCAAGATCTATCAAAGACTGCATCATGAGCCTAACTAACTCTTCTTTCTTTATGTTTGATAGATTGGCAGGTTTAGCGATGCTTTTAGATGTACTGGTTGCTTTGGGGGAATTGGCTTTTGTAATCTGCATAATTATTATTTCTATATAAACTATTCAACCTAGGAAAGAAAGAAAGAAAAAAAGAAAAGAAAGAAATAGAAGGTTCTTATGCAAAAAACACTAGCTCTGTCTCTCGCTCGTCTCTCCTCGTTCTATCTGTCAAGCAAAGTCACACCAATCCAATCAAATTAGACACATTCTCATAAATTATGAAGACAGAAATAAGGATTTATTTGGTACTCGTGAGCTTTCAATTTACTCAAGACAACAGATCAAATTTATTATTTAAAGGTCAAAGATTGTTGGACCCTTTATCTTGTTTTTAAAACATGTCTCAAGATAATATAAATGTTACAATGGAAATGTTTATTATGAAGACAAGCTTCAGATCACTTTGATAATGCTTTGAGGTACAAAGTCATGCATAAGAGCAATTTGATAAGAGATCCCCGAGAAAAAGATACTCTGTCTTGCCAGAAATCATAATGTACTTTTCTCTAGAGTATGTGATGTACTTTGGCTATGAAATGTAAATGTCAACACATCATGTCAAGTATTCAAACGAAAGGATGAAAAGCGACCCTTTCGCGTTTAGATGATCGTAAGCTTCTTTAAGCATCAATTATCGTAGCAGAAAAGGTCTGTCTTCATTGGCTTCAGACTATCAAAAGTAAGACGATTATATTCAAGAGTGAAGTCTGTCAGTTCAAAGGGTAACAAATTTCATTTTTAATAATAATAAAAAAGAAATGTCAGTGCATAACAATAAAATTTAGTCTAGTAAAGCTGATATCGAGGGTAACTTTCTTGGATTACTGGATATCATCTGCCAACGTTCAAAGCACTCGTGAGGGGTACGTTCATGCAAACAATTGGATATTCTTTGCCAGTCACTTGTTCCTACGTTCTGAACTGTTTCCATCAGTATCTCGTCTTCTTTCCTTGACCACATCCTTGACCATCGTTGTCCTTTATTATGTTAATAAAAAAAAAAGGAATGTCTAGCTTTATAAACGACTTACGGTCATCGTTCATCTTTCGCTTCTTATTATCATCTTTTAGTAACTTATCAGCCAAGAGACTCAAGTTGGTTAAATTAGTCGATTGTTTACGATAAAGTGCTTCCAATTCGATATCTTTCATTGCCAACTTGAGCTCATTCATCTTTATTTTCCATAATAGCCATTTTCTATCCTGAATCTCATCCTGCGACTTTTGTGTGTTTTCATTATTTACTAATATTTTTATAATAATTATCATTTGATTACCTCATTTGTAAATAATTCTAAATGATTCAGATGTTGAGTAATCACATCGAGCCTATGCCGTTTCCTTGATAGCATATCTATTTCATTCTTTAGCCTATCCATTTCATTCGAGTGCTGTATCTTGGATTCATTTTGCTAATTTGGTCTTTTTAGTGAGGTTATATTTAAAAGGAATCTCCTGTCTTACGTTATACAAGTAAATATTCTTTAAAGTATGAAGCGTATTTTCAACAGAAGGTGATTTAAGTTGATTTGCTTGTGAATGAATAATACGCTCTAGGTATCTTTCTCTCTCATGAGATTCTCTTAGGTTCTTTTCTAGATTATCATCTAGACACTCTGATTGAGGGTTAAACTATACGTAGGGTAAGTATGTAACAAATAACCATGTATTATAAACTAACAGGATATTGTGAATAAGACGTGATAGGTATCATATTGTTATATATTGTCCATGACTTTATCTCATTTGAAGTATCAAAAGGTATTAAATCCAATCTCCAAGTAGTTGGTATATCTTTATACTCCAGTATCTAAAAACTTGCTGTTTTTAATAACTAATAATTTATTATGCAACAGCATAAAATCTGATTGGCTGTTATACTTACTTTTTGCTTTATCTTATTCAACTCTACTTCTTTATCCATACAGCAAAAGAAGGGAAAGAAAAAAGAAAGAGAAAGAAAAAAATACAATAATTTATCATCATACGTCATAAGTAAATTTTTAATGCAGTAACTGACTGAAAGGGAGATTGATTTGCTTCTTTTTTTTTGACTTCAAAAATGGAGTTTCAAACAACCATCCATGAATATTGGAAGAACACGATATGTGCAAGTGAAGCTGCCTTGGGCTTGCTATCAGCCTTCGAATCTATGGAATATGCGATGATTGATGACGCTATAAAGCCTTTGAGAAGACTTGTCGGACACGGAAGAGACTTTGAAAAAGTGAAATCTTATAAACCACCTCCTTCCCAATCTCAGCCTACGACAATTAAAACTCATAGACCTATAATCCAAGCAGACTATGACCAACTTGAGCCTGGATGGGAGCGCCTGGATGACAATACAGTACGTGTGTCTGTTGACAACGGAGAGTACATTACAGCAATCAAAGTGACTACAGAACAACAATTGAAATCCATCGTTCCAGAAATCGAAAAAAGTGAATGTATCGCTATCGACTGCGAATTCCTTGGTGTCAAGAGAGAGATGCCTGTTCTCAAACTATTGCAAATTGCTGTATCAAAAGAAAAAGGCTATGCCATCCAAGTTGATCTTATCGGTCAAGAAGCTGTCACACGCCATCTGAAACCCATTCTGGAAAATGAGAAAATAAACGCTGTAGGATGGGCTTATCGTGCCGATGCCATGGCCATTGAATGTTACTTTAAGCAAATCGAACTAGCTCCTGTTCTTGATTTGCAGGCTAAATTAAAGCCAATTGCTGTTGAACAACTTAGCTTACATAATGCCATGATCAAGTTTGCTGGCAACTGGAAAGGGCTTCAAGCGTTCACAAACGTCAAACAGCTCCGTAATGCATTCAATTATTCGGCTGAAGACTGTATCTGGACTAAGGATCCCTTACCTGCAAAGGCTATGGTCTATGCTATCTTTGATGTTGTCAGTTTGATTGCCTTGAATGAATATACTGCTGAACATCCTACCGAGATGGACTATTTCTGGCCTTACTCCGTAACAAACGCCTCAGGGCGTAAGGCTCTCGACCGTTGGCACCGACAACGTGCGATTGGCAAATGCTCTCCCTCTGGTAGCCAAGATCTTTTGACGGTGATTGACCCACAGAAAAAGAACTTATCTGAAACACAAGCGTCTCCGAGCGCCACAAGCAACGATTATGATGATAGCAATCCTGACTATCAACGACAATTGCAGGAAGCAATCAAGCGATCCATGGTTGAAGCTGCATCGCCTACAGTCAAAACCACAAATGAAGACGAACCAGCTCAAGCAACCGATGTCGCGAGTAACTGGCATGAGGACGAGGCGGAGGACACAGAGTTATGCGAAAAGAATGACTGGATGAATGAATTGTCTGAGAAGAAGACAAATATCCATTTTGCTGCTCCTCCGACCAGCAAACATGAACAACCCTCTGTCGTACCCGATTCCTGGGACTCTAACGAAACAGAGTATCGATCATCTCCTAGATCCAAGTCGCGAGTATCCTCTTCCGAAGACAGTATGTGGGCCAGATCGTCGCAAAGATATGCCAACTTTCAAAAATCACCTCGCTTTGGTCATTCATTTCAGTCACATCAAAGCGGTAATAGGTATCAGAGTTCACGTTTTAGCAACAATAACAACTACAACAATCAAAAAACAAGACAGTATTCATCTAACCAACGCAGCCCATCAGTAAATAGCCCCAGCAGCGGCAGTAACAGAAAAATCTTCCAATCCAAGCCCACAAAGGATATCTACAGCACTGAGCTAAAAACTGGAAACGCTAGCCACTCTGGTGAATTTTCATGGGACCAATCCAAGGCAGCCGAAAGAGCAGAAGAAAGTTGGAGAGAGTTTGCAGACAAGAGTCAAGTACTTTGGGAGAAAAAAATAGATATCGATCCTAAAGAAATCGATACACGACCGCCTTCATCGTCACCCAATCCTCAAACACCACGACAGGCCCAAAAGTTTAACACGGTTGCGATCCCTTATAACAACAACAACAACGACAGCAATAACGAATGGGGTACTCCATCAGAAACGACGGATAAGGGACAGTCCAGTTCTTGGGAAGTGGAAGAAGAAAGGCCTAGATCGATGAGGATGCCAATGAACCAAATACCGATCCGACAACACTTTAGCGGGCCCAAAGTAAACAATCCAGATGACCTTGACGATGACGATGATGATGATGACAACAATACGGAAACAGCGACTCAACTGACAGAAGACCTGCCAACCTTTGTTGACACTGCCTATTTGGCTGATAACCCTTACACTCTCTACATGCATAAATGCAACATGCCTGAACATTTGCAGATGATTGCAATTCCCGAAAAGGACTACACTGTTGCCATCACGTATTACAAGGCCAGTATCGAAAATCGCCCGACCCTCAAAGCACTTCAGTTACTCATCGCGACGGACGAAAGTGCAGATTCTTATACTATCGTGATCGATCAAGCATGCTTATATCCAGCTACACTGAAAGACACCAAACTAGGTATTTTACTCAGCAATCCTGATACCAAACGACTCATCTGGTACGGCGAAAATCTTTATAGTGACATGGACAAACAACTTGGTCTTACCATGGGCACATCCCAGGATGTCTCGAGTATTATTGAAAAAGGTAATGTGAGTAATTTCAATGACGCTGTCAATTATTATTTGAAAGATTGGAAGGATTATGATCAATACAGAGAGAAACAGAAAGCAAGACAAGGAGTACAAGAACGAAAGTTTTCAAACTCGCTTTGGGATGAAAAGAATTTACGTCCTGCTGTTTTGGAATACAGTGCATTCAGTGGACTGGCATTATACAAATTGTATGAATACACTACAAGATTAAATTGACAAGAAAAAGAACAGTAAAGAAGAAGAAAAACGCATGGTTTTTTTTTCTTTTTATAATTTCATATACCATTTATTTCAATAAATGATTTTATCTCCTTTTATGTTAAAACACACACACACATATATCCCTTCTCTCTCCTCTATCTCTCTTTTTTCTCCCCTTGTCTCTGTGTTTATGTTTGTGTAAATTCATGCGAATGCGCCTGCTTATGTTTTATATATTATTACTATATACTCCTTACCATTAAAACGAAGGTTGTCATTCTAAAAAAGGGTTTAAATAAAATTGAATCTTCCTATTCTTTAGAGAAATAATATAAAAGAGGAGATGAAGAAAGAATTTAAGAGGGAGAATAAACAAAACAAACAATGATGCCTTTGTTTAAGGGGGGATTCAAAGACAGCAAAGAAAAGGCGACGCATAAATCAAAAGGGGAAAAGTATTTAAGAAAATAAAATCATCATTATTTGCATGAATAAACTTCTCTTTCTCTCTCTCTTTTTAATATATTCTTTATATACTTTTATATATGGGAGTGACTATTTCACGTGATCCCTCCATTACTAATAATAACAACATTCATTATGCTAAAAAACTAAAAACAGTCAAACAGAATAAAGAGCAAGAAAAGAGGTTGACATCGCGTATCATTTACGGGAGAGAGTATCATGCGATAGAGAATAGTACATATATGCTACCTAAAGACGATAAAGAAGTGGATAGACTACATGATCAACACTTTATTATCAAAGAATTACTAGGCTTGTAAGGTTCTCCTTTTCATTTTTGATGGATATTAATCAGTTCTGTATAGTAACATCATGAAAGAGGCATTTCATCTATTAGACTTTCAAAAATCAAATTTGAATGTATTAGATGTCTGTTGTGGTCCAGCGACTTGGCTATGTGAAGAAAGTCTAGAATATCCCAACTGCCAGTTTACCGGAATTGACATGTGTAGTCTTTGGCCTCAGGTGATTCGACCTGCCAACCTTCATTTTACAGAAGCGAATATACTTCAAGGGTTACCTTACCCTGATAATTCTTTTGGTAATACACATACACACAATCTTTGAGGGCAAAATAAGAAAGAAATCTAACCTCCCCTTTTAATAATAGATTTTGTTCATATGAGGTGCTTTTTATATACTTATATTTTCTTTATGCAAATTGTAACACAACTCGATAGGTTTGTTGTACTAGCCTTCAAGTCAAAAGAATGGCCATTTATCCTATCCGAAATCAAGCGCGTATTAAAAGACGGAGGCTGTTTTCAATGTGTTGAAGTGGACATGCGCATTAATGTAAAAACTTATTTATAAAAAAAAGGGAGGAGGGCTAACATGGTGTGGAATAGATTACGACAATAGATAATGTTGCAAAAACGTATATGGAGGCATTTGAATCATTCTGTGAGTCATATCAACTTGATCCCTCGGTTGCAGCTAAATACGATACGATGTTGGTTGATAATGATATGAAGATTATACAAAGTGACTATCGTGAGGTTCCGCTCGGCTGGGGAGGGCCAGTGGGTCATGCTTATTTGCATACATTTCAAGGTATACTCGAAGGTTTGGCTCCTTGGCTCAAGAAGTCGTTGAATATTGAACAAGATGAAAACTATCATGTCTTGCTTGATGCCACTAAACGCGCCTTGGTTCGATCAAGAGCGTTTATCGGTTTGTATGCCTTTTTAGCACAAAAATAGTCAAATAATGGCAATAGCATATATATTTATATATTATTCTAATAACCTCACATATATAATCATGTAATCCCTTCCCCCTTAATTTTGCCCCCTTTATTTTATATATATATTTATTATCCCTTTGCATATAAATAAATAGTTGTGAGTGTTCATTATTTTTTAAACTATTAAAATTTGACAAGGCAAAAAAAAAAAATGGGAGAAAAGTTGACATAAAAGAAATAGCCCCCCTCTTGTGTTGTCTATTTTTTTACATGTAGGTTTTTAACCTCCATATCAAAACGCGCGATTCAAGGACGTAGTCACACCAGTTACTTTTTTCTTTTTTTCCAGTTGAAACGCGCGACTGACTTTTTCTTTTTCTTTTCCAATACAAAACTATGCCCAGAAAGAAGTCAGTTTCATATACAGAAGGTTCAGATATTGACGAGTTTGAGAACTTGTCTGTTGGCAGTCGAGAACACCAAGACACAGACGAAATATTAACAGACGATCTATTACAAACCAGTTCAGAAGATGACAAGAAAAGAAAAAAGACAGCGAAAAAGAAAAAGACACTGGTGAAACGCAAGACGACAACAAAGAAAGAAACGACTCGAAAGGGCAGAGCCAAAGTTACACCTGTCAAAAAGGAACCTGAGTTTTGGAACAGTAAACGAGTGGAAGAGTTGAGAGAAAATTATCCAGATAACTACTGGACTTATCATGCTGAATCTGGACATCAAATGATTCATACCATCAATGAAAACCATGTGTTGGAGAGTATACCTTGTACGATCAACGATCAAGCACCTATCACAAGCATGGCGCTTTCCCAAGATGGTACTCTGTTGGCTACTTTCTCCAATATTGGTGCTGTTAAGATCTGGGATGTTGAAAATGATTTTGCCCTCGTGCGAAAACTGAGAGACACAGAAGAAAAGAACATTGATGAATTCTACTGTGGAAAGTTTGTCGCAGACAGTGAATATATGACAGTAGGAGGCAAATTAAAAGACAGACATCGTTGGTCGGCAGAGGATGACGATAATCATATCCTGCCTTGTCCGATCAAGATATTCAACGTGATTGATTCAAAAGTGGTAACCAAGCTGGAAGGACATACAGAAGAAATCTTGTGTATTAAAGCACTCGAGTTTGATGGAAAGAATTACCTTTTATCAACTAGTCAAGATGGTAGCATCATCAAGTGGCACATGGACAAGGATTGGATTACATTCTTGGATAGCACAAAGATGGATGATAATATCACTTGCATGGCCTTTACTGTTTCCTTTGTACCAAATACGGGTAATAAATACTTTTTGGCTGCAACAGATGAGCATGTGAGACTATATGATTTTGAAAATGCACAGGTATATGGATAACATATAGAAAAAGGATAGGTCTTATTCTTTTTTTTCTTTTTCTGTTTTGTAGCTACTGCAAACCTTTAGCGATCTATATTCATCATACTGTGATTGTGGTAAATTTGTTCGTTGGTTAGATGAGTCCCTCTATTTTAGTCAATACGAGGATAACGACAAGGAAAGAGGTGAATACGCTTGGTTTATTACTAGAGGAGCAGAACTTTGTGATGTGAGTGAAGGAGTCTGTAAGTATGAAAGCTTATTAGCTTCCATTTTACTTATAGTTCTATATAGCATCCAAACCAAACACATGTACTTTACATAAACTAGTATATCCCACACAAGACGGCGAACAGTTTAAATTTGAACAAGTCAAGAAATACCAAGACGAAGAGTAAGTTGTTTGTATAAAGCATTTATTCTCTCTCTAAACAACAAGAGTGTAGCTATCACTCCAATTCATGGTTGGTAAAAATTGCTTCAAACGGAAGATATCTACTTGCACCTACAATCTATGGACAAATTTTTGTGTTTAATATGTTATCAGGCCAAGTAACTGCCATTTTAAAAGACCACCAAGGTATAAAAAATAGAAACATTCTTCATAAAGTACTATTACTCACCCGTTTGATCATTTAGATATGGAAGTTCGTGATGTGATATTTCATCCTTATAGACCTTTATTATTTTCATGTGGAGATGGTAATTTACATATTAGACTATAGTACTATTACTTATTACATATTTGTAGATGGTTGTGTAAAAGTATATACTTATTCAGAAAATGATGCTGGAAAAGTGGATGTAGAGCAAGACCTTGACGTGGGTATGATTGAAATTGAAGAGCAATAAAGAAGATATATATATTTTTTAGCCGTGTTTTCTTTCTAAAGTGTATACAAGCTATGTTTAATCTGAATATGGCAACATAGACAAAATATTAATATTCCAAAGTAAAATTAAAGACATGATATTTAAATACCTTAAACCCTTTTTTATCTATTTTATTTTAAAATGGCCTCTCAAGGTTACAATCATTTATAATATGTTTAGCAGTGATTGACTTTTTTTCTAGTTATACTTGATCAGATTCGTGAAATTGAGTTATTTATTGACGTTTGGGAAACTCAAGGTAAGGTCACTTGAAGAAATGACCCCTTGAAAAAGCTCAATGATGAAAAAAAAGAGTCAGGTACACCTCTATCTGCTGTTGAGAAACAAGATCAGTTACAGAAACCAGATGAAGAGTTATCAAAAGATGAACCTATCATCTGTATTGAACAGAAGGATCCTAAACAGGACCTGTTCGAAAAGCCTAAAGAATATGTGCCAATAGATCCACTGATCGAAGAAAAAGAAATGATCCAAGGGACTTACGTTCCTGACGAAAAGGAGCCAGACCCTACAATTCTTGAGAATAGCGCCAGAGAGAAATCTGTTCCTGATACGATCACGATATCTGACGAAGTAATACCGTCTAAAATAGAATTACTAGAGAAAGAAGGGATATGTGAAGAAAAAATAGCTGAAGAGCTGGACAAGGAGGCAATTGATCCACAGTCTATATCATGTGCATCTCAGCTTCAAAAGCCAGAAGAAAAGACGATAGAAAGAGAACCTGAAAAGAAGAAGAGTATCTTGAGGAAAGCCGTATTGGAAAACTATAGAAATGCTAGTGAAGACAAGGAAAAGATTCTAATTGAACAACAGACGAACGCATTGCCTTCACCTTCTTCATCCTTACGCAGTCTACATATTCTTCCTGATCGATCCATGATATCCATCAAGGATGCTTATGCGTCACCCGTCAAAACTGATCCAGGTATATTATCGAGACAATCATCAAGAAAAGACAACATGAGCGACACTGCATCCATTTCAATAAAATCTTTATCGACAAGGTCATTTCTTAATGAACAGCCAATGCAGCCGTCATCCAGACCTGTGACACAGTCAAGAAGAGGATCCATATCCAGCAAGAAATCATCTCAGTCGATCAAAAGCGCACGACGACACAATGAGAAAAAGGCATCTCAGGCAGCACAAAAGTATATACCGAGGACATACGAGGAGATGATGCGCATACCAGACATTTATGAACGAATTGTTTTTTATGAAAAGACGCTTGACCTGTGTTTAAGAACAGAATCTCCAATCACACACTGGAGTCAGTTTATGTCAACAAGAGGAAAACCAAAAGCCCTTGAAGAAGGTAAATTATACAGAAAAAGAAAAAGAAAAAAAACTAAATAAAAGAGGGGAAAAGGGTATGTTCCAATGCCTAGGTCTGATTCTCCTGAACCATCTCCGTTTGCCAGTTCGAGTACATCTCTTAGTGGATCGATATCGATGTTTTTGAAAAAGGCAGCTGGTTCTCAAGCATTTACGAGAAGAAATACGATGGATAAAAGATCTTTTTTAGCACCAAGTCAGAGTACCTATGGAAGCGGACTCTTTCAACGGTCCATCAGCCGACTTAGTCTTTCCCGATCGACACAGATACCTAAGTATGACCAGTACAAAACGCCGAACCAAAGAGTGAACGCACTGAACAAGAGATCACCTAATTCTAAAAGAGGATCCATTGGTGTGACGAATACTACATTTAACAATCGAATGGATATACCCAAATCTAGCATAAGTGCGCCTCGACCACTAGGAACTAGCTCTACAAGCCCTTGTAGAGAGCAGTCTCCAGAATTGAACTATTTGATGGGCGTATTTCCACATGAAGATATGCGTACTTTATTAGACGCGTTGAATGAAGCGAATGGGGATCCGATGAGTGCCATTACCATTGTAATAAATAAATAAATCCATAAAAGGAAATCAATATCTATCAGCCTCAGCTTTTCTCTCTGTCTTTTTTTCTCACTCTTAATGAACAACCAAGGATTGACGTGTTATCTTTTATTTGTTATTGCTACTATTTTGTTGGTAATAAATTACAATAATAACTTGCTATCTAAACTCTTGTTTTTATTTTTTTATTTTTTTTTCCTATATATGAAAGAGTGCATTCCAGTATGGCTATCATAACGGTGCACTGAACACACCACAATCAGTTATATCAAAATGTCAACAAACAGCTACAATCTATCAACCTGATTGCATACCCATGTCAGATTCGAAATATTCGCTTGTTGTTGCCATGTTAACAGCAGGTGGTCTTGTAGGCGCACTTGGCTGTCCTCATTTCAATGACCGTTATGGACGACGATTGACCTTATTTAGTACCAACCTATTTCTCGGCATAGGCTCTCTACTGTTGACCTTTGCTACAACTCCCTATGTGATGATGATGGGACGATTTCTAGCAGGTATCGGCGCCGGCATGGTTACTGTGATTGTGCCTCCTTATATTTCAGAGTGCGTCCCACCATCTAAGCGCGGTCTGTTTGGCACATTTAATCAGCTATCGATTGTGATTGGTATCATGATTGCACAGATTGTAGGCTTAGTGTGGTCGACGCTGGCCAGATGGAGATATATTCTTGCGATCGGCATCTTGCTCGCCATACTGCAATCGTGTCTCCTGCCCTTCTGTGTTGATTCACCTCGTTACCTCGCATCTCTTCCAGGAGGCTTCAACAGAGCAAAACAGTCATTATTAAGATTAAGAGGCACATCCATTGAAGAAGTTGAGGAAGAGATCGCTGCCTGGAGACGGGAGTGGGCTAATCAAGTTCAAGACGAGACACTGGTAGATGAGTACCATCATGGTGGAGTCATCCAGTCTGTAGACAGCGGCCATCAAAAGGTGACCAGCTGGAAGTTCTTGACATCGCCATTCTATCGTCGACCACTGTTGATTATCCTACTGTTACAGCTCGCACAGCAACTCTCTGGTGTGAACGCAGTTGTATTTTATTCTACATCCATCATGTCGTCTGTCTTTCCTGAACTCTCTGGCGTCATCACAGTGTGTATCTCTGTTGTCAATCTCATCATGACCACTGTCTCCGCCATCTTGATGGACAAGGTGGGACGCCGTTCCTTGTTTCTGACATCCAGCAGTCTTATGGCTCTTATGGCATTTCTTCTAGGTTGGAGCATAACGAATGGATATGACAAGACGTCTGCTTTTGCCATTATTGGCTTTATTGCTTCCTTTGCTATAGGTCTAGGCCCTATACCATTTCTTATGATACCCGAAGTAGTAGAAACTCATGCAGTATCTGTTGCTTGCTCTGTTGGATTAGCTGTCAATATGACATCGAATTTTATTGTATCTGCCGGTTTCCTCAGTCTTCAAAACACACTAGGACCTCAAGCCTTTTACGTATTTAGTGTTGCTCTCATTGCCCTCACTACGGTTGCTGTATTTATCTTGCCCGAGACAAAAGGAAGGAGTGCAGAAGATGTGATTCGATCAGGATACTCTATATATCCTTGTAGCTACGAACCTATTAATTCTTTTGAATAATCCATAAATAGGAATGATAATAAACCCAATTATGTGTGTAACCGCAGCCTTTTGCTTTTACAAAAGCCAGCCTCAAATGATTCCAATGCATAAGTTTGCATGTTCTTTCTTTTTTTCTTTTTGTCCATTTCTTATGTCACTTGATCATAAACAGCCTATTTCAACCCATCCTCATCTTAAAGACCTTATATCTGGTCAAGCAATCAGTCCGAATGAATGGATCAAGCATGAATTAATACGTATTCAAAATGATATCCGACCAAGACACTGTCAAAGCTACAGCGAGCTTGTACAAATGATAGAAGAGCCATTCCGATTTGAAGTCTATAAAACATCAGTCACTGGATCGGCTCTTTCCTACAAGAGAAAATCCGTCATGTCCTATTACACCTTACAGCTACATAATATAGAGCAGGTTAGAAAGAGACTGGTTGCAGATAAAAGACAACCTTCGTCCGTACTTTTATGTCGCGCCTTTCTTGGTCTTTGGCAACATTATCACTGTACCAGTTCGCCTAGACAACTCTTGTATGAATTTGACAAGATGCGGGTAGACATGAAGTTACGAAAGCCGGTGCATCCGTTTCATTTTAAAGCTAAATTAATGACTATTTTGCTCGGAAAGGTCAAGTTGACCGAGAGATTGGTTAAACCGTGGCAATGGATATGTGAATGGGTGACTACAGCTACTGTAGATGATATGAATGAACAGGAAGGTACTCAATGGATTCAGCTGAGCATAAGTATTTTTATTATAGCCAAAAAACTTTATATCAAAGGACTATCACCACCCTGATGATCAACAATAAACCGTTTTGCACAGCCATCTTTTTTCATTTCAGACACTACGAAAGGCCGTGTAACAGCGGTGTTTTTATTGCTTTTGCTTTGCCTCAATTCCATTTTTTTTTTTTGAAAAATAGAGCAACCGAGTGTCATCATCAATATCACTCTCATAAACTGTATGTTAGAGGGTTCTTGATTACATTCCGCCTTTTAAGAACAACGTGAACCAAATACGTTCTGAAATGGTTGACAACTTGGAGAGAGAAAAAAAGGGGGGCAAACAATCCGATTTTGCATAATCGGGAATACTTATTACTTTTGGCAAAGAGGCACAATTTGCTATATTTCCAAAAGTGTTCTTTTCAGCGATGATTTCAAAAGTTGGAATAATGATTGAATAGAGCTACCACAGTACTAAATTATAGGTTTTACTTGGCCAAAAAGAAGGTTTATACAACACACATTGACGTCTTGTAAAATGTTTATGTATAGAAACAAGCATATCATGTTTATTTATAGTCTTCCTCTACACTACTTTGACTTAACTCGTTCATAGTAGAATTGGATATATTGCTAGTGTCATAAATAAACTGTCTATATTTCTGATATGGAAATGGTCTGGCTTTTTCTATTGTATCAGATGGAAATAGCCACTCCAGAAACATCCAGATTAAATAATCCAAAGCCATGACCATACAGAATATTTTGCCCGCGTATAATCCACAGCCATAATATCTTCTTAATCTTTCTATTAAAGGTGAGCTCTTTGTTTGTGAAATAGTCAAATACACTTTCTCTGTCCTTTCGGCAACATTGGACCAGTTATACATGTCTTTGATTTCATTATTAAATTTACTAGGATCTACTTTGCCAAATTTAAACATATGAATAGCTTTTGAAATAGCAATGACAAGATCTAACATATTTATAGTAAATTAAAGGCTGTAATATTTATAGCTTATACATTACCATCTTCTTCGGGTATAGCGTAATTTATCATATGGCTCGGCAATACTTCAGGTACACCTCCCACCTTTGTACTTACCACAAAGAGCCTAGATATATAATTTTGATTCAGCTAGAATACTTTGATTCCTATAATACACATTACCCTGCACAAGCTGCTTCTACAATAGCAATACAAAAGGCTTCTGTTAAACTTGTATTCAAAAAAATATTTCCTTGAATCAGTACGTTTCTAACTTCATGATGCTTGATTGGTCCCAGTAACTCGACGCGATCATGTAATCCATGCTTTTCTCTCATCTGTTCCAGGTCGATTCGTTTGGGTCCATCGCCTCCGATAATAAATCGAACGTTTTTATACATCTCACATATTCGTGGTATGATCGCCACCAGCAAATCAATGCCCTTTCTGTATACCATTCTACTGATCACCACAATTGTAATCCAATTAGGATCTGGGGCTGTTGGATCAGGTAAGAATCGAGATGCGACGATAGCATTTGGTATGACAGATACATGCTTTGGTGATAAAGCTGCTCTTAAAACCGTATTCTCTTTACTATTCAAGGCGATAAATCTTTTTCTCTTTATATATATATATTCTTTACCTTGTATGAGATACGCACACGACATGATCGACATCACTCATTGTAAATTTTAGTAGCTTATTAGTAAGTATAGAAGATGCATCAGCAAATCCAAACAATGAATGATCAGTGAATACAGCCTTCAGACCCATCGTTTTGCCATGTAAGATCGCTTCATGACATAACGCTGAAAAGGCTCCATGGCCATGAATGATCTCTATTGATTCGCGGATGAGGATATGTCGAAATAGTGGGAAAAATCCATAAATAGTAGGTAACGTCGCCTCTGCATAAATGACCTTGGCAGGAACATGATATACTTTTAATCCATTTGTCAAGTATCGAACACCCGTCCTGTGTCCATACGCATGAGTTACTATGATCACCTTGTTTTATTATTACTATTATTTCTTTTTGTTGCATATACGTGTTTAACTATACCTTATGTCCTCGTTGTATCAATCGTTGAGATAATTCGTATAAATGACTTTCGACTCCACCCATATTTGGATAGAAAAAATCAGACACCATACTACATCAAGATGTGTAAGATGAAGAGAAAAGAGAAATGAGCAGATTGGATCAAACTTACCAGACATTAAACATTATTTTTTAAAAGAAAAGAGAATATATATTGAGAAGAAAGCTGTCAATAAAAAAAAAAATAAGCGTATATATTTTTTTTTCTCTCTTTTCTTTAATGTCGATAGAGATTGAATCTGAAGAGTAAATTGAGCTTTTTATTATGTGCACACATACAAAAGTTAATCTCTTTTATTATCTTTAGCGTCATTCGACTCATTTTACAATTTCTCAAAGAAAATCAATATGATGAAACAGCAGCAACTCTTCAAACAGAGACATCAGTCAAGATTGAACATATTGAAAATAAAGATCAGTTTATCAAGGAAATAAAGCAAGGAGAATGGGACACAGTTCTACGGCATGTCATGGACCTGAAGATCCCTTCTCAGAAAATGATTGATCTATATGAACACATCATACTTGAACTAGTCGAGTTACGCGAACTAGGAGCAGCACGAACACTTTTGAGGCAGACAGAGCCTATGTTTATATTAAAGCAAAGATATCCAGAACGTTATTTACGATTAGAGCACACCCTATCAAGAACATCATTAGATTCTAGAGAGATATATCCTCATGGAGTCACCAAAGAGAAAAGAAGACAAATGATCGCCCAAGGTACAAAAAAAAAGTCAAATGGTAGATAACTCATACGCATCCAAAAACAGCATTGGCAAGTGAAGTGACCATTGCTGAACCTTCTCGCTTAATGAAATTACTGAATGATAGCATAAAGTGGCAAAGACAACAGAGACTACTATCTACAGACATGCCTATTGATTTATTTCAAAACCCAGAACAGACACAAGAGATTGAAGCAGATGCTTTCGTTAATCAAAGTTATGTTACAATTAAAGTAAGAAGAGAAGGAAAAAGAGATGTTTTTTTTATTGATCTTTTGTTTATTAGTTTCCTGGAAAAAATACATATGCTGAATGCACAGCCTTTTCTCCTGATGGTCAATACTTTGCTACAGGATCAGTAGACGGGTTTATCGAAATATGGAATCACTTGACAGGAAAGTTGAGAAAGGACTTGCGATATCAAGCAGATGAGAACCTGATGGCTATGGATCAATCCGTTATCTGTCTAAGCTTCAGTTTAAATAGTGAATTGCTCGTATCAGGATCTACAGATGGAAAGATTGCTATTTGGAGAGTTCAGAATGGATTTTGTCAAAGGAAATATACACCTGCTCACAGTCAAGGCGTTACTTCAGTCCACTTTAATAAGGATGCAAGTGAGATACTGAGTTGCAGTTATGATCATTCTGTAAAGATTCACAGCGTAAAATCTGGAAAACTGATTCGAGAATTTAAAGGACATAAGGCCTTTGTCAACTCAGTCATTTATTTCGCAGATTACACACGAGTCATTAGCGCAAGCAGTGATGGAGAAGTCAGAGTATGTATTGCCTTGATTTGTTATCAGTATATGATTTTTATGTATATATATTTAGATTTGGGATATCAGCAGCGGTGGCAGTATCTCTTGCTTCCCTCAAGGTAATCTTACTATTCACGCGCTTTTAACCATATCAGAGGATTCAACCCATTTGATCATGGTCAACAAGAGCAATCTATTACATATACTGGATGGCCAAGGAAAGATCATCAAGTCATTTGGACACAGTCAAGCCAAAGATTTTGTTGCAGCAACCACATCTCATAACGGCACCCTTATTTATGCTGTATCTGAAGAATCGACCATGTATTGCTTTGACGTACATACTGAAGCACTGGTTGGCCAAGTTCAATTAAGCGATAATTCAGAAATTATTGGCATAATGCATCATCCATTATCAAATATTATAGCTGCCAATAATGACGCTGGACGTGTATTTCTTTTTAAAAACTCTTAATAAAAAAAAAAGTAAAGGTTTATTCATCGTATTTGGAATGGCTGTGCTCAAGATGAGCTTGGGCTCAATGCGCTTATACGTTGGATCAAGGCTGTCATTCTTTCATCCATAATCTTGATGTTATTGTCAACTGCTTCCTCATTGACTTTCAAACTCTGGGTCAGCTATTTTTTTTTTGTTAATAAACCTTTATTACCTATTATTCTTTTTTGTTACCAGTTCACAAGTAGTAGTCAAACTCTTCAGTTCATCCGTCATCCTCGTTTGTTCTTCAGAAATCACCTTGATAGACTGTCCAAACGTGGTAGCGTCAGCATGTAAAGTCTGTAGCGCTTTAAGACGAGTCAATAAAGCAGGTGTAAGGTTCAAAAGTGGATCTATTTTCTCCATCGTAGTAAATAATTGGTTGATCTATCAAAATGATGTATTAGTATGAATACATACATGACTTTCATATACCTTTGTTTCTGTATCATTCAAGTTATCCTTGATATCATTTGCTGATACATTAGCTGGATTATTTACAGTGGAAAAACTAAATCCAAGGGTATTGGATATATCTTTGCGACTGGCTTTGATTTCATTCAATCTATCTAGATCACTATTCAAAACCTTGACTCTTCTGGCTACCATCTCAAGTTGCCTGGGTTGAGCCAGCAAAACAACCTGCTGTTCTAACTTTGCTAAAGAACTGACTAGTGATGAAGAACTTAAGCTAGCAGGCTAAAATAACATGTCAACACACGACTCTTCAAATGTATCTTCTTTTTACCAAGTCTTCTAGAGTTTGACCAGCGCTTGAACCGATAAGTTTTTCTATTCTGGCGATACGTTCATCAATATCAGATAACTTGTTCTCTTTTGTCATCTTTGATACTTCAGGGGTATAATAAAGTTCATATGTTACCATCTAATACCACAGATAATTAATCATTAGCAGGTACCACTTTAGATTTTACTTACATCAGCTTTACCCTTAGGAACCACTGCGGTGTCTGAATCGGGTGATGGTGCAGAACTCGTTGGCATGTTCTTGTAAGCTTCGAGCTGTTTAATCAACGATTTGGCCTCATCTATTGATTTGGTATAATTTGGCTGATCTTCATCTGCGTCATTCACATTTTGGCTCAATCGGACTAAATCATTTTGAAGATAGGCTATTTGAGAAAGGATATCTGATTGGGAAATGGGTTCCTTTGTGTCTACAGGTTCCTATTATCATTATAAGTTATACATCTGTATACAATTCATCTATTATTATTCTACTTTGGCCTTTTCAATCTCTTCATTCAATTCCTGAACCTCATACATAAGACGACGTAGCTTTTGCAATGGCGTCTCTTCTAATGTCATATCTTTAGGCAGCATTTCATATTCACTTGTTTCCATAGCAGGCGGACGTCGAACAAAGGTACGATACATGGCCTTCTTTCTTCGAGTCAAACGATCAGAAAAGTCTTTGTTTAGTCAGTAAAATTATCGGGCTGGAGTACGTTTTGTTCAATTACCTGTATCTGTGGCATCGACAATACTGTGTTTGAATCTATTTGCAGCCTCCTTAATAGATACACGAGATTTATCTACATCTTCATCTTCATCACTAGACTTTAGATATAAAAATAAGCCAAGTGAAAAAAAAGAGAGAAACTATTAGGTTCATACTTCTTCATTTTCAAATGAATTGACTGGATTGTCTTCAGTGGCATCTGGTGTTTCGTATACATCAGGTTGATCATCCTTTTAATGCGTCAACATCTTATTCAAATAGAGAAACATATAAAACTTACAATATCAGGTAATGCTGAATACTTTGATGTCATTTGTTTCCCAGGTTTGAAATAAAAAGGAAAGCTTAAATCAGGAACGTGACTAGAAAGACTTTAATTGGGAGCTGTGAAATAAAGAGGAGAAATATAAAAGTGCATGGAAGGGCGTACATTACAAGTCCCACAATAGCTACTATTACAGCCGCACTTGAATACTCTAAAAGATGAATATAAAGTATTGGCCAATACTACACATACATACTGAAAGCAGCATACCCCTATACATTTGCTGCCACAGAGAGAGAAAGAAGAGCTGTCAAGACTCTAGTTGCTTGAAACTCACACTTTGATCATTACAAATTTATCTTTGGATATGTTTACGTGATCAAAGCTTTGGCATAAGTATATAAAAAAAGAATTCAAGAAGCTAAACATTCATTTCCTTCACAGTTATGGTAAACAATGCTACTGTTTCTCTTTCACCCCCAGCTGGTCAATTTTATTAGGCACTATCATCCCGGTATAGGGTTTCTCCATTCCGGTGCACTTATGACCAACGTGGAACAAAAGGGAACACGACTCCAGTCTGTTTTGAAGAAAAGAATGTCATGATGTTCTCATTCTACAGCTCTATCTAAGTTTTGTGGCGTACAGCTTAGATACAAACGACTGTACATCAAAAAGAGGGAGCCTTCATTTTAACATTAAAATGAATAATAATAATAATAATGAAAATTTCAAAATGTGCCAACCAAGAAAAAAAAGAAAAAGGCCTGTAGGATTACTTTCCCTCAATGCTCAGGCAGTAGTACTACGTTAAACAAGATAACCATTTTCAAAAGGTTCAATGAACAAAAGAGAAGCAGGTTGTTACACTAACTGATATGGTAGATGCAAGTAAAAAAAGATGGGGCACGTGATCGTGGTAAGTCTTTGGTTGCATTGTAAGCCGAAGAATAAATAAGTCTCTCGGTCTCTCTTATTTTTCCCGCTCTTTCTTTCCATTAATTATCCTTTTCATCATGTTCAAGACATCACCCAACAACGTTCCCAAGGAAACCTTAAAGACCACTTTGTGCTTTTCGATTGCAGATCAAGTAGGTGCACTTGAAAACTGTTTGGCTGCCATCAAAGCTATGGACATCTCTCTCACTCGAATTGAATCGTAATATAAATCATGATCTGATATAACCATCATACTCATATCTTGGAATAGACGTCCTAGCCGTACTAAGGAGTGGGATTATGATTTCTTTGTTGATTTTGACGCCAAAAGCGCAGAACAGGTCAATCAAGTTGTCTGCAAGCTCAGAGATCACACAAAGGAAGTACGTGTCATTGGTGCCGATAGCACTAAAGCTGGTAAGTCCTGACTACCGTTTATCTTTTTATGCGTGAGAAAATTGACCTTTTTTTTTTTTTTTTATAGACAGCGTCCCATGGTTCCCACGCAAGTTGACAGATCTTGACACTTTTGCTGAAAAGGTGTTAGAGATGGGCGAAGAACTCAGTAAGCGGATCATCATATTCCCACGGTAGAGTCATATTTATTTTCAATCTTTAGGTTCTGATCATCCTGGTGCCCACGACCCTGTCTACCGTGCAAGACGTGCTGAAATCACTCGTATTGCCAAGACCTACCGCACTGGTCAATCTGTACCTGAAATCGATTACACTCAGGAAGAGATTGAGACTTGGGGCAAAGTATTCCGTCGTCTGACTGCACTTTATCCTACCCACGCTTGTCGTGAACATCAGTATGTCTTGCCTCTCTTGATTCAAAACTGTGGCTACAGTGATAAGCAGATTCCTCAACTGGAACATATCTCGAGATTCTTAAAGGACTGTACTGGCTTCACCGTTCGTCCCGTCATGGGTTTACTCTCCAGCAGAGATTTCTTGAATGCATTTGCCTTCAGAGTATTCTATTCTACCCAATATATTCGCCACGCATCTATGCCATTCTATACACCAGAACCTGATGTATGCCACGAACTACTCGGACACGTTCCATTGGTAAGCTATATTCCCTTTTTTAATGTATTATATATCAACACCCATTCTATAGTTTGCGGATCCTGATTTTGCAGACTTTTCACAAGAAATTGGCTTAGCATCCTTGGGTGCCTCAGATGAAGATATACAAAAATTAGCTACCATCTTTTGGTTCACAGTTGAATTTGGTCTCTGTAGACAAGATGGTGAATTAAAGGCTTATGGTGCTGGTTTACTAAGTTCCTTTGGTGAATTAGAATACTGCCTATCAGAAAAACCTGAACTTAGACCATTTGACCCGGAAAAGACAGCAGTACAAAAATACCCTATTACAGAGTATCAACCTGTAAGCAGAAAAAAAAGCCCATGTAGCTATTTATATTTATATTTTATATAGGTCTATTTCGTAGCTGAGTCATTCAAAGATGCTCAAGAAAAAGTACGTGAATTTGCTTCCAAAATGAATAGGCCATTCTCAGTCAGATATAATGCCTTGACTCAATCAATTGAAGTGCTGGATAACAAGGAAAAGGTGGTGCGATTTGCAAGGAGCATCCGTGATGACATGAAAACATTAACAACCGTATTGGAATCACTAGCTTAAATAAACATTTTTTTTATTGTCTTTCTTTCTAAAAGGAGGGCATAAAATTAATTACAATCAATTTGAGATGATCCATCTCTGTAAAGTTCTGTATTCCACTTGGGGAACACACGTTTATAAAGACACATCATCACAGTGTCTTGTTGTGTTAATGTGCCGTCAAACACACACTTCATGTAACCATGAGTACCCAAGGATTCCTTGATGTGACCCACTCGACCATACTTTGTTGTTAACTGCACAGGCTTAAACCAATAGATATCCTCAACATTGAAGAACATGTATCGGACAACAGCCGATCGTTTATGGATCTTGAAAGGATGACCACTCAGAATGATTCGTTTAGCAATAATACGCTTGACATCTACATCCATAAATGTGCCTGTGGACACAAGAATAGGTTCTGTTGACTACCATTAGCATATGCCATCTACCCTCTTTCCTTTTGCTTACCATTCTTATTTTCTGTTTCCTTATAAAACATGACTGGTGTCTTGCCAAATGCAATAGGTCCATATACTGTAGCAACATAGGATCTTCCTAGTTGAAGGAACCTTTCGAATTTATGAACATTGTTTGATCCCTTGTTTGTATTTTGGGAATAGATGGGTCGAACATTATATCTTCTGAAGCCCATATGCATTACCATTGGATCCTATAGTAGTTATGTAAGCACCAGCGTCTATAGAGAGATATATAATTTTACCTTTGATTTGACAGGCTCTTCATATGCATTGTCTCGTTGTATTTGAATATTAAGAAGTGACATCTTGTGTTCATACTGTAAAAGACCAAACACAATAAAAGGTCTTGTTCTATCATAAGATTCTACAAAAGAACGTCAGCTTTGCACCTCTTGGTGTATCACTCATACTTACGGAAGGCTTCTACTGGTACATTATGAATCCAGATAGTAATTCGGCTACCAGGCTTCACATTGCCAACAATGGCTTGGTTCAATACACGAGACTTGGTACGACCATAGTTTTCAAATTGGAAGATTCTTGCATAGTCCACAGGCAAGTTCTCATAGGGATCCCAAGGTGAAGTTCTGAAGGATTGAAGACCACGATAACGAGCAAAACGTTCTCTGGCTGGGATATGCATAGGCGTATCGATTTCATCAGGAAATTCGTTATGTGTTTCATAGTCCTTTTGTCTCTGCTTGAGATATTCTTCATACTGTCTAGCTTCTTCTTCAGCGTCCAGTTCATCCTTGTACTGTTCTTTACTATCCATCTGAATTTCTTCGTATTCTTCTTCTGGAGGGAATGAGGAATAGGCAGGTTCAACAATATCGTCATCAGCGTCTTCTGTCATCATCGCATCATTTCCATCCTCATCCTCAAACTCATCTTCACTGTAGTTTTGATCATCATCATCAACAATCCAGGCAGCTTGGTACGAAGAAGTACCTTTAGGCACACGCTTGGTGTTACCATCTGTTTCCATAGCCTGCATACGACGCACCCGTTCATCAGCATCAGCCAATTCTTCTTCTGTAGGCCATGTCTGTTCGTTATCCATAAAATCAGGTTCATTTTCAGCAATCAAGTCATCCTGTTCATCAGGCTTTGGGGTATCTATCACTGCTGCATCAACTTCCATATCACCCTGCTGTGATTCGAGTGGTGCACCCGTTATTTGCTGAATCTGGAAATCACCAAAATTCTGAAGATGGACAAGTCTGTTCGCATTGAAGGGGTTTCCGCGAGCATACCCAGTTACCTTGAGGGTACCTCTTTCTGGTGTAACAGGGTCAAAAGTGACCTCATCGGCAAGCATATAAGGATGATGATCACGCCAGGACATTGGCTTGGGGCGCTGTGATGTGATGAAACGTAAGGTGTTCATGGCATCTGTGTCGGTATCAAGCGTAAAGAGATGTTCTTCTTCAGGAAAAAACTGTTGAATGAATGAGGTCAATGATTTCTTTGTACTGGTGCGAAGCTTTGGTTGAACTCTCTCAATATGCTGAACGACAGGCACAACATTGACAATACCTTGGTTGAGAATGCCCAAAAGACAGTTGATACCTAACTGATCGACTTCGACATCGGCTGACATTAATAAAATACCAAAATCGGCAACTTTGAATGCGTCAAGAGTGTCCAAAAAGCGTCGCTTAGTTAATGGTACAAGTTGAATCTTTTGCTTAAATCGTTCTACGTTCAGTACTGTAGGTTCTTCAGACGCATGTTTAGGTGCCTCTTGGCCTAAGGACTTGTAAAGAGCAGAAATGGCCGTATGCACCTCACTGTCAGGACACAGTGGTAATACAGGCACAATCTTGGGAGCGCCCTGACGTCCCTCAAAGATACGACTCATTCGGGTGATCTCTTCTCGTTTCTTTTGCTGCAATACCTTGGCGGCATGTCGACGATCGGCTTTGGACAGTGTCTTCATACCTCCGCTTTGCTTGATGGAGGCTCGGTTCACTTTACCCTTGGAGACTTCTTTTAAAGCACCCTTGGTGGCATGCCGACTCTTGAAGGGTTTATTAGACTGATGTAAACTACCAGGTCTGTGGCGATGCATAGTATAGATGTTCTGTTTTCGAAAAACGAAAAAAGTTTTTGTGCTCTTGTCTTTTGCTTTTACAGTCACGAAGGGACATCTTTTGTGACTTGTATCACAGCAGTAAGCATAGACTTGATGTGCGGTTCATCACAAAGAAACTCAAATTATAAACTTTATCATAACATATCCTCTTTTTGTTCTAATAAAGATTTGTATATAAGCTTATATGCAATTAAGCTCTCCTACACAAAAGATCACTTAATTATGCTTGATGGGTTTGACTATGACATTGTCCCAATCTGAGTTTAGATTGTGTACCAACTTTTTCAAAAACTAAAAAAGTTGTATTGTTCAACTCTTACTTGTTTAAATGACCATTAAACCTTTACATGAGCTAAAGGGCCATAAAGCCCCAGTACTTACCTTAGACTATTCAGATAAGACATTTCTTGGAGACAGCACTCTTGCATCTGGCTCAGGTTTTTTTATGGTCTTTATGTATTAAACCCACTTACTAAACAAACCCTCTATCTAATATATGAGCAGAGGATAAGACATGTCGTCTATGGGATCTTAGAACAAATAAAGTAATTAAAGGAATACAAAAACTGGACAATCCGGTAATAAAAGATGAAATGATCCCCTTTTTTCTTTTCTTATGCTCTTTTCCATATTCAGGTTACTTCTGTCAAATTTGCAAGAAAGTCTGACTTGCCATTATTTTATCTTTCATCAGGAAATAAGGTAAACTAGAAATAACAAATGTTACTATCAAGTCGTACCCACTTTTTTGAGAAAAGGTTTATGTATACGATTTAAGAGCAGAAGGCCCTCTATGTACTATGCCTAGTAAAACGTTTGAGTTTAGCAACGATGAGATTAACAGTGTAAGGATACATTGATTTGATCCTTTCTTTAAATACAACGAGTATCTTAACACTTCCATCCTGTAGATTGATGTGAATGAAAATAATAAGTTTTTAGCCACCGCTGATGATGATGGAAACGTGAATATAAGTATGCTATACTAAATATGATTATGTTCACAATCTAATACAACAATGACATTCTAGTCGACCTTGGCAGTGACAAAATATACAAAAAGACGACAAAAAAGCATCAAACTGTAATGAATGATATACTGCATCCTTACACCTCTTTTTGATTAACTTTAAAATAGATTTGCATGACTACAAAGTTTCGTCCTAAAAAATCATGGGATGGTATGTACTTTAGATATAAAGGCGCTCATGGACATTGATTGATTATTACTAGTATGGTCTGGTGGAATGGATAGCAAAGTCTATGAGTGGGATTTCTCTCGTGGTCTACCAACCAACATTTACGACATGAGTAAAACCAATGAGCATATATATATACTTCCTTAGATTATTTACTCTATTATAGATCCTGAGGAACCCACTACTGCCCAAATGTTCAATCCTCCCTTTGTCTATTCCCTGGACATAACGAATGATGGCAAATGGGTAGCTGCAAGCTTGGGAGATACAACAATTCAGATGATATCACCACCAAGCAAAAAAGTAAAGTCGACTTCAAAAATTAGACTCATCAATGGTCATAACACAATGGTGAATTGCATGTAATTATATTTGATGATGATATTTAAAAGTGTACTTGACATAATCCATAGGTCCTTTATAGAAACCCCAAACCAGTCAGCATCACTAATTTCAGGAGCAGCCAATGGTGGATTAGCCATTTGGACTGGCTTTTATAATTGTTCTTCAACGACCCTTGAGCCAGCTCAAACATTTCAAGTTGATACAGCCACAATGCAAAAGGTGAATTGGCTGAAAGCTTATCATAAGGACGACCAACTTCATGTAGCAATAGCCGGTGTAGGCTCAACACCTGAATCAGGTTCACTCTGCATTTATGCATTACCAAAAGTAGTAAACTAAGCCACCTGCTCTTTAAAACTATTTGGGTAACGAGAGAGAGCCTATGTCTCAGTTTTTTCTTTTTAATCAAATAAAATGATTATTCCTGTTCGTTGCTTCTCATGCGGCAAAGTCATTGGTAACAAATGGGATAACTATTTATCTTTATTACAAGCAGAATATACCGAAGGGTAAATATACATGTAAAAGAATGCGCAGAAATGACTAATCATTTAATTATAGTGAGGCATTAGATGCTCTTGGACTTAAGCGTTACTGCTGTAGACGTATGGTCTTGACTCATGTTGACTTGATTGAAAAGCTTTTGCATTATAACCGTAAGTGCTTGTGCATTTAGTAAAGAATTGTCCTAATGTCTGTTTTTAGCCTTGGAACGTACTAGAGATCGTGGACGCTCTTAACGTAACTGAAAAGAAGCAGGAATTCATAATTTGTAAATAAAGCCAACATTTTGCCTCTCGACATTACTCTCATCTATGAGTGCACACCTTGAAATTTGTATTGCTGTAAACTGAGAGAGAAGCAATATACGTGCGTGTCGTTACAAATATTGCCCTTGTATTACTCATGTGTAGGATAAAAAGCTTTAAAATTGATGCTACAGAAACAGATAGGTCAGGCAAGATTAATATCATTAAAAACCCCTTTTCTAAGAATGATAAAAGCCTATTGATTAAACTCATGAAGCATTATTATCATAACATGTACCTAACTGTTGCTATTTCCTTAGTACAGGCTTCAATGCCCCCTCTCCCAAATGATGTTGCCTGCCCTTTCTTTCATTGACAAAAGCTGTTTAAAGCACCTTGACAGTGCTTAGATTAGCTGATTGCCTAACTTTCATCCATTTAGTTCTTTCTCTTATATTTTATTGACGTATCATCTGATCATATTCATTACTTGATTAACTGCCGTATTGCTCTAACAGTATACTTATTCAATTTATTACCATCATTTCTATTAGCATCCTTTTCATTCTCCTTGACTGGTTATTGCTCGATGAAAGCCTTTGACTTTACAATTTGTAAATAAGCAGTTGAAACTGGGATCTATTATGACTGAAAAGTTAAAATAACATAGTCCTTTATCGTACTTTATAGCTACAGAAATCATGATTTGTGCTTCGTTCAGTAAAGCTTGAACCACTTCAGTTGTTGCTTGGCATAACAAAGAAAAAATGTAAAATGAATTGAAAATAAGAGTTTGACAATAAGAGCATAGTTGATTTAAATTCGTTTTTACATCCTGGTGCTGTTGAAATATGTGTAGAATGATAGTAGATTGGGTGGCGAACTTATTATGATATGCAATACTTCAATATAGTTACTTTTTCCACTCACTTTGAACTAACAAAACTCCCCCGAAAAGAGAAACAAAAGATCAATATATATAACAATATGAACACGAAGACAAAGCTAGCGCAAATGTCATATTTTCACGTATTTCAATTCCTAATCTATGTCTTTTGTACCAGCAGCAAGAGCCTCTTGTTGTCCAATCTCCCTTTAGAAAAAGGATATCATCATTCATTGTATATCTGTATTTTACTTTGTTTAACCTTTCAGGTATAATGTACCAGCACTTATGAAAAAAGCACATAGGAATAAACACTCTGATAATATACACTCTGACGTTGTGTATGTGCGGAAAGAATCACACAGACCAACAATCATTGTAGAGGTACAATAACAAATTAACCAGAAGTTTATGACAAGAGCAATGAGGTACTGCGCTTCCATCTATAAACAGTACGCTATTTTGCTGATTATTCTCCTCAAATGTATCAAAAAATCTGCCAATACTGAAATTGCACACGAATTCACTAAGTATGTGTTATTCATGAAGGGTTATTCTATACGCTGGACTAAAAACACTTATTGTTAGGGCAACACTAGATTGCAAGGCAGCGGAACTGTTCAATGTCTTCTTCGTCTTGATCCTTATACTTGTCGTATATCATGATAAATGCTAGCGGTTACTTTGGCACGAAGACGTTCAGCGTCTTTGTACTTGGAGTTGATCTGTTAGTACATCAATGTTTCGTTTCTTAAGCTCTTGGACGAATTCTTTATTAATGGTCTCGCTAGTTGTCCATTCTTCACCTTCAGTTTTTGGAACTTCACGAGCAAATCGCCGAATATTTGCTTGTATGGCACTGGGTGAAGATTCATCCAGTCCTTGCTGTATGCCTTGTTGGAAGGAAAAGCCATCGACTCGTTCAGTTTCTTCAAGCTTAAGTTTCTTGGCAAACACTTTGAGAAGTTGCTCGACCTCAGTTCTGGTATAGGTTTACTTATTATCACTCAATGGGGTATTTTCCATATTTTGTACCACGATGCGCAACTTTTACGAAGATATGAAGAATGCATGTATTTGTGCTTTACATATATATTGAAAAATAAAGCGGCTTTAGGAACATTATACCACCACATCAAAGTGTGAAACGAAGACAGCAACAATTGATTTACAAAGGACAAAAAGCTCAGTACATGTGTTCCACCCGTAAAATGAGTCAAATTTCTCGTTTGTCGCTATTGATATTCGTTACACAAGTGGATGGCGATCACCTCCGTGGTTGTCTTTCTTGCTTTTCCAAAAAGAGCCAAAAACTGATTAATCATGACGACGTGTACATAGTTACCATTTTTAGACAGCTATGATTATGCAGAGCTTGCTTTGGTAGAGCGGAGATCGCAGTCATCTGATATTAATTTATTTGTATTAAAGCAACTTTATTTTCTATTTTTTCTATTTTTTTTTTTTAAAAAAAAAACTATCATACAACCATGTCTCTTAAGGACGCTTCAATTGGGCAACAAATTGCTATTGCTGGTGCAGCTGTGTCTTCTATCATGACGCTTTTAATGATAAAATATCATGATAGACCATTATTCTATGAACACATGGAAGGTGTTCCTCATCAGAAAGGATACCCGTTATTAGGCAACCTCCTAGAGTTTACGAAAAACGTACCGCGACTCTATGACTATCAATTGGATATACATGAGAAATTGGATAGCTTGACTCTGTAAACACACATGCACTTCACTCTATTAATTTACTGATCTGTGATTATTCAGGACAATGCCATCAGCCGGTATGCCTCGACAAATATTTACGATTGATCCCCAAAATGTGGAATATATCTTAAAGAGTAAGTTGTAATTTTATAGAAACAAAAACATATTTAATGAAATCCATTTTAGCAAATTTTTCAAATTACCTCAAAGGCCCCTACTTTGACAAGAACTTACATGAACTACTGGGCCACGGCATCTTCAATGCGAATGGAGAACAGTGGAAGTGGCAACGAAAGACAGCGAGCCATGTATTCAACATAAAGAACTTTAGAGATCAATTTACAGAGTAAGACGATAAGAAGATAATGTCTTGAAATAACACTATCTTCATAGTGTCTTTGTAAAAGAGATGCATCTCATGTGCGATCATATCTTGGATAATGCTGTCAAGACAGGTGGAATCATTGACTTTCATGATATTATGTTCAAATTTACATTGGATTCTTTTGTATAGTACGTTTCTTAGGATTCTTCAGAGGAAAAAAAAAAAAGGGAAGCTAATCTATATCTGCTCTATAGCCTGGGATTTGGTGTACAGTTGAACTCACTTTTAAAAGAAGGCAAGGTAGAATTTGCTGAATCCTTTGATTTTCTTCAAAGAAGGGGCGCCGAACGATTCATCGACCCTATGATGGGGGTCAAGGAAACAATTTTTCATTTCTTTAGCCGTAAAGAGAACACTACTAGTTACAACCTTAAAATTATAAACACATTCGCTCAACAAGTAATTGATAAACGTCGAAAGGAAATTGCGGCGAATGAAGCCGACCCAAAGGACTTGCTTTCTCGATTCATGAACGCAACAAACGAAAAAGGAGAGCTATTAAACGATAAGGAGCTTCGTGACACTGTTCTTAACTTTATTATTGCTGGTCGCGATACAACAGCACAAGCGCTATCATGGTTGTTTTATAATATTAGTCTACAGCCTCGTGTAGAAAAGAAAATGACTGAAGAGATTGAAAAGCATATTACGGACGAACTAGAAAATGATTCGCCTGCTCTTTATCAAGCCATTAGTGAAATGCCTTATCTCCATGCAGTGTAAGACCTGTCTGCATCTTATCCCGTACGCATAGCTTGGCTGACGTATATTTCTTTTTTTTAGGTTCTTTGAAACACTCCGTTTGTATCCCTCGGTTCCTAGTAACCAAAAATATGCACTTAAGGATGACATATGGCCTGATGGAACACATGTCAAGGCAGGAACTTATGTTGCCTGGAGCTCATATGCTCAAGGAAGAAGCATAAAAGTTTGGGGTGAGGACGTCAAGGAATTCCATCCTGAACGATGGTTGGATGAAAATGGTAATCTCAAGAGAGAATCTGCTGGTAAATGGCCGGCGTTTCATGCCGGCCCTCGTATCTGTCTGGGTAATTTGAAACGCCATCACTAATATTCTGTTACTTATTCCATTTTTCCTTTTTCGCCTTTTCTAGGACAAAATCTGGCTACGCTTGAAGCCCTCGTTTGTGTATCCATGCTGCTTCGACGCTACAAGTTTACTTTAGTGCCTAACCATACAGTGACATATGATATCTCATTAACCCTGCCAATGAAATATGGAATGAAGATGTTCGTCGAAAAGCGCCATAAAGCTTAACTTCATAATTAAAACATCCTTAACACCCTATTGCTTGATGCTTTTCGAAGTTTTAAATATTCAGTAATGTAATCTTTGAGCTTTTTTAGTTTTATGGAGTACCGTTGGTTCCCCACAATTTCAAACCAGTCAGATTATATTTCATTCTTTTAACTTACAGCAATCATTGAAGGATATCTTTATACTCTACAGCTATCTTGATTTTGTTATGTAAGCCAACAAGATCTGTTCCTAACTATTTGGCAAATTTGGAACTTTTAACCTTTGCATGAGTATTGCGAAACGTCCCTTCAAGAACAATCTCCCAGATGGAAACCTCCAGTTTGTAAAAGGAAGTTTTCAGCTAGAGATTAGTTCGCTGTTAAACACTAACACACATCGCACAACAACAACAAACATCCGATAAGGCCAGCGCTACTTTTTCCTCAGCTGGTACCTCGTCTGCTGACAGCATGTGGGCTATCCTTCAACTTCGTAAGGAGATGTGTCAAATATGAAAATATAGAGCAAGAAAAGCCCATCTTTTGGTAATGAAGATACAGAAGGAAGCCTTTTTTGTATTCCCAATAGATCATCAACACATTCAGGTGAAGATCTATTATACAAGGAATATGGTACCATCAATTAAAAGAGTTCAATGACATAATGCTCAAAGGCGATACATAGATGTGAATCTGAGCCTAGAAGAACACTTGTAAATTTGTATACCACAGATTGATATTAATATATGACATGTTACTAATGAGAACTACTTATGTGAGGTTATATAGCGATTGCTGCTCCAAGTTGCTCCATAATGATACATATGAAGAAATAATAAAACTACTGTTTCCTTGGATTATCAGAGACAAAGAAAAGTGTGTTACGTGAATATGAAAGTAGTCATATTAAAGAACAAAAAGTCAAGTGTGGGAGTAACAAAATGAATATTTTATTTAAGTAAGCAATAGTTTGATTTCCAAGCCATTTTAGAAGCAAAGAGAGAGAGAGCTTTGAATAAGTAGAGATTTTTCTATTGATAGCCAAGCTTAGAGAGCAAATAGAGATTTATTTTTTTTCATAAGCCCAGAAGGCCACATTATCGCTAGCTTTCAAACCCAAGATGACTAGAACCATAGACTGCATGCCAGAAGACTACACGGTGTAAACCCTCCATGAATAAAAAGCACTCGAGGCTCAAATTTCAAAAATCAAAAACCAATCTCAAAACTGTACCACAGTAAATTCAATGAAAGAGGTACTTCAACGTACAAAGAGTGCACTTCTAAGTACCTAGGACGAAGAGTTTCGAAAGGGGTGATGACCGTGGAGACATCGGAATATTGAACCTTTGGAGCATCGTGACCATCGAGATCAGCAGTAAGGGAGGGTTTACGGGCCATTCATTAGCTGTAGAAGCAGAGTCATAACAATAGGAGCATCTCAGGGTGATCCAGCGTAGAGAAGCAGCAACCTGTCTGGTTAGTTTTTTTCTTCTTCTTCTTTCCTTGTAGCAGAGTTTGATAGAGTTTGGCAGATAGTGGCAAAGTAGATTGATTATGTTTCTTGTGACACCAGAACTTGAATATGTAGTTACTTCAGAGCGGTATTCATTAGCAACAGACATTGATAGATATGAGCGAAATTCCTCAAGGACTTTCCAACGTTAATAAGCATGAAGCAGGCATTCACTAGTATTTTCAAGCACTGATAATCATTTGTAGGCATTGATAAGCATTTGAGGAATTTTTTGAGTATATTTGAATGTTTGAGTGTTTGAGTGTTTTGAATGTTTTGAGTGTATTTGATTGCTTGATTGCTTGATTGCTTGAGTGTATTGATAAGCAGTAACAAGCATAAGTAGGCATTTTGAGCATTAGCAAGTAGCAGAGATTTCTTTAAGGCTTCGCTCCGTGAGAGGTCATTATGATAGAGTAAGGTGTATCAGGAACCATGAAATAGAGTCAGCAAAAGTATATTTTCTAAACGATGGCATTAGTTATATGTACTTCGAAGTTACCTCAAACAATATTATACCTTTTTCAACATAGGAACTAATAGAACCATAGGAGAATTTTTAGAAGAGATAAAGAATGAAGAAAAAAAAGGACAAGAATGATGGTTTCTTTTATAGTTTTTTGTTTACGTGAGTCATGTTATTTAGGCTGAAAATAAATGGCTCATTCCTTCTTTCTCCAATAATTTATGAATAAACAAATAACTCGTTCTCTATCTCTTCCGTATTAGAACATATTCGAGCATCCGAACGCCTCCCTCCCTTTTTTTGCATATTTTTTTCACGGGCCTTTTTTTTTGTAAAGCCGCTTGTTTATATAAAATTGACCTCATACACACATATATAATTTATTTTTTTTTCATTATGGTTGCTTCACTTTTCTCATTTTAAATACTCATTTTTTTTTCTGGTCATTTTCTTTAAGAATGAGTAAAAAAAGCAAGATGAGGATTAAGTGCACAAGGAAAAAGGTTGAGAGGGGGCAGCATCATTTAAGAATGCAGCTGATAGTAAACAAAAAAAAATAAGGCTTTTCTCAAAGAGCATTAGACTGGTGATTCTGTGGAACACACACAGTTGATACCATTACAGGTGTTATTTGTCAATCAAAAGAAGCCAATCATGATTGATTCATTTGATTAATTGCTATGTCTTTTTGCTAAAAAGAATCGAAATCAAATCACCTTAATCTTCATGTGAAAACATAAGAGTCTGTAATTTTTTTTTTCTTTTATTTTTTTTTAGTGCACGTGAAAAAAGGTAAAAGGTAAAATGTTTATCTTTTATTCCTTGTTGTTATAGCCTTGTCCTTTCCCCTTCTGCTTGTGAAATGTAGACTATCATTAGCGATAATTATTATTGTAATAGATTTAACGACTATATGTTCATTTTTATAGTAAAGCAATGGATCTTCTAGGTCTGCATAAACTATTTCAAATGGCGCTCGAAACAGTATGGCCTACAAAGGTACACGACATACTTCAGGTAGTCACCTTATTGTCATGAATACTCGTGTATCATGAATGAAAGGTATTATCAAATATGTGGCTTATTGGGCGATGAAAAGGGGTTTTTATATCAATGAAAAAGAATATAAATGTATGAATGCCAAAAGGATAAAAAATAAGTCTTAGAGAGGAATAATGTGGTGGCAGAGCAGTTTATCACTGTAGTAACGAATGTTGTCATTTTGTTGATCAAGTGTAGCCTTTATTTTGTCCACCCTTATAGTTAACATTGTCAAGGATACTTTGCTTGTAAACGCAATAGTGAATGCATTTGATATTCGTTTTATTCATGATCAAGTCTAATGTTGGTTCATTTCATTAAGAGGAAAAGGTGTTCTAATCGAAACTTCAATCTCGTTTATTTTATTTTATTTTATTTAATTGAAAGCCTATTTTTGATCTGGTCGACGAAATAAGCTCGAACTCAGTTGCCAGCTTGGGCCAAAACAAGACAGGGTGATATTAAGGGCTTGAAGATTGATCTACAAAGAATAGAGCTTATGGGGTAAGAGCGAGACGATCGGCGGCAAGTATAGATGACTAGAGAAAAGGGAATAGACGGATAGCCTAAGGACAATACGAACAATGTGATAATTGGCAAATGAATCATGGCACAAAAGTACAATTGGGGAGATGAGCCACCTGGAGTTTTTCATAAAAATGCCCCATACTCTCAATTCATTGCATCACACGCCATACAAATACGTTTTTCATTTCATTAAAAAAATAAAGCATTATGCATGAAAATTGTGGCTAGTTTTTTGTTGATCCCTTTCGTTTTTCTAATCAACTTTCACTTTAGCCTTCCACAAGAATAGCGAGTAGATGTCTCTTTTATAATAGATCATTTTCATGGATATAAAACAAAAGCTTTGCAAATTTATTGTAGTTTACATATCAAAACTACTTCTTCCACAAGGATCCTATTCAAATTAAATTAATAAACTCTACTTTTTAGCCCCTTATAACATTAAAGACTACCTCTTCATAGCTAAGTTTTCCATCTTTTCGTTTTACATAAATGATACCAGACCGGATGATTGACTCTCTATATTTACCAGCCTTTTCATCTACAAATAACGGCCAATACCTATTACTGTCCAGACGAATCGATTTGATCAAGCTATAATCAGGCACAACCGAAGGCGCCTCAATCCTTACTTGATATACCCGTCTTTCGTCATTGGATGCTCTTCCGTCATCGTCATATAGCTCTAGGTACATTGGTAAACGACACGGTTGTCTATGATCAACGTCAAACGGTATTAACCAGCGAGAATCAATAGCAAGAACCCAAAGGTGGCGAAACACCTGAAGATGGTATCGATTATCCTCTGTGTTGATAGGATAGAATGGATAGAAAGCGCATAGTAGCCCAGCAATGGCCTCATCTGTTGTCTTGAGCGTATAACCACCGAGGCCGACAAAGAGTAAGCCAAGTGCCATAGAGACAGCCATATGGCTACCATAAGACACTTCAGCTGTCGTGCGGCTATACAGTTGTTGAAGACGAGCAAACACTTGTTGATCTCCGGAACCTGCCATGACCATGGCTGCAGCGGTACACACAACGTCAATACAGGTACGAACGATGCACTTGGTCACCCGTTTTTGTGGTGTTGTATCCGGTAACGTAGACAATTTCATAAACGAATCAAGCCTAGAAAGCAATACACCAAGTGCTTCTTTATTCTTTGATCCGGCATATCGCAGACCAAGGCATAAGCATGAACCACAAATGATGTTGTACATTGCTTGTTTGGAAACTTCCTCGTCTAATTTGACATGCTGCTCTTGTTCTTCTGCAGATGGATGGACGATAAAGTCTGGTAATTGACTCTCTATCCATGTATCTGTTGGCATAATAGTACTCCACATGATCAAGTTTTTGGCAACCACACGAATGAGCAAAAAATCAGGACGAACATAATTCAGGTAGGGTCTCGTTTCCAAAATGTCTACATGATCAGCAACTCTCTTGTTTTCAGTCTTCAAGTACATTAGCCCAAGCGCTATGGTTGCGCCTGGTGAGGTGATGTCAAGATTTATTAAATGGTCTTTACTAGCATTCATTTCAGGAATATCAGTATCTTCTTGGAGGCAATCTTGTTGCTGTTGACTGTGTGTGGCAGTAACGAATCGACCAGACATCAAGTTATATAGCCTGTTGCGCAACTGAAGATCTTCCAAGGCTTCAAGATGGTTTCCAGATCCCAGTGTAATGAAACCAAGCGCAAACCCAGCTGCCAAAGCGCAACTTTCATAATCAGGGCTTAGCGTTGACGGATCACTGTAGGCATTCTTCCCCAGCTCCTGGAGCATGACAGTCACCATTAGGCGGTCGCATGATTTGGAGTAAACAAGTCCCATTCCCAGCAAACTGGTAGCAATGATCATGTTTGAGTAGTTGAATGAATGACCTCCGTCAGGAAGCAGAGATGGTATATGAACTGACAAAATCTTGGTTACTTTGCTATGCCTCGTCCCTCTATACGCTACTGCAGCGCCCAAGATGAATCCAAGAGAAACAGGCTCGTACGTATGAGAAAAGAATCGAACCCAGTGACCAAAAGGTAACCTCTTGAGCGCACCGTTAAGCCCCATCGCAAGGAGCATACCACCATGTTCAGGTGTCAATTCAGCGGGGCTACAAAAGTTTATCCATGAATCATCAATTTCATTGTTAGGAGCAATACGAAGGCCGGCAGCAACACCATTGTGAAACTGTGGCCATATCAACATTTCGGAAGTGATATATTCACTTTCTAAAGCAACAATCGTACGTAAAGGTAAAATTTTGGCAGAGAGCACAATGGTCTCAAAGGGAAGCACCTTGGTTAAATCAGGTATATGCGTACCAAAAGCATATATCCCTCTACCAGCCGCTAGAGCAAGTGTTCTTTGAGCAATAATCAAGATTTGCTCCTGATATTCAATTGTCAATTCATCATCCCTAAAAATATTAGAAAGAGAAGTAGGGAATATCATTCATGAGATACTTACGATATATCTGCTCTTTCAGAAACATGGTGCTCAGGTATCCTACTAGCATCCAGCATTATTCTCACCTTCTTAACAAGCCCGTCAAAGCCAAATCGAAAATGCTCAGTTTGCATATCCATGATGTCCGACTTGTACACACATTCATCATTTAGAGCCACTTGATCCTTCATAAGCTCGTCCAAACTAGCTACATGCTCATAAGCCTATATTTAGATCTTTAGTCAAAGCTTGCTTTTTTATAATCATTGCCTACCTCATGAGAAGCTAGTTTGAATGTATCAATGTTGGGATCACATACTACCACTTTTGCTTCAAGTTGTTTATAGATATCGTTCCGTCCGATAAGTATGTAAGCTTCCTTTGGCCAGTCAAAGGTAGGGTGAGACTTGAATTTATTGAGAACATCCAGAATAGGAGCAGCAATTGATTCTTCCAGCATATCGATAGTGTGTCGAGTCACTCCTTCAGAAATAATGCGACTCAATAACGAAGCTGCATCACTGGAAGTATCATAAAGCGCACCATAGATTGTCCAAAGGCTTTTTGTAGTACGCGCATAGGTATTGGTATAGTAATAGAGAGCGGGTTCCAGAGTATTAACACCAAAAGATCTTAAAAGCGTCGGTTTCGACGAATTTTTAGGGGTTATTTCTTGTAAGCAAGCCTGGATACTGGCAGGCTCTGTCATGTTCTCTCTGATATCTTCGTCTGCTACTTCTACTATAAAGGGATATAATTTTGAGTAAGTGATAGGCTCTCACAGACCCTCTTTTTGATATCTTACATGAATGAACAAGTTCTGTTTGAAGGCCTTGGTTTTCATAATAACGAATCCAGTCATCGCTTCTCAAAAGAACAGCGCATTGAAGTAGCAAATAGCCCAATGCCTTTGCGTGCATGAAGGTTGGCTTCTTTATCCTGTATTCTTCATAAATAACATGTAAATTATGAACAATCTCAACAAATGCAGGTAGCGGCAATTTGGGCGAGTCAGATGCTTCACTTAATTCAATTACTCTTTCTATCCACTTGGTTGGTATAGGGGTATCATCGGATAGGTAGGCGTTACTTGCACTTGATATTTTGTATGAAAGGCGTCTTTTTTTTCTCTCCAAATAGCTTCTTTTTTTTCTTCTTCTAATTGCTAGAGACGATAAAAGCGCGACTAAAAACGATTTCCATTCGTGATCTGGCGTGCTAAGCGTATTAAGCTCCTGCTGTGAAAAGAAGCAAATGTCTATAAAGCGACTCCAAATACGTGGAAAATGGTTGATCGAGCCACAATCTACTGCCAGAAGACAGTCTCGAACCATCACTGATTGTGGCTTTAGATTCAGTTGGTATCTGTATATTTCATCATTGCTGTATTGTATAGAAAACTTGTCATGAAGAGGATCAAGCAATTTATGAGGTATTGCATCTGATGGTGAGGTAGGCTGAATAATAGAATAATTGAATGATTTATCAATGAATAGTCGTAGCTTATTTTCATTGCTCATGTATAGCAAATCAATGTGTCTATCTCTTGTCGCATAGATGGGTATAGCAAACAGTGCAGATGTCTTTAATTCAACGCATTTGTTGATAGAATACGTTGCTTTATCCAAATTGATTAATTGAAGGCTCTTTAGTGCATAATTCATGATACATATCATCTCTTGACCCTTTAAGCCATGCACTAGAAAAGCGCTTGATTCTATACGCTCTTCATTCCTCAATTTAGTAGATTCCCTAGACAGACATAAAAAGGGTTATATATAACTATGACAATTTTCAATATACAAGTTTTATACGTTATACTTTTTTCCAAGAGTTTCTCTCCAAAGCAACCTTATAGATATTTCGCTTGGATCCAGTAGCTCATTATATAAATCCCTCTCTTTCACATCTTCAAGGTCAATGTCATCCTTTGATGAATATCCTTCATAAAAATGATCTTTGACTCCACTGATACTCTTTTGTCTCTTCCTGGTATTGTTGTCTACTAAATCATCCGGCAATGGCCTCTTTCTCGAAACGAGTGGAGAAGGTGAGAAACCTCTTGTTTTTTCTGATAAAATGCCTTTATTTTTCCTTCTATCATATGTCCAGATGTAATGCTTCTTATCCTTCATATTTAACGTCACAATAACAGGTAGACGTCCCGTGTCTGACACCTCTGCTGTTGCAAAAAGCACCTTTTGTGGGTCACTGAACGGCTCAGGCAATGTTGATATACCAACACTGTTTACGTCTTTTGATATCACCGGACATGCTTCCTTCAAAGGGTTTGTTATTGTAACAAAGGACGACGACAATTCATATAAATCGCTTGGCGCTCTCCTAAGTGGTGTCACTGGAGTTACGGTAGTTACTGTCGATGGCTTTAGAAAGGATGAAAAGGCTGTTTTCGTTTTCCCCTTTTTATTTGGCTTGACCACATAATTTTGACTCACTATTAAGCCAACATCTAAAGGCGTTACCTCTCCAATTTCAAATGGTATCTGACAAGTGATGGTGTGTTTGCTTTCAGTACATATCTTTATGTAGTCTTTAAATACTACGCACAATGCTCTGCATAAATTATCACAATTGACACTAAGGCTGCTTTCATTCTCTACTGTCTCGCGCATATCCATTTCTTCCGTAACTGCTTCTGCCATAGTTACCGTGAACTGGTTGTCTGTGGTGTTCTTGAAAGTAATAGCTGGGAACTGAGCGAAAAGGACTTTCTGAATAGGTTGAAGTTCAGAACTGTAATCCATTGTCTTTACTACATAACCAGCTCTGCTCCAAACAACAGTCGTCCCATGTACATAGATTTCTTGTTCCAAGTCGATAGCTGATGGATTCACGGCATGTGCCACTGCTTTACTTTGTTCGATTTCATCAAAGACGTTAAATAAGCGAAAGAATGGAGCAGGTAGAGTAGGTGTTGCGCGTCCAATACTAATAGCTGAAAAGTCTATAGTTGGATTCTCTGTACATTCTTTTACAAGATAAGATCTCTCTTCAATAAATTTCTTCCCAAATGGCTCATATTTTCCAAGATCTACCAACATGTGTCTTTTTTAAAGAAATGAACAATTAGATTTACGCGCTCACGTAAAGAAAGAAAGAAAGTGGAGATACAGTCACACTCCGTTTAAAGAGACACACAAGTGATCGTAAATGGAAGGGGGTCTTTTTTATTTATTTACAAAGACAAGTATTAACTTTCATTGGGTATATAAATATACAATTAACAGTATAACTTCTTAATCAAACTGAAGAAATGAATGCTTCAATGCTTCCTTGGCTGTAATTCTTGTATTACTATCAAGCTGAAGACATTTTTCTAATAAATCAATTGCATCCCTGATATCTTTTTCTGGCCATTCTCGTAACTTTTCGCTATTATAGTAAGCACACAACTTCTTTAGAGATACACGCTGCTTTGGTAAACCACAAATGTTTGTATGGATGATTCGATCTACATAACAGAGATGAGTTGGATATACAATAAAAATGAAAAGTATGACTTACTATATTTTAAAGCGACTTTCTGTAAGTCATTTAGACCAAACACACTAGCAATTTCAACAAGAGAATCAGCTTCATCGTAACCAATGAAAAAAGGGAATACACCTGTCAATATAGAAAGGAATATAGTACCGGCAGACCAAATATCTACAGCTGTAGTTTGATGGATCACACGAAGCAACACTTCAGGGGCACGGTAACCTCGAGTACCAGCTCTATTGGCTTTAATACGCTTTCTTGTATCATTCGTGTCATAGCCTTTAACAAGTTCAATTTTTGACAAATCACCCATAACCTGGCTTTCTTCATATTGCTTAGTTTCATCTTCTCTCTATATTAATAACCGTCAGTAGTTATAATCAAAACAGATATCATTCGTACCTGTGCAAGCCCGAAATCGATCAAAAAGCCCACTTTCTTTTTAATATTGTATAGAAAGTTATTAGGCTTCACATCCTTGTGGACAATCTTGAGTTCGTGCAAATGAGACAAAGCTGTAAACAAAGACTTTATATAGCACTTTATGTCATGTAATCCCATGACATTAAAAATATCCTATCGAAAAAGATGAGTTTAATAAAAAGTTTACAAGCATGCTTACCTTAAATTCATCGTGTTGAATATAAGGCATGACAATGAATGTCTCTTCTCCGTCACGAAACGCAGTTACTATAGGTGATACACACTCTGCTCCTTTCAGTTCTTGTAGGATACGAATTTCGTTCACAATACGCTGTGGACTACTGGTGCTATAAATCCGCTTCAATGCGACAAATTCGTTTAAAGTTTTGACGCTATTCATATGTTCAGCTTTATCTTGGCCAGTATATGGTTTTATCAACATGGTGGGTAGCCAATCGTCATTTTTATACATTTCGCGTCTGATGTCCAATGCTTTATATACCGTACTGAATGTACCTAATAAACAAGGTTAACAACGAAGAAGTTACTGTATTTGATGTCATTTTTACCTCTGCCTATTTTCTCTTCTAATTCATAATATTCACGCAAATAAGGAAGTGTATCCATGAGGTTTTTCATTTCTTCCTTTTCAAGCTCAAGCTTTGCTTTTTTATCCATTTCAATCTCTTCTTTTGTCTTTGTATCACCTTTACTTTCTGTTTCTTGTTCGGCTTCTTTCTTTTGATTTTTCTCCTTTGTTACTTTTTCTTCTGCCTTATCTTCGACAACGCTCTCTGAATCTTCCTTGTTCTCATTTTTATATTCTTTGCCGGTACTCTGAGCAAAATCACTTATTCCAAGCGTCGCATTTGCCAATTTAGGCGTATCACTCAAAGGCGCTGTTATTGTTGAGCCAATATTATTAGATGAGATCCCACGTAGTACTTTTGCAGGAGGCAAATTAGTTGAGTCATCTGTTTGCTTTCTTTTATTAATGTTCCTCGCAACAATGGGTGAATTCAAGTTGTTTCGTGGGCGTAGGATAGAAGCTGCTGAAGCAGGTGAGTTTGGCTTGTTAGAAATATTGGCATTTTCATCCGTGATGGTCATGTTTTATTTTTATAAAAGATACAGTGCAACAGAAAACAGAGAGCGAGGAAAAAAGAAAAAAAGAAAAAAGGAAATGATACACCCATAAAAACACGTCATGGTCAGGCAGCGCAAAAAAAGTCACTTTCTTTACGCGTTATGGTAAATGGATGCTCTCTAGTCAAAAGAAAGTACAGCCATATAATAATGTGAATAGAAGTTTTATAGGTCACCTTGTCATTGTCATTCTCTCTCTCTCTCTCTTTCTTTTTGTGTGTATTTTTTTTTTTGCCTTTATGGAACAAGTTGGAATGGTTGTGTTGCTGAAAGATATTAATAAACTCTTTACAAGTTTATTCACTTTTCTTGCTTCTCTTTTTCTCTTATAAATCCTCTTTTAATGTAAGTATTTGAATAGCTGATTTGCTAATCATTTCTTGTATATCTCATTTCTTTTGCTTCTGATAGGCTATTTTTTATTGTTATTTGTTATCTCATTTGTTGTCTGAAATTTTATTTTATCAGTTTGCGAATAAAGTGTAACCTTCACTTTCATGAGTCATATCTTCTTCCCTTTTTCTTTCTTAGAATGAAGATTATAGAGAAAATAGAACAAGCACAGAAAAACAATACAATCAATTATTCATTCGAGTACTTTCCGCCCAAGACTGAACTTGTAATACAGCTTCTTCTTTATATATATATCTCTTAACTGACTTGTCCTTAAAAGGGTTATGCTAATCTTATAGATCGTATTGAAAGAATGGCAAAGCTTGGCCCCGAATTCATTTCTTGTACTTGGGGTGCAGGTGGCTCAACTCACGAACGTACGTTAGAACTCTGTTCAACGACACAGTCTGTATATGGGCTTGATACATGTATGCACCTGACTTGCACCAACATGGAAAAGGATAAAATCGATATTGCCCTCAAACAGGCCAAGGAAGCAGGCATTCAAAACATCTTGGCTCTTCGTGGTGATCCACCCCGTGGCCATGAGTATTGGACACCTATTGATAATCAGTTTACACATGCAATTGATCTTGTCAAATATATACGCCAGCAATACGGAGATACGTTCTGTATAGGTGTAGCAGGTTACCCTGAGGGCCACGTCGATTCTCCTAACAAAGAACAGGATATGCAATATTTGAAAGAGAAAGTGGATGCAGGAGCCGACTTTATTGTCACTCAGTTCTTTTATGATCCCGAAGCATTCATCAATTGGATGCAGAATATTCGTCACATTGGAATCACTGTGCCCGTTGTGCCTTGTATTATGCCGATCCCTACATATCAGTCATTCCGGCGCATGATCCATTTATGCAACGTGAAAGTTCCAGCTGAAGTGATGAAGGATTTGGATGAAATCAAGGTAAAGCAGACAAAAAAGAGAGAGAATATGCAACCACTTTTGGACATTATCCTTAACCTGTTTATAGAGTGATGATCAAAAAGTAAAAGATTATGGTGTTCGGCTTGCAGTCAACATCATAAAAGAATTACACAAACGAGTCAACATTTGCAATTTTCATATTTCAACATTAAATTTAGAGAGATCAACACGATTAATTTTGGAGCAACTAGGCTTAATTCATCATACAGTAAGCAAACTACTGTTTTATACGTACATATTAATTAATCTATGAATATTAAAGGAAAAATTAACGGCAAACAAGCCTTCACCTTGGGCACCTGTACATGATCCTATTAAAGTGGAAATGTGGGATGAATTTCCAAATGGTCGATATGGTGACTCAAGATCTCCAGGTACAGGAATTATAGACAAGTGACGCTTTATAAAACTAAACCTCTATCTTAAGCTTATGGTGAAAATACATATAGTTTGAATCAAATACTTCCTGTAAGGATATATCTTGTTTTTCCATAATCCAGCTTAGCTCTTTTCTTTAGACATCACAAGCTATCTTAAAGTGGGGTCAGCCTCAAAGCGAAGAAGACGTGAGACAGCTGTTCAAGAGATATATCCAGGGCGAACTAGACTCTCTACCTTGGTGCGAAGAAAGCCCTCAGACCGAGACAGGCACCATTTGCCAGGAATTAATACACCTTATTGAACAAGGTTACTTGACTATTAGCTCCCAACCAGCTGTCAATGGAGCGCCAAGTGATGACAAAGTTTATGGATGGGGACCCAAAGGAGGATATGTATATCAGAAGGCGTTTATTGAATTCTTTATATCTGATCAAGCTGTTAGCGAGCTATTAGCCCGTCTTTCCAAAGATCCTTCTGTCACATTTTATGCAGCTAATCGAAAAGTAAGACTTGTTTGGAAGTAATATTTATCGCAACTAAACTCTAGTCATAGGGTGATTTTGTAACAAATGTGACAGATCCAGATGCACAAAATGCTGTCACTTGGGGTGTTTTCCCTTCAAAAGAGATTATACAACCTACAATTATTGAAAAAGCTAGTTTTGAAAGCTGGAAGGTAAATGACCAATGATATATATATTCTAATGATATATAAACACATCTTTGTAGGAGGAAGCATTTGGTTTATGGAAAGAATGGGAAGAACAGTATACGCCCAATAGTCCAAGTCAAAAGCTATTAAAAGATATTGGAGATAGATATTGGCTTGTAAATGTGGTTCATCATGACTTTCAAAAGCCTGATTTACTTTTTGAGCTATTGTAGACAATAAAATGCACTTTAGATTATAAACCGTAGATACATAGCAATACTTTGTATATGTGAATATTAAACTATGTACACTTGTAAAAGAGTCCACATCCACTCCCTTTTTTTTTCCTTTTCCATCTTACTTCAATGTATTACTTTGGAATTCTCAATGCCTACACTCATTGTAACACTTATTTATCTTATGATTTTACCCGTGTAAAAGTAAACAGCCAAAGAACAACGCTCACCATACAATGATAATGATTTGATCATTGCAGTATAAGAAACAAATTAGCATTTGGAGATGAAAGAAGTACATTGTGTAGGTAGGATTACAATTAAAGAAAATAAAAGACCACTGTGGGTGCATTGAAACAATATAATTCCGTCCCTCCCGAACCAGACCAAAAAAGTACAAAGAATCTAAAACCCTTTTGAGATCAAGAGGGGAAAAAGGAAGGATCATGCTACATTCCCAAAATAATGAGAAATTCGGTTCGAACAAATCCTAGTATCACGTGACAGAAAGATATGTTCGGGCCGGAAGTATTTTAATATAGGCTTTCCAAAATCAGCACTCTCACCGAAGAGCCCGATTAGCACAGTGGTAGTGCGTCTGTCTTGTAAACAGAAGGTCGGTTGTTCAATCCAGCCATCGGGCACGGTTCTAAAAAATTGTTTTTATTCTCAGGTTCGTCGGAGTTTGAATTATGCACAAGCTACTCCTTTCGCGCGTATAGCCTTCTCTCATTATTTTGAAAAGCATTGATACCCTTTTTGGTATCTTATACTCTGCATGTCCAATGCAAGTTTTAATGATTTATTATTTATCATTTATCATTTATTATATATTTTATATTGCATATTTACTTATACAAACAGTATAAATATCCCGAAATTATTCATGAAATAAACAATATCGAAGAATCATCTAAGAATCATCTTATCTTCAGATCACAATAACTTCTATTTTATCTTATATCTTAAGCAACAATTGCTTAACAACATTTTTATTTTACTTTTTTACTTTATCTCACAGGACTTGGCATTATATTGCTCTATTGATCTTATATTAAGATCTGGTGGTCACTACAATACCAAATTCTACTCATAAAACTTATTTTTAACTTTACTCCTAACAACTTTCCCCTTACTAACACCCAGTAACATTACTTATTTCAATATAACCAAGAAAGTGACACTGTCGATCGTGTGAAAACTTTCGTTTTGTTTGAAAGGTTGAAATCATAAACAATGAAATGATATAAATATCTTCATCTGTAGTAGTCAAAAAAAGAAAAGAATTCAATTCATATTTTTATCTTATTATTCAAATAAACAGGAAGCCTTTTGTTATAAAAGCTCCTGATCTCTTTTTTTATCTTTTACTTTATACGACATAGTTTGATCAACTTTAAAAGATCTGGTGGTCACTTCAAGCACCTAAACTTATAAAATCTCAAGAAAACTCTCTATATTAACAACAACCCTTACAACTTCAAAGGAGAATAACATCAATAAAGATCCCTTTTATTTCTTTTATTTCTCTTAAATCGCCGGTGCTCTTCTGATTTAATATCAATTACACTATTTAGATTAGGAAATCTTCTTTATCCTTTTCAATCCTTTATCTTTACTTCATTTTCTACTTTTACAACTTGGTTAGTTTTAGATTTACTAAAGATCTGCTGATTATTATACAATCTCATAAATTAAAACTTGTATCTTTGAATATTTGCACAATTTTACCAACTCTATATTCTTTTTGTTTTGACAGATTTATCTTTGTCTATAAGCTACATTTACGGTGCTCCCATTATAGAATACACAAGTGCCTCAGAATTTCAGAAAATAAATATACAGATATATCTCATTGTATAATTATCAACGTAACTGTAATATTTTTTGTTTGAAAGCAACAGCTGCTTTGAAATATTTTTCAGCTTTTCAAGTATTATTCAATTGATCCTATAAGTCAGGAGATGCTTGTCATTTTACTCATAGAACTCTACTTGGAAATCCTTCTTTCACAGTTATTTGGACTTGTTTAATAGAAGAGCGCTTCGATATTACCAAGTTACGCTTCTGTTATAAGGAAGCTGTAGTCTAGCATAATAATAGAATATCAACTGACAAAGTATTATTTAAGAAGCTCTTTGAAATATATTTGACTTTTGAGCATTTATCTATCATTAGGTCCCTGTTTCCATTTGATTGTAAAATCTTTTGGTTATGACATATCTGCAGCTAAATATACGTCCAACGGTACAAGTAGCTTTTGAAAACTAAAGCTCTTTTTTCTTATAAGGCTGCATTCGATGACTCATAATATGAATTGAATAACTCTGACTCATCAAAAGCAAGAACAGTAAAGACAAATATGAGCTATTTTTAGTTTAAGGTAATTTACTGAAAACAACTTTGTAAACTTGCTTTCATTATACCGTAAAATGTAAAGGTAAACATCAACATGCTCTTTATCACAATTCTACCCTATTGTATCTTTTAATTTCTTATCCTTAAATAACAGATGCTTGCTCTTTAGTCATTAATTATGGTGCTGCGGTAAAAAAGGTAGTTTACGGCCGCAGTAAATTTATGAGTATCCCATTCTTTGCTTCGCCTCAAGTAAACATATATAAGAACGCGTGACGGAGTTTGCTATGGAATTTTCAAAAGCCTTCTTCTTGTTTCTGCTGTCAAGAACATATACATATATACATGGACACCATTGACATTCCAGTTATTGATTTAAAGCAAGATCAGATACAAAGTGTTACAGAGCAACTTTATGCAATAGCAAAGACCTCGAAAGATGTGCGATGGAAGGATTTCAACTTAGAAAATGGAGTAAAGTGGACAAGCTGGACAATGAGAGAAAGTGTTTACAAAAAAAAAGGCAAATTGCCTACTATGGCCAGGGGTATTTTTACAGAAAAGATAGATGGAAAATATCATATTGCAGTAAGAGGATATGATAAATTCTTTAATATATTTGAAACTGGTGCTACTCAGGTAAAAAAAAAAGCGTCCTTTTCTTTTTTTAATATCAAACTAACTGTGTATTATATAGTGGCCAGCTCTTGAATCAGACACGACAGGACCTTATGAAATTACGGCTAAAGAGAATGGATGTATTATATTTATCGCTGCTCTATCAAACGAAACAATTGCTGTCACTTCAAAGCATTCTATACCTGAAGATAAAGCTGATATCAAAGCACATGCAGGCGTAGGCTATAATTGGGTTATAAAGCATCTAGCTTCAGTTGATAAAAAGGAAAAGGACTTGGCTGAATGGATGTTTGACAAGAACGTGACACTTGTTGCAGAGGTAAAACAGGGTCTTGCTTAACTGATTTGAATCTAAACAATTCTCAATAGCTCTGTGATGATGAATTTGAAGAGCATATTTTGCCATACACTGGTAAACACCGTGGACTTTACCTTCATGGGATCAATTATAATACGATAACACTTTATACGCTTCCTAGTGCCATAGTGCAGAAGGTAGCATTCATGTTTGGATTTCATATAACAAGTTTTAAAGTACTCAATACAATTGCTGAAGTAAGAGAGTTTGGTGAGGAAATGCAAAAGACGGGCTGTTATGATGGAAGAGACATAGAAGGGGTTGTAGTCCGATGCAAGAGAAATGGCAATGATTTTATGTTCAAGATAAAGAATGAACAATATTTGATATATAGAGAATATCGAGAAGTTACAAAGGCAATCTTACAGCAAAATACAGATGGAAGTGTCTCAATCAAATCAGGCAAACAACCAAAATATAAATATGATAAAACAGAACTTTATATTGAATGGTTAAAGAAAATGGTCATGGAGCATCCTGAATGGTTTAAAGAATATAAAGCACAAAAGGGCATTATTGAAACGCGTATTGAATTTGAAAAATACTTGCAAGAGACAGCAAATAAATAATTTTTCTTTTGCTTTGTTTTCCGCACAATGTCGATTATAGATCTCAAAAGAAATAAACTAAGACAGACATTAGCAGAATGCAAAGAGTTTTCATTTCGTCAAGGCTTAATTGAGGCTTTTCAAATTGATGGTCAAAGGACAGCTTGTATGTATAATAGTAAACTTATATTTGGCATAATTGACATATGTAACCCTACTAAAGTTATGACTATTGTTCCTCAAAAGCAAGAAGAAAAGAGAGCTATCATGGAGCCAATTATTATATCCTTTTATTATGTTAACTAAGCTTGTATGATAAATTAAAAGAGAGAATCCTTAACTTTTAATTGTTATCATTACACCATTAGCAAGACTATACGTCCCAAGATGTCAAAGCAATCTGAAGACGACTATCATGTGTCTGAAGAAAAGGAACAGTTAAAAGCAGAGAATACTCTCAAAGAAGAGAACATGGAAGATATTTCACCTTTGATAAGCTCTGCTCAGTCACTTACAGAGTATAATTCTCAGTTGACCCCTGAAAGAAAAGCAGAGATTTTACAGACATTCTTGTTTCTATCAAAGCCAACGGTAAATCAATCACCATATGGTCTTGCTTGTAATTTACTGAGTGCATATCCAGTTTAATCTGGTTGCAAAATCTATTGACTTTACAGCGTGGCCAGAAGATGTTGTATCTGACTTGTGTAAAGAAATGCAAAGTGTGGATTTGACGTCTAATTCAGTACCTTTATTGCTACTGAAATCTGTATTATACCCAAAGGTACATTTTAAAGGATAAAGAGAAGCTATTTCTCATTGTGCTTGTTTAGATTGCCAGTCTCAAAACTTCGGCGTCACGACTGTTAATGAATGGAATATTATCACTCGCTAGAGAACAAGGAAAGTTGATCATTAATGGCTTACTGTTACCTTTGCTATTCCAATCAGCATTAGAACGCCCTCAGTTTGAGGTGATTAATAAGACAGCAATGGAATCATTAAAACCAGCACATAGACTTGTTCTTTTACAGTAAGTGATAATCCCCTTTATTTGAAACTTTAACTCTATCCTTTTTCTTTTTCTTAGAGCTATACTCTCAGATGGTGAAATGTATTATTCTAATCATGCTGACAACAGACATTCGTTGAGACCATGGAATGATACGATTTATCAATTGATTGGAAACGTACTGAGTTGCCAACCTTTACTGACACTAACAAAAGAAGCACTCGATGAGATTATTCAATCCGTACGAACTACAGTAGATTTTAATCCTAAGGATAAAAATTCTATGCAGCTACTGTTGACCATTACAAGCAAACATGCTCAAGAAGTTGTTGAATTTGATTGTATCGAGGCTATAGAAAGCATATCAAACTCTAGTAAAATGTTCTTGAAGCGTGCTGTTCTCGGTCAGATTGCAGCAATAAAGAAGAATATACAGTCTTTACAGAGTTCTAGAGCTACTTAATAAAATACACTTTATTTATTTGCATCAACAATCACAATATCACCATTAGCTAAAGCTTCTAAGGATTTCTTATGCAGAAAGTATAAATTCATATAGAAAGTGAAGAGAGAAACGATAGCAAGCCTAAATGAAATGGTTATTCTATGTCCAATTATGTCTCTGTTGTTATTCTCTTACATGGCACCACTACTGGCTATAGAATCTTTTACTTTTAAAGTCTTTCTGGTGTTTAAAGTAGCAGTAAGGCCAAAGTAAGCTGCAATCCAAGGAATAATTTTATAACGATTCTATACATGTATTCATAGTTAATAAGCGTGTTTAGTTGCTCTTATTATTCTATAGTCATACTCTGGTCAAAATGGCGCTCATTGCTTTAAAGATGTTAATATATAGAAACTTTATTTTATATATAAACATACCAACTAGAGTGGCAATCATCTGGGTCCAATCTTCTTCTTCATCGCTTCTAGGAGGAAGGTGAAAGGGAACAACATTATCAGGACGACGAGGATCTGCTTTACTTGATGACATGCTTGGGTGTGTAAATTAACAAGAGAGAGAGGGAGGGAAAGACTGAGAACTGAGGTTAAATCTTTGCTTTTGAAGGGCTATTTTTTATTTTTATTTTTTTTTCTTCTTTCTTTAATTGATTGTGTTAATAACTTTTTGAAAATGACATCCAAAAAGTAAACTTATTATTGTTGCATTCACGCGTGCATATTTTAACAGTTCTGTTTAATAGTAAATTTCGCACAGATTATATTTGTCGTGTACGATATCGAAATACATTGCCACCAGTGCCCTATGCACCCAAAATGCTTACAATACCTTCTCTTATCGAGAGACACGTTCCATATCAATCAAACAGTTTAATAGAGCAAACACCGTATTCCCTAGTGATGGATCAGAGTGCTGCTATTCCATTTGATAAGGCACTTGTTGATTATGTTGATGCATTGGAAACAAATCCTGATGAAGGTAGTTACATTGCTTAGTTGTATACACATGTGCCAACAGATTGCTTTTATAGTATTACGATTAGTTGATGAAGTTGCAGAAGAAGACAAAATACTATTGACTCCACCACGTGATGCTCAAAACGGTGCTGGAGCATCCAGTAGAAAGCCTAATGTTACCTGGCTTCGTCGTTCTGAATATATTGCACACGAAACACGAGGAGCACCTAGCAGGAAGGAAGGTGTTGAAAACAAATTTGCAATGTCTGGTGCAGCTGCAAAGAAACGTAGCTATGATACAATGAAAGAACAGATCGCAGGCATCGAAAATACATTTAAACCACTGCCTTCAGACTTGAGACATCCCCAAACCAAAGCAAGGGCCAAAAAGATTACACCACTCTTACCAGATATGGCCTGTTGGGAGAACATATACACAGTTGGTCAGTTCAGTATTGAGCCAGCGGATGAAGCTAGAAAGGCAAAGAGAAGAGCACTGGCTGCTACAGAGAATGAAGCTAAAGATCGCCCAAGGCCCTCAGCTACCGATGGCACTGACCGTGGTATTCTCAGACCCATGGTCAATCCTCATGATCCAACAGACACCTACTTGGTGTGGTTTTTACCTGATGAAGCAAGTACTACACGATTGGTTCAACAAAAGGAAGACCCTCTGGCTGGTTTGTCCGAAGATGTAAGATTATATATATATATATCAAGCATTTCTTTTCTAACTTTTATATGTATAGCCTTTAACCTATCATGCCGTGTGTGACTATGAGTACAGTAATGACAGTAGTTCAAGTACTAAGCACCTGCTAATAACTATGCATAATGATCCTGATGGCGAAAAGGCTGTTTATTGTCCAATTAGAAGCAAGATGTTCCTTAGAAAGAAGAGAGCACTGGTAAGAATAATAAGAGTGGTTTACAAGTATAGCTAACATGATTATCAGAGTGCCAAATTGAAATACTTGGATGACTATGAAAAGCCAAATGTGTTGACAGTTACATATACAAACTAAATTATTCGCACATAAAAAGACATTAATCAGCCTTTACACTTGGTGATCTTTACTTTATTGTTTCCAAGTTGACAACATGTAATAATATATAAATGATCTTCATCTTTTTGGAGAGATTTATAAAATAAATATGGTCAGCACTTCATAACACATAGTCTAATTTTGACTTCTTTTCTTCTTTGGACCAAAAAGTAAGGCCAGCTATTCCCCGGCTAGTCCTAAGGTATTGTTACTCTTGTAAGAAACTGACGTTAGTCTATTTTACACGTTTGCTCACTTCTCTTGTCTGAAATTATCATTTTTATCAATTTACGAATGATTTCTGCATAAAGTGTACAAAAACTAAATAAAGTAATCGAGGGTAAACATGAATCCGATGGATAACTAATTTTGTAATACTTTAAAATTGTGGGGAAATCTTGGATTTGCTATATAAAAGCCCAGATATACAGCCTTTCTTTTTATCTTACATAAACAAAAATGCCCATTAAATTTCCAAAGCATTTGAAGCCTATTGAACCACAGGGAGCAAGTATTTTAGAAAAAGAACGTCAGAATGCTACGTTTAATACTGAGGATTTGATGGAATTCATTTTCGGAAAGGATTATATCACGAAAAGGAATCGTATCTTAGGCATTCTTCAGAATGATCCTGTATTGGGAGACAAATCTCATCGTTATTATAATGGTCGAGATGTGCGTTTTAAAAAGTCATTAGCAGCTGCCAAGCGGTTTGTTGAATTGCAAAGGTATGTGTCATTTAGATAAAGAAAGGGGGGAAATCATAAACACCTTGTTTATAGAATTCATAACTGGACAGATGAAGAATATGGAATTGCTGACTTTCTTTTTGACGAATCAACTGCAGTAAGGTCGAATATGACAGATCGAGGCACATGCTTACGGTTTTTATTAGTTTCGACTTCATCGTAGCATGTTTATGCCTACTATTGCCAATCAGGGCACTGAGGAGCAAAAAAAGCTGTTCCTGGAACCAGCCTTAAAGTATGAAATTATAGGGTGTTATGCTCAGACAGAGGTAGGCTCTCCTGCTTGTTCTTTTTACCTTTGTTAACATTACGGTTTTATAGCTTGGTCATGGTTCCAATGTACGAGGATTAGAAACAACGGCAACATATCATCCCGAAACTGAAACATTCGTGCTCAATTCTCCCACCTTGACCGCTTCCAAGTGGTGGATTGGTGGCCTTGGTGTTGCCGCCAACTATGCTGTGGTCATGGCTCGACTGATTAGCAATGGTAAAGACTATGGACCTCATCCATTTGTGGTTCAAATTCGCAACTTGGAAAATCACGAACCGTTAAAGGGAATCACTGTGGGTGACATTGGTCCAAAATTTGGCTTCAACACCGTCGACAATGGGTTCATTCTATTTGATAACGTGCATGTGCCTCATATTTCAATGCTTGCACGCTACTCACGTATTGATAAAAAAACAGGAGAGTATATCAATCCACCAAATTCAAAATTGGCTTATGGTACAATGGTCTTTGTTCGAGCAAATATCGTCTTGGGTAAAGAATTCAAAATTGTCTTTCTTTTTTGTCTTATTTTTTGCTCTTAGAATCTCGTCTTGTTCTTGCTAGGGCAGCTACTGTTGCCGTTCGTTATTCTGCAATCCGTATTCAAGGATCTGATGCAGCTAATCCGAAAAAGGTGACAAACAGCAAAGGTGAGTCTGTAGTAGTGGAAACGCCAGTCCTTGATTATACCATGCAACAGTACCGTTTGTTCCCGATTATCGCTCAAGCTTATGCATGTCATTTCACGGGACAGCAAATGCATCGCATGTATAATAAGAATCAAGAAAGAATGGCTCAGGGAGACTTTTCTTATTTAGCAGATCTTCATGCATCCTCGTCCGGACTAAAAAGCTTGACTACGACACTGGCTGTTGCTGCCATTGAAGAGTGTAGGCGAGCTTGTGGAGGACACGGTTATTCACTCTTCTCTGGCCTTGGTCAGTTTTACCAAGATTATCTACCTAAAGCCACTGTAAGTTTTCAATAGGCCTGATATACACAGACTAGAGGAAATTAACATACATTTAGTGGGAAGGAGACAATTATTTGCTGACTCAACAGACTGCACGATACCTTTTCAAGACGATGAGACAGCTACGCGCGGGACGTATAGACGGCAAAGAATCGTTTTCATCAGGATACATATCAGAATATTTATCAAACACCACCGTCCGCTGTTCGTTTAGTTATCTCGAGGAGCTTGATAATCCTGAAGCTTTGCTTTCGGCTTTCAAGTTCCGTGCAGCCTTCCTGGTGGATAAAGCTGTTCACGCTTTGGATGCCGAAGGAGCCAGCTGGAACGACATGCTCGTTGAGATCTATAGAGTCTCGCGTGCTCACTGTCAGCTACTGCTAGCCACGAATTTTATTCAGGCCGTGTTTGGTACATCTTTGCAAGCCAACGCAAACACAGCTCGTGTTCTTCAACAGATCGCTATTCTCTTTTGTCTCTCGACCATCGAGCAAGAGGCAGCTGATTTCTTAAGCTCGGGATATCTCTCTCCTGAGCAATCGTTGATGGTTAAACAGCGACTTGTGCAGGTACTTAAGCTGGTTCGTCCTAACGCAGTCGCATTGGTCGACGCTTTTGGATTCCCTGACTATTTACTCAACTCTGCTCTTGGCGAGAAAGATGGTCATGTTTATGAAAAAATGACGGAGATGGCAGAACGAGAACCACTGAATCAAAATACGGTAGCCGATGGTTATGAAGAGTTTATTCAACCTTTGATACACAAGGGCAAAAAGAACTGGAAGGTTGATCAAGATGGTGTTGCTAAACTTTAGTTGTTTCTTGCACCTTTTATATATATATGTATACACTACATGTAAATAATAAACAAGATTGATTTACCTGTAAAAAAAAAATAGGAAGCAGTCTGTATTTGATACGGTGATAAAATAATATTTGCTCAACATTGTGTTCTATCTCCACACTGATAATCACTAAGGGAATTACGAATAGCTGGTCCTTTTATCAAAGATATGTGCAAAAATAAAGGGGGAACAGGTAGTGCATATTATATATAATTTATTAAGCAACAGCACCAGTGGTAGCGTTAGCAGATGTTCTTTGTAATTCCCATATCTTATTATCAAAAGTACCACAGACATTAAGTAAAAGAGGTATATCGTTTTGGTCAAGTCTAAAAGAGAAGGAAGGGAGGAGAAGAGGAAGAGAAGACGGTAAGTACATCTATTGACATCAAATCTGATTTTACCCTAAGTTGGAGGCTAGCTTGTCTACGTCATCTATAATTCTATTGTCTTCTTGTATAAAGCCTTGAAGCATGGTACTATATAAATATATCAACTGCAGCTTATCCTCCATCATATTAAACAGACTATCCGCTGCTTCTATCCCTTGTTCGATAAATGCTGCTGTGATCTCACTTAACATGGTATGAACTAGGTTAGACGAGATGACTTGTTGCCAAGTACTATTGCTTGAACTTGATAGCCTATGATTTAACACGCGACATTTGCTATATAGATGTTTTAGTCCTTCTTATTTTCCCTTATTCACAAGATATTACTTACAACTGATTTGTATCAATGACCAAGCAAGACGCTTCAGACACCGAGTCTGTCAATGTAAATTGCTCTAATGCGCAATGTAAATCAGCATCAATCATTGAGGTGGCAGGTAAGGTGGGTAGGCCCATCAAGACAAAATCAGACTTGTAAGTATCACAATAAGACGCCATAAGTGATCGACCGTAGGATTTCGCATACAGTCTATCTGCCTTGATGTTTACCATATCCTCTTGGGTGATGTCTGGCTCCATGTGGATAACAGTCGATCTATCAAAAAAAAAAAGTTTAACGATAATATATCATTACTTCCCTTTCATACTTGGGCATTGTAACAGGATAATATCCTGACGTAGACATCATTGGCACGTCAATAGACGAAGAAGGCGTTGACAGTGGTGACAACAAACATGTATCCGGAGACCATTCTTCTTCTATTGTGTTGTTATTACATCTATTTGATTCTAAAGAAGAATAGACAATATCTCGTTTTTGATGTTGTGAGTTTGGTATCGCAATGGATTCTACATCTCCTGTCAAGTGTTGAACGATCTTGTCTTCAAATTGAGTATCATCACTATCTTCCTTTACTTCTTGATTAAATATTGAGTCATCAGCCATAGCTTTTATCCTACTCTCTGTATTTTCATAGACTTCATTGCATCGAATGAAATAAGTAAGTATGTACAGTATCCTTCGTACAAGGCTCGGTCGTAGTCCAATGACTAACGTTCTTGTAATCCTTGATGGAGTACCAATAAATCCGTACAAGTCGCTGAATGTAAAAACATGAGTTCCTTTTTCTAATGAAAAACTGTGCGGTTCGATCTACCTTAGTTGTGCCCATAGTGGATCATAGTTACCGTGATGAAGATGCTAGGTAAAAAAAATAAGTTGATCATTCATTGTAAACACGACTACTACTTACAATATTTGTATTGGGTGGAGCGACTGTATAAACCCAGGAAAGGTGATGCATGAGTACGGCGGTTAAGAGCGTTGATATAAAGTAATGATGCGTTTTGTTATCGAATTGGTGTATGAGATCCACAAGTTCTTTTAATAAGCTTGCTTGATAATTTGATTTGCGGTGAGGAAAAGTCGACATGTTTAACCATAAAGGTTCCTATGAATAAAACAACTATTCGAGGGATTGTTATTTAAATATATAATTTACCTGTATCCTTGGTGTCGTGTATAGATCAAAAAATGTCTTTTTAAATTGATTTACGGCGTCGATTAAGATAGAATCATGCTGAAAGGTATCAGAATATAAATAATAAGGGTTGGATGATGAAGATGATGATGATGAGAGTTTTTTCTTTTGCAGTAAAGAATGAGAGATATGAGGATGTTTAAAATATTGATAGAGCTGCTTGAATGCGACTGCTTGTAGTTGATGTAATCTGTTTTCTATTAAAGCGAAATGAGAGAAAATAAAGTCATAGAGTGTTTCATTTTTATCGTATAGAGTGATGATGAAAGCAACGGCATATTTCATTCTACAGTTTGTTATCACAGATTTTGTAGGTGTATGTGGTAATGGAGTCGGACTAAACATGGTTTCCATATTGGTTTGACTAAAGCGACGATTTCTTTTTATTTGTAGTCCAAGTATAGGCGGATAATATAGATGACCATCTTCATCACTTTCTGATATGTTGTCTTCAAAATAAATGGATGAAAAGTCACTGTTTATGGATGAAAATGATGTGCGCCTTTGATTATTATTGTTTAATGTAAACAGTTTTGATATTATAATCTGAGGATGCTTGTCTCTTTTATAATAGTGTATCTTGGTATTCATTCCTTTATATGCAAGTGGTGCAGTACCAAAGATCATTTCTCCAATTAGATCCAACTTTCGACTGTTCTATTTATTAGTTAGTTTATTATATCAATGATGTGACCTTTTTTACATGTCTATGATCAGATAGAGAAGGCATTGTTCTCATATAAGCATGATTTCTCGAATGGAATGATGAACTCGTATGACTTGATTCTAGACTCGTCGGCTTTATTATTCGTTCATCATTCCATGAATGCGCCATCGATGCTGTGTTTGTATTGGAGGTTGTGTGATTATAGTCTGAATCAAATAATATCGTCTTGTTTGATTCTCCTGCATCCTGACAAAATATGATCCTAACATGATCTTGTTGTATAGTCTGAGGTTGCCATCTATATCATAATATTTAATCATATCTCTTCTCTTTTATATTTACGTGGCATACGGTTGTGGTTCGAGTAATTGTCTTGTATGGTTATCTTGACTATCGCTTATATTCTTGTTTTTAAATAATCGATGAAGCATCTTTTATTTCTCTCTCTTTCGTCATGAAAAAACAAAAAGGGTAAAGAAAGAAGAAATAAAGAGAGAGAGAAAAAAAAAAGAGCAATGTACTGTATGACAATCATGACAGTCAACTGAATGGTCACATGATGAATTGCATTACTGCACTCTAGACCTTTTTCCCCTCTCTTTTGTTTACTGGATTTGATCGAAATAAATATTTATGCTGACCTTGAATAGTTTTACACTGTCATTAAACCTTTCTTTCTCTATTATTGGAAACGAATTATGGAGTAAAGAGATTTTCTGAAAAAGATCTCAAAAGTTTGTTGAATATGACTTTTAATAATAAGAAGAGGACCTCTTGTGATCCTTTTTTGACAGATGCAAAAGTACTTGTATCACACACCGCGCATATGTGAATACTACCCTACATGAAAGCCAAACTCGTAAAAATCTTTTCAGCACGATATAATTTGACCGGGCAGAACCGGAAGAAGTACTCATCTTCTTCAAAATAAAGTAAAAATCGGGGGGAAGCCATAAAAGTAACTGGATAAATTCCAGTTGTATAAGCGTTGTAATACAATGAATGAGCAAGAAAAAAAAAGTGACAGGAAGACAAGGACAGAAAGATAAAGCGGAGACGGGTGTCAGTTTACTCTATTGTTCGTCTCTTGGCGTAACAGTAATTATTGAAGAAAGAGGGAAAGAAGAGATTAAAATGTAACCATGAATAAAAGAAGTAGATCTTTTAAGGATAACACTGTTGATAGTTTTTTTTTCTCTACACTATCTTTGTTTGCCTACTTTTTGACCAATCAGACAAGAACGAAAAAAAAAAAAATCACAGAGCGCACACACACGCGCGCGGAGAGCGATTCACCGTTTTCCTTTATTAAAATAATGGTGACTTATGGTGGAGGTAAAGAAATGATTAAATCTACAGACAAATCTCAAACATTTGTCCTCTTATAGACGAAGTAAATGCCGTCGTGTTGGACATGGGATCAACTTCCACACGCGTAGGTTTTGCAGGCGAAGAAGTACCTAAAGCTATAATTCCAACTTGTTATGGTGTTGATCAAAATAACAATTATCATGTGGGTGACGCTCAACTTAACACATGGAGACCTAACGTTGAGATCAAGAATCCAATGGAGGATGGCATGATTCGTGATTGGGACGCCGTTGAACAGATTTGGAAAACTGCTTTCCAAGACTATCTTCACATCAATCCTTCAGAGCATCCCTTTTTATGTACTGAACCAGCCTGGAATACAACAGAGAACCGTGAAAAACTGATGGAATTGGCTTTTGAAAAGTTTGATATGCCTGCTTTTTATGTAGCAAAGAGCCCTGTGATGACAGCGTAAGTGTATGTGTAGGCGTGTTTTTTATATAACTAACCAAAAGAGAAAACAGGTATTCAGTAGGCAGAGCCACTGCTTTAGTTTTAGATTCAGGAGGAAGCATCACGAGTGCAGTACCTGTTTATGATGGTTATGTCTTGAAGAAGGGTATCTTGCATCAATCAATAGGCGGCGATTTGCTATCAGAACAGATTAAAGAGCACCTGAAAAATGACTTGAGAATGAATATAACCCCACTTTATAAAATTGCGAAAAAGAAGCCAGTTGGAGCTGGTGAACGGCCTCAAGTTGAATTACGAGAAAGACCAAACACAACAAAGAGCTTTGAAGATTATCATGTTTCTAGAATTATTCATGAATACAAAGAATCCGTATCTCAGGTATCAGAAATTCCTTTTGACGAGCGATTGATGGCACAAAGGCCTCAAAGACCCTTTGAATTTCCTGATGGTTATAATACGACATTTGGTGTAGAAAGATACAGAGTACCAGAGATCATGTTTAACCCACACCATATTCGTGTGGTAAGTATACAAAGAGAAAACGGTATACATGGAGCTAAATGACATGTGGTAGCCTCCAGTTGAACAAGGAAAAGAAAACGAAAAGATTCCTTCATTAGGATTATCCATGAACCAACTTCGACATACTGTTGGTGTCTCTAAGCTTGTTTATAACAGTATCACAGCTTGTGATATGGATTTGCGTCCTCTATTGTTTAATAATGTCATCGTCACAGGTGGAAACACACTCTTTTCTGGGTTCATTGAACGACTGAGTAACGAGTTGCCCATGATGATACCAGGCGTAAGTGCAGTCATTAGAGGCATATTGAAACAGTAATAACACTGCTTTGTAGGCAAAGGTAAAAGTTCATGGCGCAGGAAGTCAGATTGAACGTAAGTGCAGTAGTTGGTTAGGTGGCTCTATTTTAGCTTCCTTGAATACTTTTCATCAAATGTGGATATCAAAGAAGGAATACGAAGAAATTGGATCTTCGATCATAGAAACAAAGTGTCAATAAATGCATATTTTTTATTCTAGTTTATTTGATCAAATGAAGTGATAATCTTGAATGCTTTACTTTCATCTCCAAGTGGGGCATTGCCTGGGCGATCTGAGATCACGACTTGATAACCAACTTCACTAGCGGCAACAATCTCTTTGATATTGTCAGAAACGAATAGAATGGATGAGCATTCCTTGTTGATTTCCTGAGCAATCTTTTTATAAGATTCAGGTTCAATCTTTAAGCCAATTTTTGTATCAAAGTATCCAGAAAAGTATTTTGACAAGTCTCCCTTGGTCGAGAATCCGACAAGAAGCTTTTGAGCAGGGACGCTTCCGGATGAATAAATGTAAATCTTTTTGCCCTCAGCAATCCATTGATCTAATCTTGGTAAAACATCGTCGTATATCCTATTTACAAAAGCCAACATGTATTAGTTGGGTTATTTTAACACAATGATTTACTTACACGCCACGGAGCTCTCCAGACTCATATCCTTCTTTCCACATGTAACCTTGAAAGGATTTTAAAGCACCAATCTTGCGATCTGCCTTCATTTGCCAGTTGATGTTCTTGATAACACTTGATTTGATTTCCTCAGGTGAACTAATTATATTAAAATATAGTGGTTAACTTTTTTTGTTATTTCTGAGTGTTGGTTTTACGCTTCTGCTTCAGTAGGAATCAGGTTTGCTTCAGGAATTTTGTTATCAACATCTTGTTTTGCCTACATGTATTCAATGACTTGCAACAAAGAAGTTTGTGCACAATTTTACCTGTTTTCGAAGTAATTCAATTTGATCCTTTAATTCTGGTGAATCCCAAACGCGATCAAGGAATGCCTTCAAACCACTTGTAACATAGGGAAACTATTGATTATAGTCAGTGATTACATGTATCAATAACAAACTAAATTACTTACCAAGGTTTCATGAACAAAGGTAATGGGTGTAATAGTTCCTTCAATGTCAAGGACAACTGTATCGTAGTTTGACATTTTTTATTTTTAAAAGAAAAAACAAAGAGGAGTTCTACTTCTTTTCTTCATAATAAAAAAAAATGTCTGTGATTTATTACAAATTTAAAGTAGCCAAAGATTCAGATTATGATGTGTTTACATTTGATGGCCCAGGAGCCACTGTATTTGACTTGAAAGCTGAAATCATTCGAGCCAAGAGGCTGGGAAAGGGAACAGATTTTGATCTTGCTATTTACAATGCACAAACAGACGAAGGTAAATAAAATAAAATACAATCATGTATTCAATGAGGTTATTAAAAGAATGTATATATAAAAGAATATAAGGATGACAACTTTATGGTACCAAGAAATACTTCCATTATCGTCAGACGACTACCAGCCTCACGACCGGGAAAAGGTACAGCACAGCGCTATGTAATAGGAGCAATGGATAATAAGGGTCAAAGTGGTATAATAAAGAATCCAACTGGAACACCAACAAATCCAACATCTACATTTATGTCAAATCACAGAAATTTGGTATTAAATAACACACAAAGATCTCTTCCTCCTCAACAACAGCTTCATCAACAACAACAACAGCAGCAGCAACAACAACAACCGCAGCAAATGCAAATGGATTCAATCAATCCTCAAAATGACGCACCCAAGGATGATTCTGAAGAGGCGCGTATTCAAGCCATGTTCCAACAAACAACAGATCAATGGGGAGTGATGCAGGAAAGACTAGCAGAGTAAGCTCAGTATATATAAAGAAAAGGAGCTCAAACTAACTGATTATGTAGACAACAATATATTCCGTATAGTGCACGTGACCCTAGCAAACGTGCACGATATCCAGGTCAAAATAATGGCGAAAATAAGGATGGACAAATGCCTCAGAGAGTACCACCTCCTAACTATGTATGCTATCGATGTGGACAAAAAGGCAAGTATACAGTGCGTATATGTTTGATTGGAAAGTCTAATTCTATTATACAGGTCATTATATCAATCAATGTCCTACCAACGGCGACAAGGAATATGACAAGCATCCTCGAATCAAGCGCACCACAGGTATCCCACGTAGTTTTCTAAAGGTCATTGAAGAGCCGAAGAATGCAGTGAAGGCAGGCACAGGAGGACTCATGGTGACTTCGAAGGGAGATATTGTAGTTGCTCAAGCAGATTCAACAGCATGGGATAAGCATGTGGCCAAGGCAGCTACTACCATTGGCCTTGGATCATCATCAGCAGGCGATTTGACAGACTGGTATGAATCAATTCCTGCACCTGACCATCTAAAATGCACCATCTGTCAAGGCCTCTTACGGGATGCTAGTATAACACCATGCTGTGGTGCCAGTTTTTGTGATGACTGTATTCGAGTTCACATGATGGATCATGACTTTGCCTGTGCCGAATGTCAACAGCATATTCAACATGGTTTAGATGGATTGATTGCCAATGTGGACGTGAGGGAATGTGTAGAAAATTACGTTCGAAAGTTTGCTCATCATTAAATAAAGCTTACTTTTTTATTTACAATCCCAAGCCGAATCGGTTGCTTCTTGACCAAGTGGTTGAGCATTGAGGGCAGGTCGGATTCACTGATTCTCTAAACTGGGTATCCGCACAGTATTTATGAAGTCGAACGGGACAGTTGCCAAGTTCGCAGTACTCGCCCATGGTAACAATATCTAGACAGATAGTACATTCCTTGATCGCATCTCCATATTGATCACGGAGGTAACTTTGAAGTTCTGCCAGTCCTCTGGTATCAAAGAAATAGATACCCTTTTCTTCTTCTGCGATCCAGCCGTCTTGAACAAGTCGTTCGAGGATGTCTTGAGTTTCCTTTTGTGATAATTGAAGTCGCTGACCTAAACGTATAGCATTCATTGAACTGATGGCAAAGTTTTCATTATCTGCATTCACAATGGCATCAAACTTTGTGAATGAGGGATTATTAAATTGTACATAGATTAAGGGATCTAACTTACTAGTTCTTTACAGTATTTAAGTTCAGCTGGTGTATAATTACTTGCAATTTCTGTCATTTTGTCTTGTTTGACATTAACAAGTGATATATAATTATCACCTGTTCTTTCATTCCGTGATCGTCTTAGTGAGTAATCAAGTTCTTCCAACAATTTGTTTATTTGAGCAACAAAAATAGCAAAATCAGTTGATTCTCCTGTTTTTTTTTTTTTTAGATTGTTAAAAAAAGTGGATATTATTATTATTGCCTTTACTTTCTGTCACTGAACATATTTTCATATAAATATTTTCTGCTTCTTCTTCAGACAAGGAGCGTCTCGAGAGCATGGCTTGTACGAATAATCGATGAGAATCATTGTATTCTTGTGTATTACGCACGTCAGACATGATGAGTTCAGAAAAGAAAGAAAAAAAAAAGCTTTTTTATATTTTATTTTTTAGATAAAGTTTAGAATATTTTGATCAGAAGGCAGCAATGGATCCAGTAACCAATGGTTACTATGATCAAAGGCATCTTGATAATCTGTTGTTGTTAAAAGAGGGAGAGAATCAGTTACATGCTTGGGGTCTATTAACCATTGAGTTTGATCGAAATAGGCAGGTTCAGGTGTAACAGACGGAGAGGTGGACATGTCACGGTACATTGTGGTGGGCATCAAAACCAGTTTGGAGGCCAACTGTGGAGCTTGTGAAATCAGCTCTAACAGGGAATGCTTTAGCTGATTATGATTTCCATTCAGTGAATGAGTCATGTTCTCAAGGCTGGCTTGCTTGTATTCTGTAAAGTCACCACATCGAACCCAATCAAGATCAGTACCACAGCGTTTCATAGAAAATGTGACTTCGTTAATTTCAATGTCAAGTTGACCAAGTTCTGGGTTGAGGGAACCAAGCCTAATTTGCTGAATTTGATTATAGTTCACATGAATCCTGAATTGATGACCGCCATCCTGAACTTGCCAGATGAGTTGATGACCATCAGCTAAACAGACAAGATCATATTCATGGTCATTTATAGGACTAGCAAATCTTGCCCATGTCCCAATGTGGAGGGCAGTAACCGGTATAGTAATATATTCTTTAGCTATTGAAACACAAGAAAAGGAGAGAGGGTAAGTTATAAGGAGAAAAAAATACGATAAAAGGAAATATTATTACCTTCTTTAGCTATACTTCGGTCCATACCTTCCGACATGGCTCTTGGTGGTAAACTAGGGGGTGGCATACAAAATCTTTCTGGCTTTGAGGATGAACGGGGTCTTTTCTTGACGGGTTCCTCATAGCATTCGGGTGTAACCAGGGTACGGAAAGTGGTTTGAAAGTGTTGCTCCTGGTCCTTCTTTTGTTTGACAGGCATATCAATCCAACCTGTTCGAACATTGGGCTGTAGTGTTGACTGTTCCAATTTGCGGGCCTTTGCTCGTCGATTCTGAAACCAGATTTGGACAGTTCGTTCAGATACTCCGAGTTCCTGCGCAAGCTGAGCTCGCATGGCAGCATCCGGAAGTGTATTGGTTACAAATGTTTCCTGCAATACGGCAACTTGACTAGGCTTAAGATGTGTTCTTCTTCTAGAACTTGTTGGGGGATAAGGTTTACTATGCATAATGAAAGTGTGGGTTTCTTTTTAAAAGGAAAATGGAAAGGGTTACGTGAGCCAGCACGAAGATGTATAAAAGATAAAAAGAAAGGATAAAGAAAGAAAGAAAAAAAGAAGGAGAAAGAAAGTTTATTTAAATGAAAAATAAGGAGAAAAGAAAAAAAAGCTTTTTATTGTGTGGGAGAGAAAGAATAAAGAAAAAAAGGAAATCAGCGGATCGAAAAAAGAGAGATACTCTCAGACTATGATTCCTAAGGGAATCCAATCAATATAAAGCGGTCATTTTAAATAAGATATAATATACAAAGTAAAGCCAATCGCATACAAGAGCGAGAGTGCACTGATTAACTTTACCCTTATTTTCATACTGTAACCTTTCACTAATATAAATATAGTTCATGCAACAGGAAAGATATTATTTTAGACCCTTAACCAATGTACAACGATACTTTGACATTTAATTCTTGCATATTCAATATCCAATCAATTAGTTTGATTACGGAAATAGGCTTAGTTTTAGGAAAGAAAGGATAATTCCATTCTATCTGAGAATAACTAAGCCTATTACAGATGAGCACATGATAAGACACCTTTTAATACTTTACATTGTGGGTATTACAAAATGTATAAACTTTTTACTTTATTGTTTATAAACGTAATTTCCTCATGTTTAACAAGCAAAAAGGAGATTTATATCTCTAAAATGTGTAGCTCAGGTGAACTTTTCTCCTTTTTTTTCCCAGAAAACAAATGCTACGACAAGATTAGTTTCTACTTTATGGCACATGAAAATCCTCTATAGTCATTCCACTCCTAATTTGTGCAGCTTTCCAAAATCTTGGTTTCCTCCCTTTAAAGAACTGATATTTTCTTTATTCTTTTTCTATATGTGAACAATATATAGATCGGACAAACCCAGGATTCCGGAGAATTGTGTTATGATTGTCTAGAATTCATTGAATATGGCAGGAAAATAGAAATTACAATATAAAAGGAGGAAATCTTTAAATACTGGATTCAGTTTCAATACATTAATGCCTTTTCTTTTTGTGTTTTATTAGAAGAATAAATTATATATCATATCAACCATGCCAAAGTGTCGCACAATTCAGGAAAAAAAAAATGCGATCGAAGCTGTCTTACTTGGCCATCCAAATTAAAAGGCTCGACTAACCGTGTTAATGCATTTGACTCAATATCCTTGGCTTTTGTCCAGCTGCCTTGGGTACTAATTAACAGCTTGGAACCATCCCTCGTGCTTTGGATGCATGGCCAGGGGTTCCGGCACGTTGGATTGGTTGTGAGAATTGAGGAGGTAGCTGAGGTAGACAGTTTTGGGCAGATGCCAACTGATCTTTATAAAGTCCCCACCTTGGTTTTTTTTTTTTAAAAATTTCATATTGTCAGTTTGATCTAAAAAGACCATTTAGCTCACGTATGATTGTGATATATTCGTATTTTACATCAAAGGGTATCCTACTAGTCAATCTTACATGTAGTGTCTAGAAGAAGTGCTCACTATATAAGTTAGATAAGATGACATCGATAGTTTGATTCATTATCTTTTCTAAACGTGGTCTACATTGATTAAATCTTTATTAAGATCAAAATATTGGGAATAAATAAAGATGGTCTATACATTATACAAATAAATACACAATTTTCTTATTTAGGCGTACTCTTCAGGAGAAGGACAAGTACACATCAAGTTTCTATCACCATAGGCATCATCTACACGAGACACACTAGGCCAGAATTTCTTTTCACGCAAGTATGGCATGGGGAAAGCAGCGACCTCACGAGAGTAAGGGCGGTCCCATTTATCAGACATGAGTGTCTTGAGAGAGTGAGGAGCTCTGTTGAGCATATTGTCCTTCTTGGGTAATTTGCCGTCGATCACTTGTTGAATCTCTTGACGAATAGAAATCATGGCATCACAGAAACGATCGAGTTCAGCCTTGCTTTCGGATTCGGTGGGTTCAATCATCAGCGTATTGGTGACTGGCCAAGACATGGTGGGGCTGTGGAATCCGTAATCTTGAAGACGCTTGGCAACATCAATGGCTTCAATACCATAGTCCATGAAAGGTCGAATGTCAACGATAAATTCGTGACCACACATACCGTTTTCGTTGGTGAACAAGATCTCGTAGTGCTCAGACAGACGGCTGGCCATGTAGTTTGCGTTCAAAATGGCGAGCTTAGTAGCCTTTGTTAAGCCTTCACCACCCATCATCTTGATATATGCCCAGGAGATAGGCAAGATTGAAGCAGATCCATAAGGAGCAGCAGAAACAGGCCCAATCGCGTTTTGTCCGCCACAGGGAACGACGGGGTGGCCAGGAAGATAGGGTTCGAGTTCTTTGGTACATGCGATAGGGCCCATACCTGGTCCACCACCACCATGAGGAATACAGAAGGTCTTGTGCAAGTTCATGTGACAGACGTCAGCACCAATCTCTGCAGGCTTGGTTAAACCTATCTGGGCATTCAAGTTGGCACCGTCAAGGTAAACGAGACCGCCGTGTTGGTGTACGACTTTGCATGCGTCAGCGACACCTGCTTCAAACATACCAAATGTACTAGGGTACGTGATCATGATAGCACCCAATCGGTCCTTGTACTTTTCTGCTTTTGCTTTCAAATCCTTCATGTCCAAGTTACCCTTGCTGTCACACTGAATAATCACAATGTCCATACCACACATGGCTGCAGATGCAGGGTTGGTGCCGTGAGCTGAGATAGGGATCAAACACACATTACGGTGGCTTTCACCACGAGCTTGGTGGTAGGCACGGATGACACGAAGACCAGCGTATTCACCTTGAGCGCCTGAGTTAGGTTGAAGGGAGACACCATCAAAGCCAGTGATTTCCTTCAAGTCATCTGCAAGCTCATCCAACATCGCGAGATAGCCACGTGTCTGATCAACAGGTGCGAATGGGTGAATATTGGAAAATTCGGGCCAGGTAACAGGAATCATTTCGGTTGTGGCGTTCAACTTCATGGTACAGCTGCCAAGAGGAATCATGGAATGGACCAAGGAGAGATCCTTGCTTTCGAGATGATGGATGTATCGAAGCATCTCGGTCTCAGAGTGATAGGAGTTGAAGACAGGGTGAGTCAAATAGTTGGACGTACGCTTGAGCTGATGAGGGAAGGTTAGGCGGTTGGATTCCAATGTACTGGACAGGCTCTCGACGGTGACGACAGGTGCACCTTCCTTCTGGAACACATGGAGGAGCTTGTCGAGATCTTCTTGGGTCACTGCTTCATCCAAAGTGATGCCGATAGTGTGGTTATCGATAGCACGAAGGTTGATGCCCTCTGCAGCAGCCTTTTGAAGGATAGAGGACGAGTTGCCGACGTTGACGGAAAGTGTATCGAAGAAATTGTCCTTGTTTTCGATCTCGAAGCCATACTGACAAATACCATTAGCCAAGACAGCTGTCATGTCATTAATACGTTGTGCAATGGCTCGAAGACCTTCGGGTCCATGGTAGATAGCATACATGGCGGACATGTTGGCCAAAAGAGCTTGGGCGGTACAGATGTTACTGGTAGCCTTTTCACGACGAATGTGTTGTTCTCTAGTTTGAAGAGCGAGGCGATATGCGTTGTTACCATCTGCATCCTTGGATACACCAATCAAGCGACCTGGGATACGACGCTTGTGTTCTTCTTTACAGGCGAAGAAGGCAGCGTGAGGACCACCAAAGCCCAAGGGAACACCAAATCGTTGAGAGTTACCAAGGGCAATATCAGCACCAAATTCACCAGGAGCCTTCAACAAGGTCAAGGCCATCAAATCAGTAGCAACTGCGACAAGACCACCAGCAGAATGGATTCGAGCAGTCAAGGCTTCATAATCGTGAATGGAGCCACGGGTATTGGGATACTAATTTTGGACAAAAACAAATAAGCACTTTCATTCTCCTACATATTTCCCCACGCCCTCTTTTTTTCTTTGTTGTTTTACCTGCAACAAAACACCACAGAGATTCTTTTTGTTTTCCTCAAAATGATATTGAAGCACATTGGCAACGACAATTTCTATATTGAATGCTTCAGCGCGGAGCTTTAAGCAAGCAATGGTTTGGGGGTGACAGTTTTCATCAACCACATATACGTTCTTTTTGCTACGTGCTGATTGCCAGCTCATCAACATGGCTTCAGCGGCGGCAGTACCTTCATCCAAGAGAGATGCATTGGCAATAGGCAAACCGGTAAGATCAGAAACCATAGTCTGATAGTTCAATAAGGATTCGAGACGACCTTGGGCAATCTCGGGCTGATAGGGTGTGTACTGCAGATGGTTTTAATTAAACCTTAAAAGTTAAAAGGGAGTATGTTCTTACCTGTGTATACCATGCTGGATTTTCGAGGATGTTGCGCAAAATGACATTGGGTACTACCGTATCTGTATAGCCTTGACCGATATAAGAACGATTGACCATGTTCTTTGAGGCAATGTCCTTGAGACGTTTGAGCAACTGGCGCTCGGGAAGACCTTGTCCGATAGCTAATGGCTTTGGAGAACGAATGGCAGATGGGATAGTCTTTCCCAAGAGTTCATCGATATCCTTGATACCCAATTGATGTAACATTTCCTGAACTTCTTTACCTTCAGAACCGATATGACGACGAGGAAAGGTATCCAAAGGAGCTAATTTAGCTAAAGCAGGCTTAGTTGTATGTTGCAAACGAACAACAGACTTGACATGAGCCTTGGGTAAAAGCGATTGTCTGAGAACTGAAGTAGAGGCAGAAGGTAAGCGTGCAATAAGAGCACTTCTTGAACGAGTAGCAACACGGGACAGCATATGGAGTTACGCCCCTCTCGAAAGTGTATAAAGAAGAGTGAAAAGAGATCAAATGAAAAAGCTTCCGTTTATATACATATCTCATCTATTTTTTTCACTCGTGAATTTTGTGTATGAAAGGGTGAGATGGTTACTATCTATTGGAAAAACTCGGTTTGATCTACCTACCATTAGAGGTAACCATAGGTCCCGAGTACATCCACTCTGTCAAAGTAGTCACTTTTTTTTTACTTCAAAAAAAAAATCATTGCCTTTTAAAGTCAATAACGATCAAAAAAGGCTTGGCGCACACCACAATTGTTATTATTATTCGCGTCCTGTAATCTATACTTTATTCAACATGACCTCATTCATTCATAAAAATGAGATGTTACAAGGATAATGAAAAAAGAACCAACAGACCAGAGTACGAAGAATGTGAGTAGTGACAAGATTGGCCTGAAGTGAGTCCCATTTTCAATATGAAACAGCTCTGAAAAAATTAAAGAGTTGTTTGGGATGCAAAACAATGTGGAGTATCTGAGCAACTACGTGTTTGGTAGATGAAGCAACTTTCCACATCAACATGGAGCGTCATCATATTTGATGGAAAAAAGGGACTCTAGTGCAATTGTCAACATTGTCAACAGGAAACAGACAAGACTACCAGCAAGCATGCCGCTGTCACTGGCCACTGTTTCAACTTTTTCACGAGTACAATGGGCGTGCTAGACACAAGGGTCAGTTATATTGTGATGGATAATACGCCTCTGATGATCCAACCATCATCCATCTATATCAAATTGCCTTCTTCGAATTCTACTCGTACCAAACTTTCCAACTTGCTGTGGACATCATTTACTCAACCAACAAACGCCTTTTTCAAAGTATAGTTAAAAAGATTAATGCAAACAAAGATCAAAACAAGATCCAACAAATTTGCGAAAAAGCCATACAGCACAATGAGGGTGTCAAGGCCTTCCTTATCTTCACAAAAGTTGGAATATTCACAACTCCAAAACATATTATGATGAAGCAGGGTTTTGTTGGGTGAATGGCGTGTTTGATGAAGTAATCATTATAATAAAGCATATACTCTTTCGATTTGTTTATAGTATCATTTTATAACACATTGACAACATTTAACCTTTATTGATGAAGTCCACATTGTAGTCTACTTTAATCTTCTTCAGCTCTTCTTTCAACAAAGAATGTTATCATCAACTTCTTCGGCTTTTACAAAAAAAAAAAAAACTGGCTCCAACGGACATCATCCTTCAAGAAAAATCAGCCTGGTCGAACGGATTGGAAGTCGTGCCTGTAAACAGGTCAACGTCAAAATCACCTTGCTATGTTCACCAACACGAGGTGACATGTACGACAGCATCCTCTAAAGAAAAGAAAAATTGAATAAAAAATGTAGGTTAGTAAAGTAAAGTAAATGTATTGTAGCCTTGAGACGCATGAGTAAGGAAGCGTGAAGGTGTAAGGAGCAAGTTTACTTAATATTTCCAGAAAGTAACCCTTCACCATGTATGCTTATTTGGACCTTCTTGATGAGCATCCATTTCATTTTGACTTCCTTTAACAAAAAAATGTGGTGCTACAAAGTTGTTCTCATTGACATTGAGCACTTATAAAATACTTTTATGCATAGATCATGCGTAATGCATTGATTATGGGCAAACTGAACAAAATATAATACGGTTAGCAGAATAGAGAGCTACTTGTACTGATGTATCAGTTACAACAACATCATAGACACTATAAAAAAAACATGTAGAGTGCTGTATCCCTTTATGATACTCAGAATAGAAAAGAAGCTTATTTTTCAAATATATCAGTTACTTGTTATTGGTTAGTAGATCCTTTTTGAATCTTCTATTTGTGTACTATACAGCCAATTCCATCAAGTAGAAGAAATATTAGAGTTTCATCTGATTAATTCATGTAGTCCTTGTCAAAAGCAAGCTAAAGTGCTACTTAAATAAAATGGTGGGGAAAATGGCAGGAAAGCATCAAGTGAATAATAATAAAAAAAAGCCTTGGGATAACTGGAAATTCATTATGCTTCAAGGTCACCTTTTTTTTTTTCTTTTCTTTCTTTCTTTTTTAGCCTCTGATTAAGACGCGATGGCAAATAGTAAGTTTGTATATATCAGCAGTAAAAGTAAGACTGATAAGCGTTTTGATTAGGCGAGAGTATACCTACTTTTAGTTTTAGCTTACAAGATATTACATCGGAAGGTACAAAATAAACTACATGTACTTAATAGATTCTAATTAATATAATAAAGAATGGGACCCCCAAATTGGGTGGGACGATTCAAACCAAAACAACCAGAATGGCTGGAATCAACAGCAACAACAACCACAAATCACTTGGAATCAACAACAACAACAACAGCCACAGCAAAGTAGTTGGAATCAACAGTATCAACAACCTCAGCAGCAATCACAGCAGCAATCACAGCAGCCTCAGAGCCGTTGGAGTCAACCTCAACCTTCTCAAAACAATAATCCACAAGGCAACTGGAATCAACCTCAACAACAGCCTGCTCAATGGTCTCAATCACAGTCAGCTGAAGGTTCTTTTGGCACCCAACAAAGTAAATGGGCTAGCGATGAACCATCACAGAGCCAATGGAGCAATAATAATGGGCAACAATGGAGCCAACAGCCTCCTGCACCAGTAAACAATACTCAAAGTATAATTGTATACATATGAGTGTATTACTATTAGATTAACAACATATGATAGCTCCACAGGTGATTGATTTAGACTTTGGTGAGATCACCAGAGATCTCCAACCAGATTCAGGTAAGTAATATTGTATGTTTTTTATTGTTCAATAAGCTTACTTTTTCTTTAATAGAGCCTAATGTCATTCGTAACTTGTTTGACAACCCTCACAAAGTCCGTGTTACAATGAGTGATAGCCAACTTGACCCCAATTCACCTCTGTATTCAGTTAAAAGCTTTGAACAATTGGGGCTGTAGGATGCACTATACTAAGAAAAAGAAAAAAACAAAGGCTAAAGCTATTTAATCTAGAAATAATTTGCTACTCAAAGGCTTGTATGCCATGGGATTCAATAAGCCATCCAAGATTCAAGAAAGAGCTCTTCCTTTGATGATTTCTAATCCGTAAGAATTGGTTGATTTCTTTGTTTTAAAACTTGTTAATCATTTCTCGCGTTTATAGCCCAACCAATATGATTGCTCAATCGCAGAGTGGTACAGGAAAGACGGCTGCCTTTGTCTTGGCTATGCTTTCACGCGTTGATTCGACTATTGACAAACCACAAGCGATATGTTTAGCTCCTTCTAGAGAATTGGCTCGTCAAATATGTGAAGTGACTCAGAAGATGGCTCAATTTACGAATATCAAGGCAACTGCAGTCATTAAGGAAAGCAGGCGTAGAACGATTAATGAACAGGTCGTCATTGGTACACCAGGATCAGTTATGGACTATATGCGTCGTCGTTTTATTGATGTGAGTGATATCAGAGTGTTTGTATTGGATGAAGCAGACAATATGTTGGATCAAGACGGTTTAGGTGATCAAAGTATCCGTATCAAGAGCATGATCCCTGCCAACCCTCAAACCTTGCTCTTTTCAGCTACTTTCCCTGATCATGTTCGTAAGTTTGCTAGCAAATTTGCACCTAAAGCAAACGAAATGTCATTGTCTATTCATGAATTAAGCGTGGATGCTATCAAGCAATTTTACTGTGACTGTACGAGTGAAGAACATAAATATGAAGTATTATGTCGACTTTATGAGCTGCTGACAGTCAGTCAGAGTATTATCTTTTGTCGACGACGTGAAACTGCGTTTGAAATTGCTAAGCAAATGCAAGAACAGGGACATGCAATTGCTTGCTTACATGGTGGTATGACGCCTGAAGAACGAGACAAGGCTATGGATGACTTTAGACGTGGTGAATTCAAGGTCTTGATTACAACAAATGTTGTGGCTCGTGGTATCGATATTCTTCAGGTTACTCTGGTTGTCAATTATGATATACCTTTAGATCCTAGAGGTTATCCTGATACTGAAGCTTACTTGCATCGTATTGGTCGAACAGGCCGATTTGGAAGAACAGGTGTTTCTATCATCTTTGTGTACAATGAACAAAGTTGGAAGCAAATGCAGTACTTGGAAAACCACTTTCAACGTCCGATTGAGCGTATACCTACTGATGACTGGGAAGAAGTTGAGCGTATCTTAAAGCCCGTCTTGTAAAAAAAAAAAAAGCTCGCCTCAAAAAAGACAAACTTTGCGCATAGTGAAATTGAGAAGATGATATGTGATTGTTAATCTTGGCATTTATTTGTATTAAGAAAAAAGAACAAAAAATTATAAAAAGATGTATGTTTTTTACTATATCTCTTTTTTTATGAGATGATTTTTTAAAGAAGTGTGTCGTAGTTTCAATTTAGTATTGTTTACACTTTTTTTACTGTTTTAACGCAATGGGCATACAGGCAGATATGAAAGCTGAGGATAAGGTTGAGCACAGCGATGTTGAAGAGTCTGAAGTTGACGAAGAAGTTGAAGATATAAGTGAGGAAGGACTTTTGGATGAAGTTCCAGAAGATACTACTGTAATATTATATATGGTTCATGTTTAATCATATTGTCCTAATACTATATATAATGTTGCTCCTACAGGAAATAGACCTTGTCCACATGAAGATTAGCAATTTGACTGCACTCAAATTAGAGAGATTCAAACAGTTGGAAGTAAGCAAAGAACGCGTCTATTTTATACCTGAGCTAATTCTATTGTTGATAGCACATTTATTTTAGACAAAACTTTATTATTGATATTGAAGGTTTAGAAGGTTTAGACAGCCTTAGGGAACTTGACTTGTATGACAATAAAATATCTCATATTCGAGGATTAAATCACCTTGTTCAGCTCAAGTAAGATATACATATATATATATATCAAGCTCAAAAGACACTAATATGCCATTAGGGATTTGGATCTGTCTTTCAACAAGATCAAGCATATCAAGAATATTGACAAACTGACAAACTTGGAGAACCTTTATTTTGTAAGCAACAAAATTTCCAAGATTGAAAACCTAGACACACTTGTCAATTTGAAGAATCTCGAATTGGGAGCCAATCGAATTAGGGTAAAACAACAACAATAATAGTAACAAAGAAAGAATATCAGCTTATGGCTAATTAGGTTATTGAAAACTTGGATTGTCTTGCCAATTTAACACAACTTTGGTTAGGAAAGAACAAGATTACTAAACTGGAGGTAAATTTTTAATGAAAAGAAGAGCGTTTTCTAATTGTAAATAGAATTTGAGTCCCTTGAAGAATCTAAGACTATTGAGTATCCAAAGTAATCGCCTGACAAAAATTGAGGGTTTAGAAGAACTTGAAAATCTTGAAGAACTTTATCTCAGCCATAATGCGATTACGAAAATTGAGGGTCTTGAGAAGAATGTAAGATATATATTTATACACTTGGTCAAACAACATCTGATGATAATGATGATGTATAGCTCAAATTGACGATTGTTGATATTGCTAATAATGCCCTCACAAAGATTGAAAATTTGTCTCATTTGCCTGCTTTGGAGGAATTCTGGGCAAACAATAATCAATTTGATAATGAGTGCTATAAACAAGTGGAAGAAGAGCTGGGCAAGATCAAGACACTGGAGACAGTCTATCTTGAAGGAAACCCAATGCAATTGAATAATAAAGCAACCTATCGTAATAAGATTAGGTTAGCTTTGCCTCATATTAAGCAGATCGATGCCACGTAAGTGTGTGTGTTCTAAGAGTAATAAAACCATACTAATTTGATGTAGTCCTGTTCGATGAAAAATGAGTGGCTTATGATTGGCCTGATTCCCGACTCTCGCTGTCCCCCAAATATACGCTGCACACACCAAGAACTACACACCCACTTTTTTCTCTTTTTCCCTATTTCCTGTTATTTCTTCCCTTCTTTCTCTAATAAAAATATGCTGGAAACGAATAAACCCTTCATGTTTGGTTCAAGCACTACGACAACAGCGACCTCGAACGGTACAAACACATCACCCCAGTCAGCACAACCCCCACCATCACCACCACCTCTTCCTCTTCCTCCTACAGCGACAACGACGACAGCTACAACAGCAACAACGACAACGACAACGACAACAACAACAACATCACCACCACCTCCTTCACTACCACCAACAACGGTAGGTACGACCACCACTACAACAACAACAGCAGCGGCTACTATGAATACAACACCTGAATTACCAAGTCCAAAGAGTGTCTTGTCAAGGCCCGTCAATAGTTTTTATTACAGAGAAGAAGATAAAGAGCCTTACTTACCTGCATATCAAGGACAGCCAGTACGACTGAACTCTGCTTTTAGTCATGGACCAGAAGACTATGCATATAAACCCAATAGCAGCGGTAGTAGTGCAAGCAATTACACACAGCTGTTACCAATGTCACATCATTATTCTCCACCGTCTGCCAATGTGATGAAACACATGAAAGAAGAATCCCCCATTTACTCACTCAAGAACAATTACAATACCTTTGACGTAGACGAGATAGATAACTGGTTTGATACACAGTATGACGGAGAATTAGGAGATAACAGAAAAGCTAAAAGACGAAAAGAAATGACACTAAAAATGGAGAAACTGAATGCTGAATTTCTAGAAAAGAAGGATAGGTAAGATAGTAATGTAAGCTATTGCTATGTAACTCATAAACCACAGATTATATAATGAGAAATTGTCAGCTATTGATAAAGAATTGAAGGAAGCACGTAAAGGTATTATTGATGACTGTTTATTAATAACAAATCATAACTGTATATTAGATGTACATGCAACGTATTTGGATGGACTAAGGGATTTAGAAAATATGAGACGAAAAATGATTGATGATGGTCAACTATTTAGAGAATATCAAAAGCAAGTGACAGACCATCAATTTCAATTAGAAATATACCAAGCAGAAGAAGAATACTTGGTAAGTTTTGAGTATAAATGCGTGTGTGTGTGACAATGAAGGGTGAACGATTCCTTTTGTATAGCTTGAAACGCAAGAAATAAGAGAAAAGTTATTTAGTGTATTGGAAGAAAAGAGACGTAAATTGAAAGAAGATAAAGATAATTGTGATCTAGCTTATGGTAAGGAAAAATAAGATGATAATATACTTGTAGTGACACTTTATTTTAGATGTCGTACTGGACTCACAGTCAAGATTACATAAACGTAATTTGCGTAAAAGAGGAACAGAGAATATGGAGAATAAAGCCAACAAGAGAAAACAAATGAATGATATCCTTTTTATTATAATTATACTAACCTTTTCTAATCTTCATCTTCTTAATATTATCCTTAACCTTTATCATACGCCCGGCACTTGTCTTCAAGTTGAAAGAAGAGGATATCAATTCTGATATGCAAGCAATACGAAACGTAAAAAGGCTATATAGTGTACATTCATTCCCCTCTTGGACTCAGTATTATTCATAGGCGTTACGGTCATTTTCATCATCCATCACATCGTCATCTTCACCTCTACCGAAAAGAAATCATACAATCAATAGCAGCAATAACAACAATAGTAGCAGTAGCAGTAATAGTAATAGTAGTAGTAGTAATAATAATGCTAGTAGTATCACCAGTAGTAGCCATAGTAATAACAACAATAATAAAAAGAAATGATTCGTTTCTATTTATTGAGTTGAAACAAAAAATTGTGATTGGACAGTTTAAGTTTAGTGAATTTTATGCACTGTAAGCAATGGAAAGTGTAAAGTGTGTGTGTGTAACAGCTACTCAACAATTGAAATGAAAAAGAAAAAGAAAAAAGGGCTTTAATGAAAAAAAGAAACCTATTGTATTTTTATAGACACACACATGTTCATTGCCAAAGGGGGTGAGGAAAAAAAATGAAAGAGGGATTATATGTGAGCGGAATGGGAGAATTTATACCCCGTGACCGCGTACAGAAGTAAACGCCTTGTATCGCTTTTTTTTTGGTTTTCCCTCCTTTTTTCTTTATTTTGATTACATATGGCTTCTTCTAACTTTTACTGGAGAGCAGGCAGTCTTCTTGGTATTGTCAAAACAACAAAAGACTATCAATAGGAAGCTCATGAAAAAAACTTTAGGATTAAGCGGTATCGCACTTGGGGCATATGGCTCACATGGTCTTTCCAAAGTCGTTGGAAATGATGAAACCAAATTAAAGGTAAGAAGAAACAAAAGCATAATAAATAGTTGAAGGATGAACCAATCACACTTTTTTTAAATATATCAATACAGAATTGGAACACTGCCGCCCATTATCAAATTATTCAAGGTGTCGCTTTGTTAGCGATATCATCTATTCCAACCAGTGTTCGACGCATTCATCCTGCTGCCCAGCCTCTTATCATGGGAGGAACCATCATGTTTAGTGGAACCATCTACTTGTTGACACTAAAAAGAGAAAAATTCCGAGCACTTGGTCCAGTCACGCCACTAGGTGGGTTGGCAATGATGGCTGGTTGGGCTGCTTTATTATTATAAATTTTTGTTCTTTTTGTTCCTCCTTTTCTTTTTCTTTCCCTTTTTTATATATAAAAAAACAAAATAAAATGAGTTTGATATTGGAACAACCGATAAAACCAAAAAAGACGACCTGGAAATGGTGGCAGTCGAATAAGCAGATGGATCTGTCGATTGATATCTCAGATGAGAATGATTCTATCACTCCATCTTCTCTTGTTCCTCAACGATCAATTCATTCTAGAGAATCTGAAGATATAGCATCCACAACATCTATTAAGAGTAAACCTTGGGTATTTCGACGAGAGGAAGATAGCGCACTTGCAGAACAAGAAGAAGAAGAGGAAGAAGAGGAAATACAAGATGTCAAAGATGATATAATCATGCCAGAAAACAGTATAGAAGGAAATGGAAGTAGTAAAAATATCCAATATTCACCCAAATTACATCTTGTTCCTTCCATCACCTCATCTACTATTCCAGTTATCAACTATAGCTTGAATGAACCTCGACGAAAGAGTATAGATACATTCTTTTTCCCTGGACTAAGAGTAAGGGCATATATATTTTTATAGAGTTTATTTTAATCTTGAACATATAGGCTCGTTTTGGTAAATGGGTTAGCAAAGAAAAGGTCTAGGATGGTATAGAGCAAATCAATAATCAGCTCCTTTGGATCTTCTTTCATTCTTCTTTTGCGATATTCTCTTTTTAAAGTCCAACCTGTTTTTATTCTGTATATCTTGTCTAATAACTATTATTAAACCTCATGTTACACTTTATGCAAAAAAAGCCCCCCAAACTCACAATTGTTTGACTCTTCTTAACGTCGCTTCATCCGGTTCTCTGGGTACTGCCACTGCTTGTTTGATCGTAGTCACTAGTTTATCATAGCAGTCTTGAACATTTTTAGATTGTGAACGAGTCTTGTCAGAGGTGATGATCACTTCGTCATCTTTACTTTTTTTTACATTAGGCAGAGATCTTAGTGTATCTCTGGCATACTCTGGAATCCATGTTGCTTTTGAAAGTGATAGTCTCAAGTCCACCTTAGTATTGACTATATGTCATATTAGTTAGTATACATATACAAATGTATATATTTGTATACCTTTATTCACGTTCTGACCGCCTGGACCACTGCTTCGGCTAAATGATACCGTCGTATGCTCTTTAGGAATCTTTTGCTTATTAAATGACTCTATCCATGCACTTGCTTGCTCATAAGACCAAGGCTTAGATGAAACATATCGTTTAATGATGTTTATGCTAAATGACAATCTTTTTGAAATGAGCAAGACCATGTCAAAATACTTTTTTTTTTTCTCTTTCCGAATGGCTTTTAAAAAAGACCCTCAATATAGAAAATATGCCTCCTGCGTTTCATGACATGCACACACATTTAATATAAAAAGACACATATTTCTTTTTGTTTCTCCATCTTAAAAAGGGAAAGATGCACATCGACGTTGTTTATTATTAAAAATTAATTGACTTCAAACAAGACCTTAGGCAGTAGCTTCTTCCTTGCCTTCTTCCTTGGGCAATTCAGATAAATGAGCCTTGAGGACTTCCATGGCTTCATTGATCTTGCTGTCTAAAGCCTTGTGGTCTTCGAGAAGGTTCAACAATTCACCGTTATCCATTTCTAAAAGCATACCAGTAATTTTACCGGCAAATTCGGGTTGTTGGGCGTTAATAAGGGGATAGAGACGTTCACCAAGCATTTGCTTTTGGGCTTCAGGGGGAGCAGCAGCCAAGGCGGCAGCGGTCAATGGAGCAGCAGCGGAAGTATCGGCAGCCTCAGCAGCAGGAGCTTGACGAGATTGGTTAGCGTACTTGCGCTGACCAGCAGCACCACCACGAGGAGCACGAGGTTGACGGGGAGGACGCATGTTGTTGTTACTGTTGGGAGCAAAGCCTTGGGGAGGGAAACCAGGAATGGGTTGTCCTTGTTGAGGAGCCCAGCGAGGACGAGGCATCATGCCGTTAGGAGGGAAGACAGGACGCTGGCCTTGAGGCATGAATCCACCAGGAGGAGCATAGAACATGGGGGCGCTAGGCATGTAGCCAGGAGCACCAGGCATGGGAATGCCTTGTTGCATACGCATTTGACTGCGTTGGGCCATCTGAGCTTCCAATTGAGAACGACGAACTTCCTTACGTTGAGCAAGAGCAACATAGATAGGCTTGGAGCCAATCATGCGACCGTTCATCTCGGTAACAGCCTTGGTGGCTTCATCAGGAGAAGAGAAGCAAACGAAACCAAAGCCCTTGGAAGTACCCTTTTCGTCGCACATGACCTTGGCAGAGGTGATGACACCATAGACAGAGAATTCTTGGCGAAGTCTTTCGTCATCAATATCATCATCCAAGTTCTTGATGTACAAGTTGACACCTTGATACTTGGCAAGTTTTTCAAGCTTGGCTTGTTCATATTGTCTACGGAGTTCTTCCTCACGTTCGTTCTTCTTTTGAGCACGGGCAACGTAGAGAGTCTTTCCATTGTGCTCGGTTTCATTCAATGCATCAACAGCCTTTTGGGCGTCTTCGTGCTTTTCAAAGTTGACGAAACCGAATCCCTTGGATTTACCTTCTTCATCTACTTGAATAAGGGCAGAGGTGATGGCACCGTATTTGCCAAACATATCTCTCAATTCCTCATCAGTGACGCTTTCATCCAAATTCTTGACGTAGATGTTGGTGAAGTTGGCTCTGATTTGTTCAATCTTGGCTTGACGTTCCTTCTTGGGAATGTGACGACCAACATAACTAAAGAGATAATGAGCATTCATTCTCTCGCTCTCTTTAACCCCTCTTCCCCTTATACTTACACTTTCTTATCATTCAAGAGCATACCGTTAACATGCTTGATAGCGTTATCAGCAGCTTCTTCGGTTTCATAGTGAACAAAACCATAACCCTTTGAGTTACCATTTTCATCCAAAGCAATCTTGCAAGACAAAATGTTACCAAAGGCCGAGAAAGTGTCATGAAGAGCCTTGTTATCGATGGTAGGATCAAGGTTCTTGATAAAGACATTACCGGAGCCAGTCTTACGGAGAGAAGGGTCACGTTGAGACCACATAATACGGCAAGGCTTTCCCTTGATCAAGGTGTAGTTCAAGCTTTCCAATGCACGTTCACCTGTCAAAATATGAGTTGCTTGATTCTAAACTATTGTTTTTATATTTACCATCAGCAATGTTATGGAAGTTAACGTAGGCATAACCCAAGCTACGACGAGTGACAGCATCACGACAGACACGAATGGAAGCAACAGGACCGATCATGTTGAACATTTCAAACAACATGGCTTCAGTGACTGAAGGATCGAGTTCACCTACATAGAGAGAGGCAGAGGGAGGGGTGGTGCCAGCAGGAAGAGGAGAAGCTTGAGCTTGAGCAATTTGTTGTTGCTGTTCAACTGAGAGCTGTTGGACAGGAGGAGTAGAAGTAGCAGCCTCAGCAGGAGTGGCAATAGGAGAAGTAGTAGACATTATGATTTCGGGTTTTTTATCTATTTTATGAATTTTTTTTGTTTTTTTTATATGTTTAATTTGTCAAATCCACACAAAAAGTTATTGAAGATTAGACAAAAAAAATATAAGAAAAAGATGAACGGCGAATAAACGTCGAAGTAGGAAGAAAAAAAAGAAGATAGAGAGAGAAAGAGAAAGAACCAAAAAATTATTTTTTTCTGGCCCTATTATATCAGCCTATTCCGACCCATACACCACACATTGAGGACAAAAAATTTTTAAGTTCGGAAGTTGGTTTCACTCGATGATTACTTTAAATAGTTAAAAGAAAGAGAGTCAAAGTGGCTTAGAATTTATTCTGCTCATTGTTGTTGCGGTGGTGGTGGTGGTTGTTGATTGATAATTGGACTCCCATTGTTAACCGTATTACCATTATTGTTCACATTGGCTGTATTCCCATTCGTTGCAGCGGCTGCCGCAGCGGCAACAGCTGCATTTCTCATTTGTAATTGAGCCAAATATCTTTGAAGTTGCAACTGTTGGTTAGGTGCCAGCTGTGATATCGGATACCCCATTTGGGCAAGTTGAGCAGCAAACATTAATGGATTGGCCTGTGCTGCTTGTAATTGAGCTGCAACTGCTGCTTGCTGCTGCTGCTGCTGTTGTTGTTGTTGAGTTGGTAGTGATTGTTGTGGTGAGGACTGAGGCGTTGTATTTGGTTGCATCATTGGTCGTTGTTGCTGTTGCTGAGTTGGACTTTGCTGAGCAACAATAGGTGATGCCATTTGTGATGCCTGTGGAGTCTCATTACCACTGGCTGTAGGTGTACCGGATACTAGAATATTCATTAATCTTTTCTTTAATATACAATGTATAATATCTTACCTTGTGCTTGATGTTGCTGCTGCTGCTGTTGTTGTTGTCTTTGTCTAGCCAAAAGCTGTGCCTGCTGCTGTAATTGTTGTTGAATCAATTGCTGTTGCAGTTGTTGTAATTGCTGTGTTTGGGCATTCGCTTGCAAAGCATTAGATAACCGAGGTGTACCTGCTGCATTTGCAGCTACTACATTACCAGGCCTTATTTGTTGCTGTGCCAATTGCTGCTGTTGCTGTTGTTGTTGTTGCTGCTGCTGTTGTTGTTGTGCCATCTGTTGTTGTTGCGCTGCTGCCATCAAAACCATTTGTTGCTGTCGTAATAATTGTAATTGAGCCGCTGCTGGGTATCTGTTCAATGGTAAATTCGCAGCGACATTGTTTTGAGCTGTAATAGGTATTTGTGGTGGACGAGCATTGGGTTGAGTGGGTGTAAGGCCTACTGCTGCTGCTGCTGCCACAGCAGCTGCCGTAGCTGTTGCTCGTGCTTGCGTATTGACAACAGGCGATCCCACAGGAAGAGTAGGCCTTGCTTGTGGAGCAGCGACAGGTGAAGGTCGAGGAGCACCCTATTGATCTCGTTTTAAAAAAAAATTAAAGGAAACAAAAAAAGCTTACATTCGGTGTCTGAGAACCGAGCGTGATGGCTGCTGATAGTTGTCTTTGTTCCAAGACAGCTTGGGCCATTTGCCTCTCTCGCTGTGCTTTGTGTAAACTCATTTCCATGGCTGAAGGCAAACGCTGACCTGTACTGCTTAATCCGTGTGTCTCGATTGTGGATCTGGGTGGAGGTGCAGTCGTAGATGCCGCGTTCTTGACCAGTTCCTCACGTTTACGTTGCGTCTTTTTGATTGCTTCAAATAGATTATGTTGACGTTGGCGTTTCTGAGGCGAGTCGAAGCGAATGATTGTTGGAGGCTGTGCTTGTGTTGGGTTTAACTCTTTCTTGATACGAGAAGCATATGCAGCATTCACAAGCCCTTGGCTTGATGTCAGACCTTGACGTTTCCATCGTTCGTAGCAGTCAAATGCCGTCTTTCGCTCGCCAGTAACGGGTAAGCGCACAGAATTGAAAGCATCGGCTACAAGATCCCAATTGAATGAATACTGAAGGATGCAAGTGATAAGGCATACATCGTCCTCTTCTGACCACTGCGGTGAAGGCAAGTACTCTCGGTTTGAAGGTGGCTGTGGCTGACTAGGAGAAACTCCTGTCGAATCTTTTTGCTTCTTTGTAGGAGCAGCAAATAAGGCTAAGTAAATAAAAATTAGAAAAAGAGCGTGATATAATTTCATATAGACTTTACGTGAAATCAATGGCGTAGTATCATAGCGTTCAAAACGAGGCAATCGCTCAACTTCTGGTTTTTCTTCCTCTGCAAAGAATATCTCTTCGCCATTTGCCCTCCGCTTACGAGTCATCTGTCTGTGTGATTTGAGAGCGATGGGCTTTGTCATCCATTTTGAGACCGGTGTGACCCTGTTAAACTCGATTTCGTTAAAGTAAACATCGTTAAATTCAGGGTTAGGAGGCTCATATAACAAAAGATCGGGAAACAGAGCGTCTGGGTTAAAGTCGACCGAGGTTTCAAAGGAAAGGGCGATGACAGGAATATCCGGGTCCATTTCTTTCAGAATGACTCTGTACTCTTGAATCACATGAGAAGCAAGTGGTGGTGTTGTCGGCATCGCGTCATCTGCCATGTCCATAGGTTCTGATTGCTTCATGTCGTCGGTACCCATCATGGTATCTGATTTGAGGGGCTCGTCTGAAGTCATGGCTTCATCTGGTACTAACTCGGGTTTTTGCTGATCGACATCCATGTCTGTGAGTGAGGGTATATCGTCCACGGGTGCCTTTGGCTCCGGAATACGTGTCTATTGATATTAATTTCATGTGACAATATCAAATGATAACACAGTAGCTTACCTTGATGCACACGGTCGATTTATCATCTGTCCAGTGCCACTCCATGACTGCCTTAGAAAGCATATAGGCCACGGCAATCTTCCACTTGCGTTCCTCTTTAAAATCTGTCTGCATCCATTTCATCTCATCCAAAACAGAGTCCCAGTGCGTTTTGGCTCGTGGCGGTGCCTTGTGTCGCTTCAGTTGTCTCAAGCTCCAACCATTCTTTTTCTTGAGCGCCTCAATACGTTGAATCGTCTTGACAGCTTTTAGCTCATCACGAGCAAGCATCCAATCGTGCGTTGTCAATGTCTTTCGAGCTGTCTGTAACTGTTTATAGAGCGGGAAATGTGTTGCCTTTAATTGCCATGCGTATAGGTCAATACTGCTTGTTTTGGATGATGTATTGGCATCAGCTAGTTTGATGCCATTGTAGACAAGGGCTGATGCCGTTTTAGGATCAATTGTATTGCTGATCGGGATGGATGGAGATGATGGCTGTTGATCTACCGTGGATGTTGATGGCAATGGTCGATCTGCGGAAGGTGTTGTTGGCTGTGAATGTCTAGAAGAAGGTGATGATGGTTTTTCTTTTGTTGGACTCGACAGCATCAAGTCTTTTTGCTAAATAGAAAAAAAAAAAAAAAAAAGGAGAAAAGAAACACATAAATTAGAATGCGTCATGCAGAATGAAATAAAATAGGTTCGCTCCCTACGTCAAGACTAGATAGTATTTCATCCACACTCTTTGGCCGCACTGCTCCACTAACACCTCTTGTGACCATCCTTGCTGGAGGAGAAACTACTCTGCGAGAAGGCGAAACTGAGTGTGAAAGGGGCTGTTGTGGCTGTTCTGATGGTGAAGATATGAGTTCTTCCTTGAATAATTTTATATTACTATATTAAAGATATGAGTACGGTAACTGTTAATATTTATTTTACCTTAGTTTATATTTATCTAAATAAGCATTCCATTTGTCTTGATCGATTTGAGTAACATCAGCTCCTTTTAAAAATGCCATAAACCCTTCTGATTCATCTGTGTGTTCGCCTGTCATTGTGAATAATTCTTTAAGCAACATTTCTCTATGTGAGATAATTGTCCTTTTGTGTTTTTAGTTTAATGATAGTCATCATTCAATAACACTATACCTAATCTTCTTTTTCCTTTCCTCCTCTGCATTATTACGAAGCTTTTGTATTGTTTTCTATATTGTATGAGTATCATCAAAAGAGCACTATAGGAATGAAATATACCTGTGTATCTGTTGTATCCATACTATATGTGCGTGTCTATAGAAAAAGGAGGTTAGTCAATCACGTATAAACAAGTTGTCATCAATATCAACACAAGCCACGACCCACTTTCTTTAATCATTGTGTTCCACAATAGGAAATAAAGAGTTATACGTAAGAGAAAGAAAATTTTTTCTTTTTTTTTCCCTCATCTTGTCTTTTTTAAGAGATGAGGGCTTGAACCAAGAAAGAAAGTATAAAAGTGGGAGAGAAGCCTTGTTTATATTACTTACTTTATAGTTTCTTTGGTGTTTCTACAAAAGGTTATGTCAACCTTGTCTTTAAAAAATATTCGTGGAGGGGTTTTATTTCGAAAGGAAAAAATACAAGTCTAGGTGCACTACGCACATCACAAGAATGCGGAAAAAGAAGGACGGGGCGTACGAAAGAGATGATGCTAAAATAGTCACACTTTTAGCTAAATTAGGAAATCGAGCTTTACTGAGTTTAAACAAAAGGATCTTTTAGTTTTTATTCAAAGGGAAAGGATTCAAATAAAAAGGATTGAAATGGGAAAAACATTGTATGCAAATGACTTTTTTTTTGTTTGTTTTCTATGTTTACAAATATAAACAATTTGATAAAATGCAAATATTCTTAAAGGAAGGATGCCTACAAAATATATAGTGAGACTATGTTTAAAGACCCATAATTCATAAACTTACACGTCGACTGGCCTCTTCAAGATCGCTATCAGTCAGCTTGTTCTTGTCATCATCACTAGGAATTTCATACACACCACCCAAGATGACGAAGGGATGGTATGCAAACAGGTTGAGGTCACTCATTTCAGTGACACCGGAGAGGACAAGGACAGGATCGATTTCAGAACTGATACCAGCGACAATACTATACAATCGTGTGAGCATGCGTTATTTATTCCTTTTATATATGTATATACTTACTCTGTGTCCATACGATCACCGATAATACAAGTTTCCAAACGACTCAAACCGAGTACGCGTTGAGCATAACGCATGATCAAGGCAGAGGGCTTACCACAGAAGAAAGCCTTGGTCTTGGTGACCAATTCAACACAGGCAGTGAAGGCACCTGTGGCGGGGATCTTACGACCTGAAGAGTCCAAAGTCTCAACATCCAAGTTGGTGGAGATTAACTTGGCACCGTTTTGAACCAATTGAACAGCCTTGGTCAACTTTTCAAAGTTATAGACAGCTGACTCACCTAAAACGACGTAATCGGGGTTATGGTCATTCATGAAGAAACCCTTATCATAAAGTGCATAAGCAAGACCAGGTTCACCAATGACATAAACGGTACCACCCTAATACAAAAAAAAAAAAGAGATTAGATTTAGTTTTAAAAACAGTCAGTTTCTGTTACTTCAGGCATTTGAGAGGCAAGGAAATATGCAGTAGCTTGACCAGAAGTAAAGAAGTGGTCTTCAGTCACGTCAATGCCCAGACGTTGTAATTTTTGTTGCAATTCACGAGGAGTGGGAGCAGAGTTATTGGTCAAGAAGAGGAACTTTTTGTTGTTCTTTTGAAGGAATTCAACAAATTCCTTTGCACCAGGCAATAATTTGGAACCCTATTATAGGGTAAATACTCAAATTCAAGCATAAATAAAACAAAACTTACGTGATAGATAACACCATCCATATCAATAATATAACCCTTCTTTTGACGAATAGCTTCCAAGCGTTCGTTATGGAGAACAGGATCCTTAAACAAGGCCCAATCTCTTGCAGAGATACCAGCAGCTTCTGTAGCAAAACCTGGAGTGGATGTGCCTTGGCTAGCCAATTGAGCAGCAAAGTTGGCAGCTAAGTCGCGAGTTTGATCTGTAGTAGCAAGGTCAGCAGCAGGAGTAGTTGAAATAGCGGGTGTAGTAGGGTTAGACATTTTGAAGAGAAAAAGAAAGCTATGATGCAGAAGACCAAGTCAAAAGTGGCCTTTTATAAGGCTGAGTATGATTTGTTACTGGGGTATGGAACGGTTTAAACCAAAATGAGGTTGGTTATCATGATATAAATCAAAGGTACGTCATTCGCTTTATTGTTTATATATTTGTCAAATACTAAACTGACGATAAAACTATGCTTCTTTTACTATCTCGTTTTATCTACACATGTTTTAAGGTCCCCTTTTCGTGACCCGTGTTTTAGCGCGTTTTATAATTTATTAAAAGATAGCATTAAATTGAAGACATTACGTAATTGAAGAGTGTAGATGCAGAACTTTTATGTCCGCTTTAATCTAATAAATCAACTGCAGCTAAAATGACAGAAATAAGGTTTAGAATATTCCCTTTTGAAATATGTAAGACTTACATTGAACAAAGAGACAAGCCATCATGAGAGAAATCATAGACAAAGGTTCTAGTTGATGAAAACTTGTTACTGAAAGAGCAAAGAAGATGACAGCATTTAAGATTCTTGATCCGCAAATAATATAAGATCGATAATGCACTATTTTTATCTTTTTGGTTACTTGTGGACCCCATGATATATACACCTTTATCTTACCACTTTTGATGGGCGTATTCACTAACTTGATAAAGGCATTAAAACAAAGGATAAGACCAGCAGATACCCAAAAGAATGCGATCAGGAAATCTTCGTGAGGTGGTTTGGGATGTTCACTACCATGTTCACTGGCTACAAGTCGAGCAATATGACTTGCTACTGTAGCATGCTCTGCTGTCGTGTTTGAAGCGTGCCCTGCCACTGTTTCACCACTATTGCCAGAGGTAACTTCCTTGATCAAACTTGTCAAGGCAATTCCAAAAGCTACTTGGAATAAATGCAAAGGAAAGTGCAAGTACATCCAAAGTGAGCTCATCTTGGTCTTGGCTACAAACTAAATCATAATGTCAGTCAACAAGATAACCTTAAACTAATAAATTTACTTCTCCGCTAAAGTCATCAAAGTACATAAAGAAGTAGCAAAAGATGATGGCAACACTAAACATGATGGCAGCCCTATGAAAAATATATATAAGTCTTTATGTATTTTTGTATACTGTTTTTGACTTACATTGCTTTGGGCTCGGTAGCACTACCAGTCTTATTCAGATCGGCCACAGTAGAGATGAAGCCCATACAGTTTTCACCTAAAATGATTAATGTGAACAGACCAAATCGTTCTCCCAAATGACTTGCTGCTAATGATACGCGGCTATTGGTCTGTAAAACCATGTATACAATAAGCTCTAAACCAATACTGATATACCAAAGGACATAACGTTTCACAGCATTGGTATCCTCAGAACCACCCCCAGGAGGTAAGTACAAGAGGGAGATACCCCACAGAACGATCGAAATTGCACTGGCTGCGACATAGGCGCCCAAGGGTCGACGGGATGACTTGAAATGTGCTCCGAGTGATACGATAAAGATAATTGAATATTGTACAAGGTTGACTGCTTTCATGACTAGAAAAATTATCATGAGTGATTCTGTGTTCTATCAAATCAAGAATCTTACTGATGTAGCCAATAATGAACCATCTAGGATTCTCTTGGTAATTTGGACTAGCACCCGCCATGATAACTAAAAATACACATAAGATTATTTCATTTTTTTTTTTTAAGAAAAATAGGCTTTACCTAAACCACAAAGTTCAATGATTTTATAGACGTGATGTGTCACATCACCACTATCATATCGAGAAGAGTATCTACAAATAAAGTCAGACCAGCCAAAAGATTTATCTCGAGCCAACTTACAGAGCACTAGAACACCAAGTCCACCACATGACGACAAACCAAGCAAAGTATTTTCCAATACCATGTGAATCGGTGATCTCTGCTGCATGAGTAAAGTTACTATGAACAAGTCAGAATTTGAATAAAGCTGAAATACAAAGGAGATTTATACCTAAGCCATCCTACGTAAAACACATCACCAAGCAACTCAACCCAAGTAGCTGAAGATTCTTCACCAATTTCATCAGATAAATCAGGGTCTGGGACGCTGTATAAACTCAAAGTTACTAACGAGATCATATGCATCAGGACAATCTTACATAAAAATGGCTCTTCTTTTCTTGGGCTTATGCTCTTCAATCATCTTGATGTATTGGATTTGCAAGTAAACATTTTCATTTAGTTCCATAAAGATATCATCAGAGTTTTCATTTTCCTTTGGTTCATTAGGGACCGACAGATGATTAGAAGACATCTGCTGCTTAGGCTTGGCTGACTCTGTAGGAGCACTGGGTGACACAGGCGAAGTTGTTGTGATCGTAGGCTTCATACCCTCCGTGGATATGGTTGGTTTGGATGGTTCGATTCCATCACCTTCAGTCGTGCTCTCAGTAGGTGGGGTAGTAATGGACCTTGTCTTGGCGTCATCACTGTCACGGTGAAGAATGGTGTCGAGTTTGTCACCTATTTCGCTGATCTTGTCACCCAAGTCACCGGAACTGTTGTCTCCTAAAAAAAAAAAAAGAAAAACAAGAATTAGCGGTGTTTTAATATTAAATGGAAAAAGTCCTTACTAGACAGGTCCTTCTTTTTGAGCTTGACAGTCTTGTGAACCTTGACTGAAAAGTTTCGCTTTGTTTTTTCTAAAAAGTCTATAAAGTCATCAATGTCATCCACTAGCTTTAACTGCCTTATTTCGTCCTCTGTTAACTCAAGCTAAAAAAGGGGATAAGCTAGAGAACAAAAAAGAAAAAAAAGTATAAACTTACAGGTTCCTTCAAGGTATTGAGCTGTTCATCTGTAAATTCAAAACCTTGATTACCCACAAGATGACGGAAATGGACAGCTAAGATAGAGTGAGTCAATGTATATTTATAGTAAAGTGGTTATTAAAAATTACTCAATCTAACTTGTACTTCATCGCTAAAAAAAGTAAAGTCAGTGTGAAGGCTAAGAATAAATTATTTCACGTTTACATGATAGATTCTTCCTTCATGCCTTCTATATCTTTATCAGAGGCAATTGATTCTGGATGCTTTTCATTCCACTCTTTCTTTTCCTTTTCATAAGCTTCCATACGTTGATGATGGAGCTTCATCTCTTTAAGGGGGTGAAGCAGGACATCACCAATTGTCTCCGTTCCGTGTCGTCTCAAGGGTTTGCCTGCAGGATCATGAAGTGGGGCAATAGCATCCTTATGCTGATGAGGATGATGTTGGAAGTGTGAATGTCTTCGAAGGGATCTAGCTTCATTTGCAGAGCGAACGGAATGGATCGACCTGGTTGTTGCAAGCTCTTCTTCAACCTCGACAATAGATCTTCTGGAATCTGCTGACCGTCTGGGGCCTCTAAGTGTTGGGCCCTGAGCTCCTCGAGGATCGTGACTCATGGTATAAACTGACAGGTATTCAAAGTAAAGAAAGAAGAAAGAAAGGGATATGGAATGAAAAAGGAAATAAATAAACTATCGTTCCGGGGATTGTATTGCCAATCATTTTATGATCTCGGGAATCACAAAGAAAGATGTTGTAGTACAATGTAATGTAGCCTTAGCGATCATTGCTAAGAGACATGCATTTTTTAGTTGTAAAAAGCAAATAAGAAAAAAGAAACAAAAAAGGAATGATCCGACAAGTGCTTCATGATGAATAAAGTGTTTGCTACTACTTTGCTTGTAGCACTTGTCATTTGTGTAACAAAGGTAAAAGAAGACATAATAGAAAGAAAAAACTTTGTTCACGTATGAAAATGAATTTAATGGGGCTCTTTACAAGCTCCTTAAATCTTAAAAAGCCTGCTATTTAAAACAAAATACTTGCGCATGCTAAAAAGTAAAGTTATATGAAGAAGAAGGATATAGCCCCTTTCTCCTCTCTCTTCCCTTTATTTTAAAGAAATCTACTTTTCGTCATCGTCCTCTAAAGTGCCTGTATGGATAACTGAAAGATGCTAATGTAGCTATGAATGAAAAGATTTTTTAAGGGTAAATTCGCAACTGAAGGCAACTACAGTTGTCTCTGCAGCGCACATTGTTCCCAAGGAAGAAAACAAAAAAGTTCAAAATTGTTTATTCAAAACTTGCTGTAAACCAACTTTTTAGTTATAAAGTGTAATTATTCTTTTCTACAATTAAAGTTGGCATCTAGATTATGAGTAGCTAATTAAGGTAATAGTGTATGATATGCAGTCAAAGAGAGTAATAAAGAGATCTGCAGCTTATACGCCCATATTGTATGGTCACAAACACCGGCTGGACAATAAAGTGCATTAAAATAAAGTTTTGGCAAAATGAAGCCACATGTGTGTATGGCTGACAATAAAGCGTTTATATAAAATGGTGAAAGGACGGCTGCAGCTTGAAATACCAAGTGGATACATTTCATTTACTGCTTTATTGTCTCGTGACTAACCATATCCTTATTTATTCATGGGCGCAGTCCCTTTTTTTTCCTGGTGTGGCATCAATTAGCCAATAAGAGTCAAGTGTTTCATTTTATATCATGCCACTTCAAAGATGTTTAAAGAAAATGGTGTGATGAAAATGATAATTTTCTCCATAATCAGGAACCGTGATTGTCGATGAAGCATGGTATGATTTTTTTATCTTGAGCCCAGGCGAGTATATAAGAAAGAGCCACTCTTTTTGTATTTTGCTTATTATCAAATAACTCAATGTCTTCTCTCGGTGCTTTCCTCAAGAAATCCAAAAAACCTGAAATCTATCCTTTGATTGGTATCCTTAGTTGTGCTCTAGGTGGTGCTGCTTATGTTGGTGTTCATGCAGCCAAAGCTCCTGATGTAGCTTGGAACCATAAGACGAACCCTTATCCATGGCAAGATATCAAAGATGGTGAACAAGTCAAATTGGTTGCATTAAACCAAAAGTATAACAATCGCTGGGAACGTACCAAGTGGTAAACTGCTCTTATTATGTATTATACATCCCTTTTACATCTCTATTGTATCATATACCTTTATACTTAATAAATAATAAAAAACAAGAGATTTTTTGTTCCCAAATCCTATTGTCTCTCTCTCTTTTAGTGTCGGATAAAATAGGCGCGTTTTTTTCCAATTTTATTTTTTAGGGTTTAGAAATTTTATTTTCTACACACACAAGAATCCAAGACTTGTTTTTCTCTGTTTCTCTTATTTTTCTTGTATTCAATCAAGCTCATGTTTAGATTACCAGGGTTGCTTACTGTATCGAGATTACCTTTATCATGTATATGTTGGCGGAAATTGAATCAACTTTATGCTAACTCACACAACACAATAGACTGTTCAAGGAAGTTAAGTACAACCGCTGCTGCTGCTACTACCACAACAACTTCAGAAAAGGTTATTCGTCCTAGAAGAGCCTTGTTTTATGGTAAGCTTATTTTTTTTTTTACATGTCTTTAGATCTAATGCACATACTTTGATTTCAGTACCAGGTAGCGACGAGAAAAAAATTTATAAATCTATCAGCGTGAATGCAGACTGCATCGCCTATGATCTCGAAGACAGTGTCTCTCCAAATAAAAAGGGTGCTGCAAGGCATTTGGTTATTGATGCTTTAGAGGTGACATAATTCACGTCTGGCCCTTTCAATATCTCATATTATCATTAGGCGTCTGAGCACGGAAAAGCGGAAAAGGCGGTTAGAATGAATGCAGTTGGATCAGGTAAGGGAACACGGTGTTGATATTGGCCTTGATTATAAGTTAATGATAAATGCGCGCAGGCCATGAATTGGATGATTTGAATGTTATTGTAAGGAAACAAAATATAAATGATGCCATTAGGCTCTCCCTCAACTGACGTTTCATACTTTAGCTTCACTCTAAACGACTTCAAGCTATTATTATTCCCAAGGTGCAAGGAGCAAAAGATATTCAATTTGTTAGTAGAATGATTGATTCAGTTGCTATCGAATCACAGTATGTGTATTTGAGAAAAGGATTACAAAAGAGAACTAACGATTGGTTACAGGCGTGAGCGTATTCGATTGATTGCATCTATCGAAAGCGCACTTGGATTCATGAATATTAAAGAGATTGTGACTGCAGACCCGCGACTGGACGCATTGATTGTAAGCAGCTTTGCTCTAATGAATAAACATCTCACGTACCACTTTTTCATAGTTTGCTGCAGAGGATTATTGTGCTGACGTCGGACTTACTCGTACACCAAGTAGGAAAGAGATGCTATTTGCAAGACAGTATCTCGTCAATGCTGCTGCTGCGTATGGCTTACAAGCTATAGACTTGGTGAGTGATGATTATGTTTAGGATGAACTCATATTGACTGTAATCAAAAGGTGTGTGTAGATTATCAAAATAAAGATGTTCTGATAGAGGAATGCAAAGAAGGTAGAGAGTTTGGCTTTACTGGTAAACAGGCAATCCACCCCGATCAGATCGATATCATTCAGTCTTTATTCTTGCCGGATCCAAAAGGTATATTAATAAGTAAAAGAAGTAGACTATACTCAATCTTCTATATTATAGATCTGGAGAGAGCAGTACGTATATTAGAAGGGTATGAACACTACTCTCAAAAGGGTATTGGTGCATTCAATCTGGATGGGAAAATGTAAATTGAAGATAAAATGACAATATGCGTCTCATTCTTTTCTTTACAGGATTGATATGCCAGTCGTCAAATGGGCAGAGAAAGTAGTAGCAAGGGCAAAAGCAGGAGGCATGGATACTTCATCTTTTGAATCAAAGAAAGACGCTGAAAAAGATAAAAAATAATAAAATGCTTAAATTTTCTCACGGCCCTTTTAGGTTTAATTTCCTCACTGTTTTTCTTTTCTTTTCTTTTTTTTTTTTCTCTCACAATAAACATTGATGTTTGCTAGATCTTTCCGTGTTATCTCTCCTCGCTACCTACCCAAGCGTTTTATATCTACAGACCAAAGTAACAGAGAGGCGTTTTTAGAGCATCTGGAAGGAGGTATTGCTGTACTTCAATTGAACCGTCCTGCCTCGAGAAATGCTTTATCTGTCAGATTAGTGGATGAATTTAGAGCCTCATTGGCTGAAGTACGCTTCTCTGGGTACGCATGCACATATTTATTAATGGCCTTCAGTGTGTGTGTTAAATCTTTCTTTTTGCAGGGAATCAAGAGTTTTGATCATTAAGAGTGCTGTTCCTGGCGCCTTTTGTTCTGGTGCCGATTTAAAAGTAAGTATAAACCAAAGGAGTTACGCGACTACGACTGAGAACTTTCATCTAGGAACGTGCAAATATGACTCCTGTTCAAGTAAGTCAATTCCTATATAATCTTCGAAAGGCATTCAGAGACTTGGAGGTAAAATCGTGATTTATGCATGAAGCACACGTATCTAATGAGGGTATTTTAGACACTTCCAATTCCTACCATTGCAGCCATTGATGGCCCAGCATTTGGTGGAGGATTAGAAATGGCACTATCTTGTGATATTCGTATTGCTGGCCCATCTTCTAAAATGGGACTGACAGAAACTAAGCTGGCCATTATTCCAGGGTAAAAAGAAATATATTGTTCCTTTTTTTTTTTTTTTTTTCAAACTAATGTTTACATGCAGTGCTGGAGGAACACAGCGATTGCCTAGATTGATTGGCGTTTCTAAAGCCAAAGAACTCATTTTTACCGGAGAGATTTTAGATTCAAATAGAGCCAAGGAATATGGAATTGTCAATCATGCAGCTGAGAATAGTGCATATGAGAAGGCACTTGAAATTGCAAAATCGATCTTGCCTCAAGGACCTATTGCCATTCGTATGGCCAAGTTAGCTATTGATCGTGGTATTCATTTGGATATGTAAGTTTGAAATATAATTGTTCGCAATTTACTTGCTCACCCGACAACTCTTAGGGACTCTGGTTTGGAAATTGAGCAGTCTTATTATGCTCAAGTTATACCAACAGAGGACAGATTAGAAGGATTGAGGGCATTTAAAGAAAAGAGAAAGCCTGTTTATAAAGGAAAATAAACAATAGATTTTTTTTATTCATTAGTTTTTGGTTAGTTGTACTTGTACTAAAACTCGATAACTAGTTTACCAAACTGATTGCCATCACTATTTAAAAAAGATGTTGGTTACTTTTAAAGAAAAAGAAAACCCTACTTACTGCATAGTAACTACAGCTTCCTCGAATGAAGACTTGTTCAATCCTTTCCAGACATGAGAAACAACTGGCTTGATTTTATGTTCATCTACAAACTGAACCATCTCTTTAAACTCTGCTCTTGATCCCATGGTAGAGCCTCGAATTTCAACATTTTGAATAAAGTGTTTAACAGAGTAGAGAATACCACCATCTCTAACGGTTTGTCCATAATTTACGATAATACCGCCTTCATATAATACATCTAGGTACTTTGAGTGAAGTGGTCCACCGGCACCGTCAATGATAGCAGAGAGTTTATTACCATCCAGTAACCTCTCCAGTTCTTTTATGCAGTTCTCTATCAATTACAGGATTAGAGTGGTATTCATATGCGACGAGAAAGAAACATACCGTTCCTGTAGTTTATACCACCCTTTGCTCCTAATTGGATGGCCTTTTGAATCTTTTCTTCAGACGAGGATGTCACATAGACATGGGCTCCAACAGCAGCAGCAAACTGAAGGGCGAACAGAGCAACACCGCCACCAATACCAGTGATCAAGACATGCTGACCTTTTTGGACTTGGCCTTTAGTGAATAGTGCTCTATTGCCGTGCATGAATAATTTTGTATGCAAAAAACGAGAAAAAAAAAATACCTGTAAGCGGTTAAACCAGCCAAGGGTAAAGCGGCAGCTTCTGCCAGAGAAAGATGCTCAGGACAAGGTACTACATCTTCTTGATCAACTACAACTGGTTCTTCAGTCAATGTGCCAATCGCAGGTAATAAACCTAAGATATGAAGAGTCTTTTCAGGCTTTCGAGGATCCGATTTCCAACCAATAGCAGGATTAACTAATACACGCTGGCCGATCTTTCCGTTTTTAATGACATGGCCGACACCGTCTGAACCTAGAACAGAGTTTAGGACGGTGTCTGCATAATTTCCTGTAAGGATCCAAATATCGCGATGATTGAACGCAGCAGCAGCAAACTTCACTACTGTTTGATTCTCCTTTACTTCTTCAGATGTAGTTGTCTTCTTGAACTCAACGCCATACTTGAATTCAGGGCGAAGCTTTGGACCTTCAGTGAGGATAGCAGAAACCATGATTGTATAATAAACTTAAAATTAGAATGTAAAAGGCGGTATTTATAGAAAACAATTAGTAATATGCTTGGTTCTCGATCGCAACTTGAAATATTACTAATCAAAGGATGAGCTTGTTTACAACTTCCTTGTTCCCCTTGAATGTGTCTGCTGTAGCAAGACACCAATATATTCGCGTCTGAACAGTGTGGAAGTAGATCAAATAGTACGATCAATTATATATTTGAGAGATGTGAAAAATATAATTGTAGGCTTGTTCTGACTAAGATTACTGCCAAAGTAACTGAGCGTGTGCTCCCCAAGACAGCTCGGTGATCTTAACAAGATGTGGTTCTTTATTATGGAACATTTCTAGGTTCACTTGTGAGTTTACCAAAATCCAGGAGTCTTTTAAATGTCATGTTGCGTGACATATATAAACAGTAGTATTATTGTAATGAAAGACGTTTAATGAAAAAGGAGAACACAATAATAAAATAAAAAGCTATATTATTTATACAATTTAAAGCCACGGCATCCAAGTGCATTCCATTTGTGCCATCTTTTGTGGGTTACTTGCTTGTGAAATTAAGTCAATTACGTTTTGGTTTAGTGGTTTTCCAGCACTCAGTGTTTTTTCACGATCTGCCTTGCATGATAAGAATTGCGCTTTTGTTTGGACTTGAAGAACGTTTTGATTAACACGTTCTCGGAATTGGATATCTGTTGCTGATCTATGGTTGGCTAGATGCCATGTAGCAAGTTCGTCCCTAACAAATAAGCATATGTATTGATCTAGTTGGAAGTCTGGTTCTGTTAAACAGCGAGCAGTGGCCATCAAGCAACTTGCGAATGGTCCTTCAATACCAATAGGTGTAATGAAATCTTGAATGTTAGGTGTAAATCGGAATGGTATCGCTTCTCCGTTTCCAAACACTGGGTTGGCAGTATTCCATCCTACAAAAAAAAGGGCAGAGTTAGTACACACCTTTGCTACCATTGTTTGAAATTTACCTGGTAAAAATTCAGTCATCCACACATTACCCGTTCTCCTAGATATCATTATCTTATGAGGCATTCTATTTCCGACACTAAAGATATATGCCATAAATGTAGCTGTTGCGTACTGGGCAATGAATCGTTTGCGGAGCATCCAATAGTCTGTGTATGAGCTCATTGCTTTAAGTAGATACTATAGCCAGCTGTTAGATATATTCATAATAATAGCCGTAAAGACTTACCTTGCTTAATATGTTGGGAGGAACCATATTTGCTGCAATATAATCGTTAATCTCCATTCTAAGATTCAGTAGTTCTGTCTTTTGGTTCACAATCTAATACAAAGGGCTTAGTTTAGCTCGTTAATATATAAATGACAGCACTTACATCCTTGTGCGCGTTCACATTCTTCTTGAATTTTTCTATAAAGTATACCAATGGACTGTCCTTGTGCATATCAATGCCATCGCAATGATCTTCATATACGTCGTACAGTGAAATATATGATGTGTCATCTTGGACCATGCGTACATTTGGAGCAAGTGGAACAATGGCAGGTAGATAAAAGGAAAGATTACGTGCACGTGTCTCTTTGCGCCCTTCAATAATGTAATTCAGCAGTCTGAACAGTTGCATCAATCTTTCTTCTCTTCGGAATTGACGGGCTACAGGGTTTTGAACTAAAAATGGATGTAAAGAACCGTCATGGCCACGAATGACTAAGCGACGATAACAATTGCCATAATTTCTGATAATCTCTACCTCCGGTAGGAATCTATCAATACGCAAAAAGTCATTTGCATTGTCCTTCAAGGCAAGATATTGACCAGGAATTTCTACATCATCAAATTTTTGATGCTGGAATTCAACAAGATAATGACTAGCAGCTTCTAGTTTCTGCCTTCGCGGTCTAGCGTCCAACATGGCCTCAAACTTATCACGCCATAATCTAAGTTTTGCGACGTATTCTTCCAAGTTCAGTCGACTCTTTGCAAAATCATTTACAAAGGCTGTTTTCATATGACCAGGATAAAGACTATCTGCAAACCGTTGAATGTTGGTAACAGTGGCTTGAGTCAATTGGAAAGTATCATTTGGATTACTCAATCTTGTCAATAATTGCTAATAAAAGTGTTGATTTATACTTGTTTATAAAAACTCTATTAAAAAGCTTTACCTGAGCGCCTTCGTTGTACAGTGCGACAACTAATCTATACATATCCTCATCTGCTTGTGGCTTGAACTTTAATTGGATTTGATCCACCATTGTTTCCATTGAAAGCGCTAGTAGAGGATAGCCAGTCTTTAAGGTAGCCATGATTTCATCCAAAGGATTAATTTGACCACCAGGATGGTTCATTTGGCCAGATGCCATACCTCGAGGAGTACCTGGTCCCTGAGGGATGTTCTGCATACCAGTATTTAAGTTTAGCATGCCTACTCCTACGTTCTGCTGTTGTGATGGAGCTGGCGAACTGCTACCATTCTTTAATCCATTCTGCTGACAAGCGGCACTATCTGTAGCACCATCTTCAGTTTTTACAGTAACAGAGTCTTTCTTTTCTTGGGTATCTCCTTGTGTCATTCCTTCTGTGGAAAATCCTGCAGTATTATCAGTTGTTTCCTTCTTGACTTCGTTGTCTGTTTCCATGGGCGTTCCGTCCTTCGTACTGGAAGAGCTGCTGGTAGTTTCTGTTGGTATTGCAGCCTTTTGACTGGTGTTTGACTCAGAGTCACCTTTTTGCTGCTGAGCTGATTCAGCTGCTAGTGATGCCTGTAGTGTGCTTGTGCGTTTCATCATGTCTTCTTTAGCAGTTCTTAATTGGAAATGAAGTGCCTGAGGGAACTGCTTGGCGATGCGAATCAAAATATAACGAGCATGACGACCTTCTTTGTGTTGAAGCGCTGTTAGCAGTTGTGGTATAAATGTAATCCAATACCAAACTGGCCATTCGCCTTTATATCCCTCTACTGCTCGAGAAATTATGCCCGATTGGTCATCATGAGTTAGCAGCCATAGAATTCGTAACAAGTATTTGCGAGATTTTGCATTCTTGTACAGACCAGCCGCTTGCAAATAACAACTGACAGCACTGTTGGCCCAAGAAAGATCCTTAGGGTTTTCCTTGAATCTCTTGTCGTTGTATTTACCCCATTCACCCCATGCGCGAGGTAATGTTAAATCTATTTGGACTGCATTAACAAAAGCCTCGTTTGCTTCATTATAATGTTGCATTTTCGCCAAAAACATTCCTTTCAGTGTAAAGAATTCTGCCTTTTGTTGATGAGTAAAATACATCAGGTTGGTATTGTTAATCACATCCAGTCCAGCTGTCAGTTCGTTTACGTTTTGATAGTAACATTTAGCTTGCTCACGAAGCTTTAAGAATGCTTCTTGAATTTCAATGTTGGGTAGGGTATATATTTTAGTCAAGTAGTTTATACACACATCATAGAGCTGATGTTTTCGGGCAACATGAGCAAATCTGTTGATGATCCAAGCGGTTTCATGATAGCCTCGATAAGCATAGGAATGACTGCTACCAGCATTGGCTTGTCCTACAGAGTGCTGAAGCAGAGGAATAAGAGGCAAGTATGTGCGATTGATGGCATTGAAGATGTGTTGTCTCCAGGCAACCAAGTCGCTCCAAACATCAATATCATCCCACATATTTGGCAGTCGTTCTCTCCAAGTTCCCAGAATACTTCTCAGTTCAGCAGATTTTTGATCCAAATTTTGAGCAGTAGTGCTTGATAAACTATTAAAAATCTGGCTAGCTTCTGAAAGTTCCAAGTACTGTTGAAAAGTCTGTAATAAAGGAAGGTGACTATGTGTGACAATATGAGGTAGAGAATGCCATTTACGAAGTGCAAGCTGAACTCCTCCTTCACATATACGATTAAATTCTGGTAGTTCATCTTGGCTTGTCTGAGATTTTATCAGCGATAGGAAGCCCTCAAATACCTTTAGACGAGGTAGAGAATAATCAAATGTCTGTTGAAGAGATTGCTCTAGAGATTCACGATCTGCTGTCCAATCCGATAGTCTCCATGCACATTCCAGTAGTAGATTAGAGTTGTTATCATGCTTTGCCAAATCAGACAGGACGTCCCATTGCTGTAATTTCTGGGTACATTTTATCCAATGATCCTCCCACAGCAAACACTCAGATTCCGTATATGCCAGTATACCACCTCGTGCCTTTATCTGGATATTCTCATACATATGCTGAGCTTGCTGCCACATGCCACATTGCTCACACGAGATTGTCATATTTGTCTCTGTATATACGCTGCGTCGACGCCAGAGACCATAGAACATATCATCTTCATTTAAGGAAGAATAGAGCTCGGCGAGAGAATCTAAAGTACGTTGTTGATTTAGCTGTTCCTCTTTCATCACATCAACCAATCTTCCTGTCTTTGCTTGTTTCTGAAGCATTTCAATAGCAGTATGCCAGCAGTTGTGTGCTTTACCAAGATATTTTATCAGATGAGCAGGTAGTTGAATGGAAGGTGCTACTTTGGAAGCAGCATCAAGTAAAGCTTGAACCACATTAGGTCGACGTTCTGATTGTTTGGAGTGATAATCTTTTGCTAATAATGCTATTAATATTTTGGTAATATCGTGTTGTTCAACCGCAGACAGGGCTTTCCAACAAATTGGGAACAAATCAACCCAGAGTTTATAAGCAGTACTGTCATCAAGATACTGTAATTGCCGAATATCTGCCAACATATCATCAATGTTTTCCTTTTGCAAAGAGTGCAAGAATTCTCTATGCTTTTGAATAATATTGACAACATTTTCTGGGACATCACACATTTCTACATCTTCTGTCTGCTCTTGCTTTTCTGTAGCGAATATACTAATAGGCTTTACCTTTAGAGCAAAGGGAACGTTCACCGTAGGGTCTATCTTGACAGTTTCAAGGAGCAAGTCTAATGCTTGGTGTATCCAAAAGGCGCCTGCGAGGGGCTCCCAGTTTTGAACTCCAATAATATAATTCAAACGGCCAAAGAGAGATTGACTGATGTTTTCATTAAATATCTTCATAAATCTCGCACGAATCTCTGGGTCTTTGTACTGAGTTCCATATAAAAATGCTTGCTCCAGCCTAATTGTCAGTTCTGAATTTGCCAGAGATGGTGTACTGTATATTTTAAGAACCAGCTGCAAGAAATCTTCAATCAACTTGGGATCCTTCTTGCCCTCAACTGCCATCATCTTCCCAAGCAAGCCAGCTTTTTCTTTCACTGTAGGCATTGGGTTAGCATCATTCATGACCCATTCATTCAACATATCAAGAATGTTGTTCAAAAGTCGAGTGTCTTCTGACTTTTCCATTAATTGAACCAAGCAGGACAAAAAATAGAGACGATGATCGCCTAAGTAGCCAATACGCTTCTTCATTAGTGAAAGGCCAAGGATTAAGAGGTTAATGTCAATTTCATGGTGCTCCTCATTTTCTTCTGGTGGCAACGTATGCTCTTTTGTAAGTAACTGAGCCATTTTTGAGATTGCAGGTATATATGGATCAAGAAACTCGCCATCACTGCTACTGACTGCTTCAAGTAACTTCAATACACCATAAAGGTTTGACATACTATTTAATCCTTCCCGAATGGTTGTGTTGATTAAATTCATGAACGCAATCACTTGGGGTGGCTGTTCGATGGGCTTTTCTTTAGGCTCTTCTATTTCTTCAGTCTTTATTGCCGTAGTTTGGTCAACATCCATAGACGCCATATTTGAATCATCAGCCGTAATTTCAGTGTTAGCAAACATCTCGACATTCTGAGCTTCGGGCGCCTTCGTTTCATCATTTGGCTCAGATATTTGATCGCTGCTGCTAGTTTCGTTTGAAGTTCTGGATGCTTTCACTGAAAGGTTGTACTGATGTATAGCTTCCATAATACGAATCAAAACAGGATACAACGCATTCTGAATTCGTGAGTTCTCTGTTCTAATGCTACCCTCTAACAATCGATGCAACTGTGTCATATTCGCAATAAACCATTCAGTTGAACGATGAGCAATATCCGCATTCAGTATTTCTAGAGCACTGCAAACACTTGGAGCAATCAGCTCATTCACTTCCCTAAACATAAGCGGACGTTCCAGATGATTTAATCGAATATGTACATCCGGCCATAAGTCAGGAGATAACAAGGACTTGACAAGCTCGATGGTCCTTGAAACAAGTCGTTTTTGCATCATGTCATTTGGATTATAAACTCCACAAGAAAGACGAACAAGATATCCAATAACATTTTCTCGTAGAACCAGACTTGGTGCATATTCTCTATCTGCTTCACTTGCGTTTTTCACTGTAGTTGATCTTCCACTAGCCATAGACGATGATGCAACCCCTTCAATATTGCCGGAAGGATTTTCGACTTGCATCCTCTTTGTAGGTGATTCAGATGCACCATCTGATTCTAACTTACGCTTGCCTGAAGATGACGTTGAAGCTTCCTTGATAGACGCTTGGAGAGAAATTCGCTTCTTTTCCCATTTGATGATCAACTCAGCCAATTCCACTGTCAATAGCTTATGTTCTGGAGTAGCATTTTGAAGCAATCCGAGCTTAGGCAGAGTATTAACTATCTGAGGTAAAAAGTGCTCACGGTACTCGAAGAATAAGTCTGAGTGTCTGATAAGTAGCTGATACACATTAACCATTTGGGATATGCTATGCGTGTCCTCGACTACTACTTTTCTTGTCAATCGGATCCAGGTAGGCACACGTTCATTGTTTGAAATAGGTGAGCGCTGTGGCAGGACAGAAGCAATGATATCAAGACCTTGCTTAACCAAGATGCGAGCTTCTGAAGAGTGTGCTCTTAAAAGAGCCGCATAGATCTGGATAGTGATCTTATTTGGCGTTTCGTAAGCAGCAATGAAGTGAGAAATCAACACATAGGCAGCCTGTTTGATTGTGGCATCCTCCAAACGCAAAAAGTTCCAGCCAAACTTAATAACTTCCTTTCGTCTATCCGCAAGCAACTGAGGAGCATACTGAACCATTGTAGCAGTTAATTGTAGCAATTCGATACAAAGGGAGTCTTCGATGTACTGATTGTCGTCAGCGGATCCCATTGTCAGGTTAGCCCAAACCTTTTGATCTAATTGCTCCATTATGGCAGAATCAAATATTTGCATATAGTCGTCATTCTTTACAGCGAAAGTAGCAAGTATCGCAGGGTTGATAACTTGGCGTATTAGCATAATTTTCAAATATGAGGACACGCTCTTGTCTGTAAACATTTGAAGGAATTTTTCCAAGAGGCCCCTTTTAATAGCAGGTGACGCCTTTAATGCAACATCTTCCAAAAAGAATTTTTGCAGAAATGAGAGCTCCAAGACAGCCTTTTGAGCATAAAGACCAACCAGATCAAAAATAAGATCGATATTATTGAGATCCTGTCTTAAATAGCTGACGAATATCTTTGACATGGTCAGTAATCGTCGAGCAATAGCTATGATTTCCTTATCCTCTTCCTTGTGCTGCTGTTCCAATAAAATCTTTTCTTGAGAATGCCAGAATTCGCGTATGCAAGTAAGAACTTCATTATGCTCAGTAAGGTAGTTCGAGTCATAATTAAACAACGATTGAACTATAACAACGCCATTGTAAGGAAGCGTGCCATTACTATTTGATTCATGCTTGAAAGTTTTGCTAACTAGTTCGGAGGTTCTGCTGGCAACTTCATCCCGGAGTCTTGAAGCAGATTCAGTATTGAGTATATCAACAAACAGCTGGAAGTAGCGAACGTCATCTAGCTTTTCAAGGAAATAATTGACCGTTTCAACTGGGTAACGGTTAAGATATTTAACCAAGTTGGGTCGGAATGGACTAGAAACCGATCTTCGTATATGTCCTTCCATTTCAAGCACCACAGTAACCAGTTCATCAAGGAAGATATAAGCAGCTGCTGGTAAGAGGTGAAAAATGTTCAAAATTGCCACAATAATCTTGATTTCATGGTTTTCATGAACAGGCTTTCCTACTGCCTCCTGAAGCACCTTTGGCTCTGCCCACTGCTTTAGATGATCAAGCAGTTTTTTTCCAATCTCTACTTTGAAATAATTTGTCAACAACTCTAATAAGCGAGCTAATCCTTCTAATCCAGCAACGCTTAACGTCTTGTGATTTGATAAGGTTGTAAGAATTGGTCTAAGGCCTTGTCGTAATAACTCCTGTGGAAGCTTTGTATGTTGAGATAAAACCTGTTGTAAGCCTCGATGAGCGGTTTCGACAACTTCCACAGATTTGGAATATAAAGACTTGAAAAATACTTGAATAATACGTGCTCTTGTATGAGCTTGTCTTTGACTTGAAAAATCAGAGCAAGCAAGTGCGGCAGATAAAAGCTTGATACAGACAATACGCAAGTTTTCCAAAGACGCTGTATTCTTGTATTGCGCACTTCGGCTTGCAAGGGCCTGATCTTCAGCGTCAGCTAGCGCTAGTGCTTCCTGTAACAATCTCGTTAACTCGTCATTGAATTCAAGGAACGGTGGGCGCAGGGTTAAGCAGTATGTAATTGCGTCAATGTGCCCGATTTGCATAGCAAAGGGTAATGCTCGTAAAGGCTTTGCAAAAATAGGAGCAACTAGTCGTTCACGAACAGGCGCTAGTAGTTCGGTAACTTCATTTCCAGTTAAATCGGCAAGAAGCTGGAGTGATGATTGGATTGTCTCACGCACAACGCTGTTCGAATTTGATAGTTCACTAAGTAAAAGAGCAATCAAATTTTGGAATTTTTGCTGTGCTTCTGCAGATTCGCCATCTTCTGGTCCGTTACAAACTTTAAGAACATGCGACAGCGTCTGTGTTGCTTCTTCTGTATTGATGTTTGCCATCTCCGGTGCAGCATCTTTCAGCACAAACAAAAGCGATCGAATAAAATCAAGTTCATGTTCACGCATCCATTTTGTACCCAAATCAAGCTGAGATGTCATGTATGAGATACCAAGACATCCACCACGCTTTCTATACCACTCTGGCTTATAACAAGACGAGCAAAAGTGGGAAGCAAATACGCGAAAGATAGGTAACTGATCAACTTTTGAACTAAGCACAGTAGCAGCAACATCAAAACATGCTTGAAGAGCCTCTTCTCCACGTCTGCGAAGCTGTATCTCTGATGCAGATATCGCTTCAACAATAGCTTCTACAAGAATAGTGGTATTAAGATGTTGAGCAGATAATCTTTCATCCATCATATTGGCCAATGGCTTTCGTCCATTTTCTCTGGCTTCAATTGCTTCACCAATATGCAATAGAATGAAGTGACGGCAAATGTTGAGGAAGAACGACCACGCGTCATCAGATAATTCTTCAATAGTAGACGCTCTCATAATCGATACTAATATAGGACGAAGAGCCTCTTCTTGCGCAGCCCGTTTGGAAAAGTATTTAGTGTATCCGTTACCGGCAAGGCGCTTTGGCGTCATGCCATTGACAGCTAAAGTATTGCCAACCACAGAGTTGCCTTCGTCAACAGAGGTTCTTCGAGGATCAGCGGCAGACTGACCCGTTGAAGTTGAGGCAGATGTTCCAGAGACAGTTGTTTGTGATAACGACGCAGTATCTTCATCCGATCTTTCAATAAACTGCTCTTTTACTCTTCGATATAGTGAGTTGACCAAAGTGTCTGGACCTTCTGCAAGTTCCAGCATTAAGATAAGCTGTGTTTTTAGAAAATTGTAAGCATGCTTTCTGTAAGCCATCTCTATATCATGCGATCTGAGCGAATTGATAGCCACTTCCAAACATTTGTCCAACGGTAGTGTATGAGGCGTTAAATCATGTTCAAACATAACCTCGACTGTAACACCACTTTCGATGCGCGCATTGAATCCTAATTTAGGAGGACTCTTCAACATTCGACGATTGCGTCCACCTAGTTTGCCAAGAATTCTCATTGCTGCATGACTGTGCTGCTGGTTATAAGGAAGTGGCTTCAGATGCTTCCACAAAGCGTCCATAAGCTCTGTCATGACAGGCGCCATAATATGATCCAAGAACTCAGGATTTAGATTATCATTACATAATTCCATTGTTCGTAAACCTTGAGAGACAAGATCCTGATCTGCTTGCAGAGCGGTAACAAGTGGGCGCATCAAGAAAGGCAGATAAGGCAGTAGTGTACTAAGTCGCACTGGAACAGCTAAACAGAGTTCTACAAATAAGTTGCGCATTTCAGTTCTGTGTGCAAGAGAAATCAGCGCATTAAGATTCTCTAGAATGGCTTGAAGCAGTGGTGATACTTCTTTATAGAGTAGCTCGAAACGACCACCACCTATGCTCTTGAAAAGAGATCTTAATAGTAAAAAGTAATTTGCAGGCTCTTTAGCCTTTGCTGCTAGTTTGAAGCATGACATGACCAAGTTTGCCAAGTAAGGTTGCAGTATTGCTTCATTAGAGTCTGGAAATACGTTCACTGCCATAAATGTCAGTCTGAATAAGTAAAGCATCACAGCAGAGTAATGGAGATCTCCTTCGCCCAGTTCTTGTATTTTGTCAACCAAAAACTTCAAGAGGATGCCAGCAAATCCTTGTGTTGTAATTTCATTGACTAAGAAAAACTGTGATAAATGGAGCAAGGAAGGATTGATCAACATTCTTTCAAAAAAGAAATCAATTTGAGAGGCAAACAGCTCCTGAAAGACAGCAGGCTCCAGTATCGTAAACACGATAGGAAATGTATCCAGCACTTCCTTTTCTCCATTTGGCTGGACTGTAAGTTTTAAGCAGCTCTCGATTGCTCCTATCGTCCAATTGTCCTTGGTTTTTTCCTCTTCTGGTGGTGAATAATCAGGAAGAGAGCCGTCATTTCCGTAATTGTCGACGTTGTAATATTCAAAGCATTTTAGTCCCTCTCTAAATAATCGCACAAAGAGCTGAATTTCTTCATATGAAAAGTCCCTTGCAAATGATGAATAACCGGGCACATCCTGGCCCGCTGGTGGCGGTGGATTACAATGTCGAAGTCCAATAAATAAGGGCTTTAAACCAATGGCCAAGTTTTTGAATAAGAATCTTCCATCTTTGATTCCATCCTGCGCAGCTTCTGGGATATACACGCCGGTATGAATAGACCTTGCTCGGTCAAAGTCAAAGTCCATATTATTAGGGTCGTCTTTTTCCATAAGAGATACTGTCGAGTCACCTTGAACTTGCTTTTTCTTCTTATACTGTTTGATGCAGGTGCTAAACTGAATATTCAATGCTTCAAATTTGTTGGCAAATGCGTCCAAGATTCGCATTAAAAGTGCTCTTCCTTGACTCTTGTCCTCGATCCTCATGATACAATCAATAAGATTTAGCAATAGTTTGCCGCACATTGTCTGTATGCTAGGTGCTAACGTTGGATCATGCAAATTACGCGAATAAATGTAGATTGTACGAGATATTTGAACTGGTGATAATTCTGCTCGGATATGATGTACTAAATCTGCAAGCATACTGTATGCGAGTGGTCTAATACATAAACTTAATACCTTCTTTCCTTCTCCAGCTCATACGATTTTACCTTAATGTATCATGCGCTGTAACACCAGTTCCGATCAAAACGCTCTCGTTTAAGAGTAGATCGATTTTGGGTACAAAGTCTGCTCTGAATTCAGTTGAAAGAATATGCCGTGTAGCGACTAAGAGTTCCTTTCTTGTAGCTGATGATTCCGGGGGACATTCTCTTAGCAAACGAAGGACGAACTCTGGAATCTGATCGTGATATGGTCTCAGCAAGTTTGTATAGCTTCTTAGTATGTAAGCCAAAAATGACATCGTTTTCACTTGGGCTACGATAAATTCATTGTATAGGCTCTTTTGTTTGATAGCTGGACTGACACCAATGAAAAGCTCGCCTTTGGCTGCTGCGGCTGCTGCGGCTTCCATTTGAGGTTTTGCTTGTAGAGAAAGTGTCTAGATAACATATTATTATACGTTAACCATTTTGATGTATGGTTGATATACCTGAAATATCAATGGAACAAACTTCATGATATTTTCAGCAGCTGACCGTCTATAAGACTGAAAAAGTAATACAACGATGATTGGACATTCAGTCAGCACCTTGAAACTAAACATACTCTTTGGTAATATTTTTGACGGAGCATCGGGAACATCGGCTGCGGGTGACATTGGTCTTGGTGATGCAATAGAAGAAGGCTAATCTCAGTTGTTAGTATGTGTGTATATTGAATAGTATTTAAGCATTACGGTTGATACTTGGTCAGGATTATCAAATGCTTCCTTTACTGTTGTTTCCATATTTTGAAATATCTCTTGAACAATGTCTAAAAATGGCTGAACTTGATCTTCAAGTACTTGACGGAACGAGCGATGCAAGTCTATTATAATCTTTACGCAAACAACTGCATTATCTTCATTTTCCACGCGTAAAATCTTCATTAGTGCTCTGCATAATTCTGGGACGTATTCTTTTAGTGCCTCTGTCTGTGGTAATCGGTATATAATTTCTAAAATGATATTTCGCAATTTCTACAAAAGAGGTAAGGATAATGTAAGGAACTAATCAAGACATTTACTTGTTCTGGTGCATTGCTTATAAATACAGGTTGTTCATTTTGTAAAATGTCGAGAAAAAGAGGTAAAAGTGTTGATAAAAACTTGGGATATTCTGAAGTCTGAAATACTTCTACTTGATCTCTTAACTCGTTCGCAATAGTAACTTTCAAGCCAATTCCTATTATAAATAAGATAAATAACACAGAAACACATATATACATCATTGTTATATCTTTTTGTTTTTGTTATAATAATACCTAGATCAGGATCGCTTAGTCTGTGAGCATAGATTTGTAAAGTAGTCATTGGCAGTGTGTGATTCAAATATAGAAGCTGACTATTTTACAGTCTAAGAGTAACGATTCCTTTTATGTATAATAAAAAGAGTTAAATAAATTTATGTACAATAGAACAAGTTAATGTCAAGAAGAAAAAAAGAGGGGAAAAGGAAGAAGAGGAAAAAAAGTCGTCCTTTGGGCAGTAAAATATAAAAAATGTTGAACACGAAACTGCTCACCGGACCTCCGGACCATTCTTTGGCAGTCATTCCTCTTTTCTTTCTCTCTTTTTCTTATCAGGACAGGTTCTTTAAAGACTTTCTAAGAGACAACGTAGAAGATAAAGACATGACCATATAATTTAAAGCCGTATAGGGTATTTTTATTATTACAAGATTCATAGAATGATTGAAAGTAGAATGATGGAGTCTAATGCAATGTGTATATGTAAAAGAAGTTAAGCCTTGTAGAAAGGATAGTCTATGTAGCCTTCAGGACCATGAGTGTAAAAGGTGGATCTGTCATACTTGTTCAATGGCCAATTGTTACGAAGGCGTTCAGGAAGATCAGGGTTTGCAATGAAAGCACGACCAAAAGAGATCAGGCTTCCATGCTTTTGAGCGTAATCGATAGCTTTTTTGGGAGCAGTGGAGTAACCATTAGAGGCCATAAAAGGGCCCTTCCAGATCTTGCGATAAGGTTCTAATGTATCTTCAATAAGTGTATCTTCATTATCTTGGAGGTTGGCACGAGCTTGGATAAAATGAAGGTAGGCCAAGTCAGGATGGTTCTTTTGAAGTTGAGAGGTCAAGTAGCTCCAGGTTTCGACAACGGTCTCATCTCCCATATCTTGGAAAGACCCACCAGGTGAGAAACGGATGGCGGTACGGTCATCACCAACAGCGTCAGCGACAGCATCAACCACTTCGAGAGCAAAGCGAGCACGGTTCTCGATACTTCCACCATATTCGTCAGTACGCTTGTTGCTGTTGGAATTGATGAATTGATCAACGAGGTAACCATTAGCACCATGGATCTCGACACCATCAAAACCAGCTTCAATTGCGTTCAAGGCAGCTTGGCGGTACTTTTGGACCCATTCTTTGATCTCAGGTACAGTTAAGGCGTGTGGTACTTCGTGTTCGCTGCCGCCAGCAAAGTAGTTGATGCCTTTAATAGGGATGTCGGAGGCAGAAACAGGCTGTTCACCATTGGGATTCAATTTGCGAGAGCCAGCACGTCCAATGTGCCACAGTTGTAAGTAAATGATAGCACCCTTTTCGTGAACAGCATCTGTCACTTTTTTCCAGCCTTCGATTTGTTCCTTGTTGAAAATACCGGGCGCTTGAATGTATCCACCTGCTAAAGGATCAATGGAGGTAGCCTCTGTGATCAAGAGGCCGCCGTTGCTTGCTCTTTGTTTGTAATATTCAACAAGAAGATCATTAGGGACAGCTTCGAGAGTAGCTCTTGTACGAGTTAAGGGAGCCAAGACAACACGATGTTGAAGTACATGTCTTCCGATCTTGATTGGGTTGAAGAGAGATTGAATAGTCATTGTAGAGATGAATTGAGTGTGTTTAATGATAAAATGAGACTAAAAAAGAAAAATTGGACCCTTTTATATGTAACTTGTGTATTATTCAGCATGGAAAAATAGTTTAGGCTTAGAGAGGAAACTGAGTCCCGAAAAGGAAAGCGTGCCATTCTTTCCTTTTTGAACTAATCGCTTACGTACCTTCGAGTATCTTTGATTGCCACATTATTAATTCGTTCAGCAAAATTATTAATCCCTTTTTTCATGTTGCATCTCGTTTAAAATAGCGGGGTTTATTTAATATTGGTAAACGCTTGGTGCACTCAAAAATGCACTCAAAAATAAACTAATGCTATGAACGCTTCCTTGGGGCGCTACCTATGTTGTCACTTTACTGTATTTTTTATTAATTATTGACGTTAATTTTATAAAACATTGTCGTAAAATAAAAGAATTATTTACGTAAAAAGACGACAAAAAAATACGTTTGAATAAAACGACATCATGTCAAAAGAGAGAGAGAGATAATGAGTATATGTAGAAAAAGAAAGAAAAAGTATGTTAGTATTAGAGCACATATCCTAATATTAGCTTTACTTACCACCAAGGTGCATTCTGGGGAGGGTAGCGATAACTACCCAGGAAAGTTAAAACAAAAAAAGGAACGGAGGACAGAGGGAACCCAGGGCGTCAGAAGAGGAAATTGGGGAACGCTCCAGGTACAAGCCAGAGAGCAAAGAGGGCGGGACAAGCGAGTCAGAGCAAAAACCATGAGGACAGGCTAGTTTTGACTGGTGAATCTTTGAACACTCAGAGGGACACTTGATAACTGCTGTAAAGAAGCAAAAAAAGGACTCAATTAAAATGGGTTTTTATATGTTTTTCTTTCAAACAAGTTTCAGGATCAAGTACCTAGGATAAAGAAATCATGTCAAATAGAAGCAATCTGCTCCGTGACCATTCAAGAATATGTATTACCAAATATGACTACATGTTCTTCTGGTTTTACAAGGAAACTAAAGAGGGCGATTTCTAATATTAGGTTAGTTTCAACTCCAAGACAGCCCACCTGTTAATATTGCTGTCAAATGGGATAGTGAGCCATATTCTTTTTGTATTTGTTATTACTCTGATAACATTACAACGGTTTCAATACGACATCTAAATTTGGAAAGCACGACATTCAGTCTCAATAGCAGCGTCATTATTTTTTGGAAATACAGTATAACTTCACATTGTCTAACCTAAGGCTATCCAGCTTACTCTCTCTGATATAAAATTTGAATTTATCATAATTACAAGTGATTGGTCTTGGTTCTTCGTTGATCAAACTGACAACATAAAACTAAAATAACATTTCTTTTTTAGCTCTTTCTTCTTGAAAAGAGACAATTCAAGATGGTAATTTCATAAACTCATGTTTAGCTTGACGCTACACGTTGAAAAGCTTTGCTGGGCGACACCATAAGTAGTGGATAGAGGCAACGCCCGTAATATTGATTTATTTTTGAGTGCACCAAGTGTTTGCATATTATAAACGTAGTTAATTCTTCGAATATTTATTTATCAACAGAACAGAAAAACCTCGCAAGATAGAATATCATTGATCAAGTGAATAAGACATTACTGAAAGAATACACCACAGCATTCAACATGCTAAAGCAGGCTTGGAATATAGTATTGAAAGAACTACCACATTTTCTTTGGACTTACACAATGCCAAACGACATAACGGACCACGACAAAACGCTTTCCAAAATTGTAAAATTCGTTTTAATCGACTTTTCCAGCAAATGTCATCGTAATCCATACTATCAGCCAAAGTACGAGCACACTTATTAGATTAATCGAGCCTTTCCAATCCTTCAATGCTTTGGTGATCACAGCCAGTTGCTTGGATTTCAATGGTGTGAAATTCCATTAGAGGAATACGTTGAATTTACGATTGAAGCTTCAGAAAACTAAATTGTATAGAGTTACTTTTAGATTTCACAGCCTCTGAATGGCTATGTTGCCGAAACAAAGACTAAGGATGTAGTTATAGGCTTTCTAGCCGCGCTTTATTCTCAGTAATATAAATATGAAAATAAAAATTCTTATTGTTCCCTTTACAACTTTCTATGCGTGCATTCACTGTGGTTTGGAGAACTGGTGGCAGAGATGGGCTTCAAAAGAGTCTTTTGTACTATGGGAGGGGAGTCACTACATCCTTAGTCTTCGTTTTGGCAACATAGCTATTGTGGTAGGCACAACCCACAATAGCGTTGCCTCCACTCCAACCTCGAATGTGGTTATGTTCTTGGTAACTTTTCCAAATACAGTGTTGACTATATCGGGCCCACGTCTGTGCTAATTCCTTGGCCGGTAGTAATAGTCTTCGAAGGTGTTGCTTGTCAAACTCCAGTTCGCGTGCAGGTTTACTGCCTTCGTGTTTGCTACGAATCGCAAAGAATGTGCCTTGAACTTATTTGTGTTGATCTCCGAAACTTGCATTATGCCTTCCAGCCACCTACTGACTGTCTTAGGTTGAATCGATTTTGCGGATGTACTGTCATTACCTAAGTAAGCTAGAAACAATATGCGCTCCTCCTCCAATGAAGCTGTAAAGTTCTTGGTACGCTGGACAAATGTCTTCAATGCTCAAACGGGACATAAGTTTTGATATTTGCTAGACCCGATTTTCTAGCTTTAGGCTCGATTATCCTAAAAAATATCATGATCAAACAAAAATAATACTCAGAAAGAAAGAGAGCTGCCATGCTATCATCTGTACAATGTAAAGTGTTTTGTGATTTTATTTAAATTGAATGACCTATATAGTTTTTAATACAGAAGAAGAGGGCGAGTTACTATGGAAGCATACGGTTATTCATTCGATAGTCTTTTTCTTTTTCTTTTTCGACAAAGATGATGACTTTCTAAAGAAAGCCATGTTGTTGGCGGCATTGGTGGATTTCGGCGATTGTTTTCTACAGCTTCAATTATAGGCGATTCTGCTTTCGTAGTAGTTTCTAAGGCAATATTCTGTTTAAACAACACAGAAAAGTTAGTTCAAGATGCACTGTTTGATTATTATTAAATCCATTCTTACTTTCAATTATATAATACTGAAAACGATGTGCGGGAGGAAATGTAATTATTCCACATTTCTAAATAACTTCACCTTTGAGACCTTGATCATCCTATATAGCTTAGGAGATATTATATCCATGTAGTAGGTGAATAGGTCATCTCTTTGACAAATGATGCCACAGGCAACGAGATTTGGAGCTCGGTACATAACAAGTTCATTGTAGATTGTTCGCATTTGCTTGCCGAGTAATTGGGGGGTTTTTTGAACTCGTCAAGCACCAGGACACGCTTCACATTAATCGATATGGAATAGGCCACGAAATCCGGCTTAAACTTTGAATCTTTTTGAAGCTCTCCGTTCGCTCTATATAAATTCCTATCAATACGTTGTATTTTTTCATTTTTGGTTTTATTATATTACTATTTAATCTAAAAGCGACCGTCTTTACTAAAAATTGATATAAGCATTTGCGACAGATAGTTGTGTACAATAGAACCTTCTATGAAACGATCAGGAGATCCATGTTCAGTGCATATATACGTCATTTTTCTCTTTCACCGCTTCACGCAATACCCTTTCACCAAAACCTAAAGAGGTTATCCAGTCGCGTGGTGGGTCCTTGAAAAAAAAAGTTTAATACGTTGATCACTACATTCATCAAATTTTCTTTTAATACATGTCATATTATATCAACAATCTCTTGACATCATTGATGTACCTTGATACCCATTTCTGGACGGTGTTACTTGGCGTTTAGACTTGATATTATAGCACATTAGACCATGGAATTCCCAAGATGTTTTGGCAGAGAATCTTGCTGTCGATGGTAACGTAACAAGGAGACCATGAGCGCTAGAGAGGAAAACAACTGAAGACGGGCAAACGACGATGTTCAAAGAGACGAGAAAGTTGATAGACGGCCTTAAAGTGATTGACAGGGTTACGCTTGATATCATAATAAAGTCCCTGCTCGCCAAAGTTGTAGCCCCTTCCATAAGCATAAAAAACAGGCGAAAGAGCTTCAAGAGCGTCTATATAACTAGGTTCTTGAGGGAACTGTTCCATATATATAGGTTACTGCGAAATAGCCTGTTTGGATGCCTGCGCTGGTAGAATGATGTCTTGACGTATGCGGTGCTTGATTTCATCATCATCCATACCTTGTTCAGGCAGATCTTATCTCAAATCTGTTGTTCGCTGCCGTATACGAAGTAAAGTGTTGACGGCACGTCGAAGGCGCTAACCCAATCTAGGGTGAACGTTGTTGGCGTAAGCTGTGTAGATTTGGCGCCTTCGACTATAGTAGATTGCTGAGCATATACGAAGATGGGCCTCTGGTAGTTGGTGATTGTAAGGTAGTCATCCAAGTACTGATCGATTACGGCATGAGAGCGAACGATGCATTGAGTACAAGTTCGGCCTCTTGAGTAATCGACCAATGAGGACCATACTTCTTTAAAAAAAAAATCTTGTTGATATATTCTTGTATTCTGAAATTCATGCCTTGCAGCACCCGAAAAAAGATGAATTTTGAGAAAGAATAGGCGTGCATGGTAGCGGTGTGTACACGTTCGACGAAGCTTTCGAGTGTTTTATGATGGAGATCATTCCAACCAATGCCATCAACAGAGAATTTAACAGCCAAAATACGATCGCCGGGTGCGAGGGAACTAGAAGTACTCATAGCCAATGCATGGAAGGAGCTTGTAACGGAGGCTTCATCCATGGTGAGATGCCTGTTGAATATATATATGGTTAGTTAAAGATTGTCTCTAATAGCTTAAAAAAGAATTTTACTTACTTCTAGTTAAATGAATATATATGTTTATAAAAAGATTGATATAAAGAACTAGAAAAATGATAGACGTGAACCTACAAGATATATTGTTAGATAACAATGTATCTAATCGTTTAGATAAGCTTTTACTTACTGGAAGTGCTTGATGCGTAGGTTTAAAAATATAAAGATTGATTTTAGAAAATAAAGACCCAAAGAGGTGTATCTATTAGATGTATTATTAGTTACAGACTGTATCTAACAGTTTAACTACGCTTTTACTTACTTAAATAAAAAGATGATTAAACGCTTTTTTAAGAAAGAAAAAGAATGAAATGATAGTGAAATGAATGATTTCTTAGCTAAAATAGTGCCCTTTTTATAATGAAACTCATAATGTTGTAAGTAGCACAAAAAATCGAGTAGAATCATGAATGTGTTCAAAAGCATAAGCATAGATTTAGAACTAATAATGAACAAGAGTGATAGACATCATATTATTCTCAGAATAAACCAATTGATTGAAGCCTTTCGACATGATTAAAGCCAAATCGTACAGAGAATGCCGGTTAAACCTCTTGATTTTAAAGCATGTAAAAGATTCTTGAATCACTAAATAGAGAGAAATGACTCATTATTAAGATATCTGATGGATAGCTTGAGTGACTTTTAGTATCTGTAGCTAAAAGACTGTTATTTCATTGAATACAAAAAAAGAAATAAAGGAGAAAACAAACAGTACATTTGCTTGTAGTACGTAGCATTATGGTAATCACAACATATTGTCTGAATAATCAACTATTAGGTTAAATAGCTAACTGTTGTTGTATAAGAAAAATAAAGATACACTGGAAATACGGTAAACCTGTTCTATGGATAAGGTTAAGGTGAGCCATGTAAATAAGATAGAAATATGTATGCTTTAAGACAGGTCTAAGATGCTCTCTATTGCGGCATTTGTCCAAACATTCATATGAATGCCTAACAAAGCCTTTGAAGTCATTTGCTTTTAAGTTATTAGACGTCTCACTAATTCTCGTCATCAGTGTCTCTTTTTCCAATAACCTATTGCGCTTTACTTTGCTCTTAACAACTGACCAGAATTGCTCAATTGGATTAAGTTCAGGGGAGTATGACGGTAAATAAGCATAACGGTAACCGCGGGATATAATATATTTAGCAATATCCTCAGATATATGGATAGGAGCGTTATCCATAATAAGGTAATGCCCTTTCACATGTGGGTGCCGATCCATTTCATCCATTGTGGCCTTCAGAAAGCTAAAATAATAACCAGTTACTGTACTCGTTAGCTCAACATAACCTTCTCTCTTTCCTTTCTTGGCTGGCGGCTGCGGCAATCTCAGGCTATACTTTATTAATCCTGAAGCAGAGATCGCGCCTAAAATTGTTGTTGTTTGTGCTCGGGTTTTGGGCGCTGTGACTACAGCAGGCAATTCTTTTGTTGAACAGGTCATACTACATTTTAAATTAATATGAAACGCAGACTCATTGATAAAGATACAATTAGCTCTAAAGTCCATGCCCGTACACTCTCACTTATGAATCCGGTCAAAACGCTGCTGAATTTTTTCTTCACTGTTCCTATCTACAGGCTGAAATTGGGCTTTTTTGAGTGACAAGCTGCATTCAGTTCTTGCAAAATTGTAGACAGTGCTTTTAGAGACTTTGAGATTCTGAAACTTTTGAAGTAATCACTCCATTACTTGCTCCAAGGCGACTGAAGGATTTTCATCTATATACTCCAAGATCACTTGCTTGTGTTCTTCTTGAAGTATACGCGAGCGGCCAATTTTCTTATGCTTTATAAAAATACTATCAGGATCTGTTTTGCACATTTGAGCCCATCTTTGGGCTGTGCGAACATGAATACCTAATTGTTTTGCAGCAGCTGAAGCACTCATAGCTTTCTCAAACATCAGTTTAAAGAATCTAACTTTGTCCTGATCCGTATAGAGTGTGTACGCTTGTTTACTCGACGCCTCCTTCGTGCAAACATCTGGGCTATCTTTTGCATCTTCATCTGCCATAGAGCCTACATCGAAATTATTCTCCTGAGGCTGATTATGCAAATACTAAGTGTGTGAACTAACTGTTTCTAAAGCATATCGCTCTTCATCAATGATATAAACACCATCAAGTCTTAGCCTACCAATTATAATGATTAGTTTATCTCCCTCTACCCATCCCCATTAGATTGTATGCTTTCCCCCTCCACCACCAGCACCTTCTCACCCCCACCTTGTTGAACCAGCCCAGACAATTTCAGTATAAAATACTACGTGCTCACTTGGATTTAATAAAAGATTGCTTAAACGTATAAGACGGCATATGCTCCTTTCAAGCCGCTCTCCCATGGACCATCCGTTGGCCAGTTATTTGCACTCTTCTTCATGAACTTGACAACCTTCATCATTAGAAGTGTCCACCTTCTCCGCCCCACACCTTGGGCAAAAGCTCCTCGATTGGCTCCCTCATTGTCCTCACTAGTGTATCTTACACTTGTCCCAACATCATTTCTTCAATAATTTTTTTTACCCTTGATCTCATAAGGGTTTTTTTAGATACTAATTCTTCTTTCTTTTTTGATCTACCTCGGGCGAAGAAGGTATTGTGGTGATGATGACGATGAAGAAGCGGTGTCATCTACCCACCTTTAAAGTCAGTCACTAGTGACACTGTGTCATGAATGACTGATTTCAAATAATCTTTTTGAATAGTATAAACACTGCTTTGTTTTTGGTTCTCTCAGAAGAACTATTCATTGAAACATTAATAAATCCTTTATATCTTTTTATAAAGTAAAAGCCTCCTTTTTCCCTTTTTCTCTTTTCTTTAATTCTGATTTTGGTATAACAATTATATTACCTGTCAAAGCATTTTCAAACTTCTACTTTTATTTACCTTATTTGTCTTTTATTACTCAATTACTTATTTGATCTATTAAATATCTGGTAATCACTACAAAGGGAACCCTTAACGCCAAATTTATAAATATCAGCTAAACCAAACATACGAACCTTACAACACATCAGCACATTACAACACGTTATTTTTTTTAAAAAAAATTCTACGGTATATTATTATCGTGCGCCTACTTGAGGCTTTAATTGTAAATAAAAGACTGTTTAACCGTATAAGACGGCATATCATAATTAGATTTAAAAAAATTAGTAGTATACAGTACAACAGAACTGTTGGTCATTGATATTTCGTTCATTCAAGCAAATATTAATCAAAGATTACATTTGCTTCTCATTTTCTAGCTCTACTATTCTTTCTATTTCTGAAACTGTAACTGCCATTTTAAAATGAGCCCTGCTACTGAACATAACCATCCTGTCATTGATATTCCACGATGGAAAAAAGTAATTGAGAACCATGTTATCATGCATGGTGTTGAGTGGAAACAAGTAACTACACTGAAAGCTGGCACAGCCAGTTAAAGATCAGTTATCTACTAATAAGGAGCAGGACAATAGATTACTTAGTTTGAGAATGCCTGAAGAAGTGAGTATCTATGTAGCAAGGAACATGATTTCTAACAAAAAAATGTTCTTTTTAAAGTTTTCAGTGGTTCAGCAATGAAGCAATGAAAATTCGTGCTGAAAATAATATGATTAGGGCGTATAGCACTGAAACGGAGTTTGCGAGCATATGCTTCTTCTAAAGTGATATACTGAATATGATGTTGAGAGAGGTGAAGAAAGCAAATGTTTGTACAAAAGAAACCCTAGCACTTTCTTTTTAAATGTTCAATGTATACTAAAGTATCAAGCAATAAAGGGTTGAAATATGAACATGTAGATATGATTGTAAAGCTGAAGATGTCAACAGAAGCTGAGCAAAATGTAAGGCCTAATAAAGTTAAAAATTCTTGGAAATTTCAAGTAGAAGAGTTTTTTAAAGAAGTTTTGTTAAGTATTAGTTATGCAGAACAGCTTGCATCAAATATTTAATATTTGTATTTCTTCCTCTAGCTTCAAGAGCAGTGGTACATCTTTCGGGCGTTGAAGCAGCTATGACCTCCAGAGAGATCTTGCTTATTTTTGATCATTCGTCTCTAATGATGCATTCAAACTGATCCAAGTTTGTATCATACATTGTACGCCTACTCACAAGAAGTTTGAGGTACCCCATATATGCTCAACGGGATTTAAACCAGGGTTACAGAGTGGCCAAAAGGCAAACGTAGCTCTAATAGTTTTCGACTTGTATCATCTGGCATAGTTTGCAGTATGAACGGGAGCACCATTCTCTTTTTAGATGAAGTCTTTATCATGTATTTCATACTGATCTTCTGAGCCAAGGGATGGTGTAATCAGCGAGCAAATTGACATATTGATCATTGTTAATTGCTCTTCCCATGATGGTCAATGGTCCCGAAGTTTGTCCATGGAAGCATTCGGCATCATAAGTGATTCTCTTTCGAAATTCGAAATGCCCATTTTGTGTCTCTTACAATCCTTCCTCAGGAGACTTGATGAATTTAGCGCCTTTAGTACCCCTTCCAATACGAATCATGGACTCATCAGACCAAACTACCTTCTGATAGATACGGTATAGATCCCTTCTTGGTTACTATTGGAATTTATTGTCTATCACTTGATGTCAGGCAATTGGTGAAACAAAGCTGTGTGCAAGGCTGCTATTCCTTTCTGCGCAACGTGTAGGCATTTGAATTCTTCTTAATTACATCGAGTCCTATGCAGATCCACGTCAGAGCAACGCGTGAGCGCTCGATCACTCGTCACCTTCTTTGCTTTATAACATGGCTTATCAATGGGCGATATTCAAACTCTGGACAATTAGACTACTTTAATTACTTTCCACAATTGCTATCGCCGAAAGCATCTTTCCACTGTTGACTTTACCAACACTGTTATACCTTAGAAAGCCAGTGATTTTTCTTTTGTTACTCGAATAAGAAAGTGAGTTGAAAATATAATTCAGGGTGATTTATGGTTATCACAGGTATAAACTGATGTGTTTGATGCGATAGAGGAATGTAAAGTAGAACGTATGCTCTACTGTAAGGTTATAAAGTATATAATGATTTATATCAATGATAAACAATGTCAGTGACAACATTAACTCTTCCCTATAAAACTCACATGTGTCTTATTTGATACATTCAGCTCTTCTTAATAAAGAATATAATTCGCAATTTATCGACTTAGCTGCCTTTTCCCAATAACAAAGCTGAATGCAACACAGGTCAGCTGGGATGCCCAAAGTTGTATTTATTTAATCAAGTTCGATTACCCCACCTCCTTCGTCATTTTTCCGTTCTCAGCTATCTGTTTTTATCATAAACATGCTCACTGTATACAGTTACTTATCGAGTGTTGAGAATGTGTTGTTATATTTGAATGATGATGGAATTATTCCCTTGTAAGACTACGATCAAGCTGATAAATTTATTGACAGTTCTAAGAGAAGTAATAACTATTGGTACATCGTTATTATGATGACCTTTCTCGTTTTTCTTCCATTGGTTGTAATCCAAGACATATCTGTTTACAATAAACTCTATCTCTTAACGCCAAACATGTACAACAAATCGTTCGCCAATTTTAGCCAATTAAGTTTTATAATTTAATCCTTATTGAGCAACAAAAAGTTAGCCTTTGCGAAATTTAGAAAATGCAATAGCCAATAAATATTCATCTCAACAGCATCAAAAAGGAAGATAAAATGAAGCCATGAGTTCTTCAGGGCATTGGTCGGATGTTTATGCGTGCCCTATGCTAAAGATATTACAGTGAACAGGAAGAGATAACCATGAAGACATAGATAATCTATATGCTCACCGGCGTATCTTGAACGCAATAAAGTACAAGAAATGCATCATGAAAAAAGGAGTTAATAACTTCGCTGAACGAATTAATAATGTAGCAATCAAAGATGCTCGAAGGTACGTAAGCGATTAGTTCAAATTAGTTCAAAAAGGAAAGAATGGCACGCTTTCCTTTTCAGGACTCAGTTTCCTCTCTAAGCCTAAACTTTTTTTCCGTGCTGAACAGTATGCAACAAATTACATATAAAAGAGTCCAATTTTTCTTTTTTAGTCTCATTTTATCATTAAACACACTCAATTCATCTCTACAATGACTATTCAATCTCTCTTCAACCCAATCAAGATCGGAAGACATGTACTTCAACATCGTGTTGTCTTGGCTCCCTTAACTCGTACAAGAGCTACTCTCGAAGCTGTCCCTAATGATCTTCTTGTTGAATATTACAAACAAAGAGCAAGTAACGGCGGTCTCTTGATCACAGAGGCTGTCTTTATTGATCGTTTAGCAGGTGGTTTCATTCAAGGTCCTGGTATTTTCAACAAGGAACAAATCGAAGGCTGGAAAAAAGTGACAGATGCTGTTCACGAAAAGGGTGCTATCATTTACTTACAACTGTGGCACATTGGACGTGCTGGCTCTCGCAAATTGAATCCCAATGGTGAACAGCCTGTTTCTGCCTCCGACATCCCTATTAAAGGCATCAACTACTTTGCTGGTGGTAGTGAGCATGAAGTACCACGCGCTTTGACTGTGCCTGAGGTCAAAGAATGGGTCCAAAAGTTCCGCCAAGCTGCCTTGAACGCAATTGAAGCTGGTTTTGATGGTGTCGAGATCCATGGTGCTAATGGTTACCTTGTTGATCAATTCATCAATTCCAACAGCAACAAGCGTACTGACGAATATGGTGGAAGTATCGAGAACCGTGCTCGCTTTGCTCTCGAAGTGGTTGATGCTGTCGCTGACGCTGTTGGTGATGACCGTACCGCCATCCGTTTCTCACCTGGTGGGTCTTTCCAAGATATGGGAGATGAGACCGTTGTCGAAACCTGGAGCTACTTGACCTCTCAACTTCAAAAGAACCATCCTGACTTGGCCTACCTTCATTTTATCCAAGCTCGTGCCAACCTCCAAGGTGATGAAGATATACTTATTGAAGATACATTAGAACCTTATCGCAAGATCTGGAAGGGCCCTTTTATTGCCTCTGGTGGTTATTCCACTGCTCGTGAAAAGGCTATTGATTACGCTCAAAAGCATGGAAGCCTGATCTCTTTTGGTCGTGCTTTCATTGCAAACCCTGATCTTCCTGAACGCCTTCGTAACAATTGGCCATTGAACAAGTATGACAGATCCACCTTTTACACTCATGGTCCTGAAGGCTACATAGACTATCCTTTCTACAAGGCTTAACTTCTTTTACATATACACATTGCATTAGACTCCATCATTCTACTTTCAATCATTCTATAAATCTTGTAGTAATAAAGATACAGTCATTTCAAAAAGTAAAGTCGCTGGTTTTGAGTTTGATATCATGCAAAAAAGTTCATATTCAAGAACGTCGTCGGTTGATCCAAAAATAAAGTTGTGTTCAAATGCCGGTTACTTTTGCTTGTCGCTTAGTAATTATCCAATAGCATTCTTGGCATTTTGCTTGTTATAATGGGAGAGCGATTTTGAAGTGGTGTTTTTGCTTTCTTTTTCCTATTTATATTTTACAGATATTCAGAATAAATATGCAGTTTCTTTACGAAGATGGACAGGAGCATATTGTTGATGAGAACGGGGTTGAGCCTGTAGAAAGAAATAGCAAAGAAAAGATACAACAAAGGTACGATTGAGTACAAAAGTGGCAGCAAACCGACTTGGATTTCACAACAAATTGCGTCTTTCTTGATGAATCAGCCTTTCATATCAATTTGAAACGAGGTATGACTTGGCTAAAGAAGGGAACTCCTGCAATAGTTACAGTACCCACAACGAAAGCAAACGCAACATCGATTTTAGGTACCATATCTGCTAGTGGCTTAATTAATGTTAGTTTGAGAGTTCCAAAGCGTATCAAGAGGACATGAAACTGATGCTTATAGCATAGGAACAGTAACAAGGCATTATTTGAGCTTTCTAAAGGCTACCCTTGATGAAATGGACAGGTATCCAGAAATGAAAGGACATTATCTTGCCATGGATAATGCCCCTATTCATAGCTCAACGGATATAGGAAAGTATATTCACTCTCGTGGATACCAATATGTATATTTTCCTCCGTATTCTCCTGAATTGAATCCAGTTGAGCAGTTTTGGTCGGTCGTTAAGAGCAAAGTTAAGCGAAATAAATTTCTGGAAAAAGAGTTGCTAATGACTAGAATTAGTGGGGCCTGCGATAGTTTATATTTAAGTGACTTTAAAGGCTTTTCTCTCATTCTGAAAGATGCTTTGACAAGTGTCTCAACAAAGAAAAACTGTAAACCGCATTGCTTTTTTCTTTTCGGGTGGATGAAAAAAAAACACACATCTTGTTACCAGACATTTGAAAGTTTACTGATACCCAGTAACATTTGGCCGAGAGATAGTGCGAGTTCCTCACATTTGTTACTAGAAATTTGAAAAGTCATTGATATCTGGTAACATTTTTAGCCATAAGACGGCGAAATCCTCCCAATGACTGGAACCTCAACATCATTGAACATCACGTCCATTTCATATACTTCAACTCTTAGCAGAGAGTTTATGATCAAACAAAATAGTGAACAATTATAAAAGTTATACAGCATAACAGGTATAATAAAATAAACGAATCGATGACATGGTTTCTCTTCCCTGAACTGCCAGGTCAACAAAAAAAAAAAAAGAAAAGAAAAATGGATGGTTACTGTAGATGTTTTTTTTTCTAACAATAGTATGCAGCTTTTATCGATTTCCAATTCGGATACTTGTCAACGAGTTGATTGCTTTTCCCATCTTCAAAAATATTAGCCCACAGAATGATTGCATGGTCATTCGATATGTTGATGAATCGCGATTCTACATAATTTTAATTGGCATTGTTCAATACCGTTGCTGAGAGCTGCTTTGATGATTGTGTGAATGATGACAATAGAGTGTCAGACTGTTGCAACGATGATGGCAACGGAGTATCATCACGTTGCATAGATGATGATGATGGCATGAAAGTCTGATACTTGGATTGAAATGCGCTATCTAAGGCTAATGTCTCCTGCAAAACAGCCTTTGCTCGTGTAAGATCTGTTATAAGCTAGACATAATATAGAATAAATTATGCTATAAAGCTTAAGCAGCATCATCCATTAGGACAGGGTTTATCCATGATCTGCCATTGAATTATGTAATATGAATAAATACTCTTTATATGAATTAATTATATTAGAAGTCCTAGCTTGAATAGATCCCATGATTGACATTAAGTTACATTGAAATATAAAGAGAATCCAATGATTGACAGACTTTATAATAGAGCTTTTCTTCATTTATGATAATATAAACATTCATACTATTTTATTCTATAAAAAGACTTGTAAAGGCTCCTCGGATCAGTATCTCTCCTCACCGCCTAGGTTTCATATCTATCTTTAACAATTGGTCAGGCACATGATAATGTGTCGACTGAATTAACAGAGTACTTCCTTATCAGATTAAATTTTATATAATACATATCTATGTGAGATCGCGTTATTCTCAGCATTCACAGTTTCGTCACCAACTATATATCATGAATTAACCAATGGGCAGTATTAACTCGATAGAAGGTCTCCCTAAAAGTCGTGTATTTCAAAAAATATAAATAGAGCCCTTTATTCCATGTAATTTGTTATTGGCCGAACTTTCTCCCAATAAAGCATTTCAAAGCATTCTCTTGTTTGTTTTGTCTGTTGAGAGAGTTAATCTATCACAAGATCGTTGGAAGTAGTACTGATATCATCTGAATTTTAAACAGTTAGAAACTGAGACTTTTGTGTGCTTTTTACAGACAGCTTTTATTAGTAAATTATCTTTGTTAAATATAGGATAATACATACTTAAAGATTGAAAATTAATAAATATGTTTTTTATCAGTTAACAGCAGCGAAAACTGGTGGAGAGAAAAAGGAGGAAAAAGCTTATATTCTTATTAAGTAGTCTTTTGCTACTGTTATTTGGAAGCACCAAAATTTACTCGTACTACGCTTTCTAATCTTTTGCATTTTCAAGCTATATCCAATGCTTGCTGTATTTTGTTATTAATTACGTCACACAGTTGCCGCAGAACATCACTTGCTTAATCTTCATTAGTGATTTGTTGATAGAATAGCTGATACGCAACACTGTAGAGATATATCATCGTTGGATCAGATGAGAAACCACATGTAGACAATGACTGGCTTTGAGTAGTCAAAAAGACAGACAGTGCAACAAAGGGATCGAGTGGTTCTTGCAATTGGTTTGTAATGAGATATGCTTTGTGAATGAAATAGCAGGCTTTTGACCAAGGATGATAATAATAGTATTGAAGTAGATAATTTTGATGACCGCATACCCTTGAACGGCTGCTGACCGTATAGTGCAGATTGTTAATCACAAACGTGACCACAACGGGAGGAGACAAGTGTTCATGCTGCTTCAGCAGTGACACAAAATATGACATCAGTCGAAGAGCAAACTTATCATCAGCATTGTATTGGATTTCAATTAATACAGGTGGCAAAGTGTTGTTTGACAGAAAAGGAACATCAGATCGAGTTCTATCGGCCCATTCTGTTGGCTATGGGGTGTACTTGTCTTTTGCTTTTGGTCCTAACAATCACCAAATAGTACAGTGAGCAAACAGAATCATAATATAGTAGAACTATTTACCAATCAACTTTTCGACAATAATATTGGTAACTTTAACATCTTGCAGGACGGTTGTTGTAAGGAAGAAGGACAATGCCACAGGCGTCGTTTTCGGATTGCATTCAGATGTTACCAGATAACTGAGATAATACCAATACTGGATAACATATGGGAAAGGGAGAGAATCAATTCATCAGGTTTTACTTTGACACTACTAGGTATTCTTTTGGTTGTAAACTCGATTCTCGCGGCAGAATAATTTAAGCGATAGCTCTCTCCCTTTCTTATTTGAAATAGTCTATTTATTTTGTTATGATTGCCCATGTTATGCAGGCGAGGCTCCGGTAAACTTGGAAGAAGTTGTAGAAATTCTAGCCATTAGCAACTCTTTTTCCAGAAATTTATTTCGCTTAACTTTGCTCTTAACGACCGACCAAAACTGCTCAACTGGATTCAATTCAGGAGAATACGGAGGAAAATATACATATTGGTATCCACGAGAGTGAATATACTTTCCTATATCCGTTGAGCTATGAATAGGGGCATTATCCATGGCAAGATAATGTCCTTTCATTTCTGGATACCTGTCCATTTCATCAAGGGTAGCCTTTAGAAAGCTCAAATAATGCCTTGTTACTGTTCCTATGCTATAAGCATCAGTTTCATGTCCTCTTGATACGCTTTGGAACTCTCAAACTAACATTAATTAAGCCACTAGCAGATATGGTACCTAAAATCGATGTTGCGTTTGCTTTCGTTGTGGGTACTGTAACTATTGCAGGAGTTCCCTTCTTTAGCCAAGTCATACCTCGTTTCAAATTGATATGAAAGGCTGATTCATCAAGAAAGACGCAATTTGTTGTGAAATCCAAGTCGGTTTGCTGCCACTTTTGTACTCAATCGTACCTTTGTTGTATCTTTTCTTTGCTATTTCTTTCTACAGGCTCAACCCCGTTCTCATCAACAATATGCTCCTGTCCATCTTCGTAAAGAAACTGCATATTTATTCTGAATATCTGTAAAATATAAATAGGAAAAAGAAAGCAAAAACACCACTTCAAAATCGCTCTCCCATTATAACAAGCAAAATGCCAAGAATGCTATTGGATAATTACTAAGCGACAAGCAAAAGTAACCGGCATTTGAACACAACTTTATTTTTGGATCAACCGACGACGTTCTTGAATATGAACTTTTTTGCATGATATCAAACTCAAAACCAGCGACTTTACTTTTTGAAATGACTGTATCTTTATTACTACAAGATTTATAGAATGATTGAAAGTAGAATGATGGAGTCTAATGCAATGTGTATATGTAAAAGAAGTTAAGCCTTGTAGAAAGGATAGTCTATGTAGCCTTCAGGACCATGAGTGTAAAAGGTGGATCTGTCATACTTGTTCAATGGCCAATTGTTACGAAGGCGTTCAGGAAGATCAGGGTTTGCAATGAAAGCACGGCCAAAAGAGATCAGGCTTCCATGCTTTTGAGCGTAATCGATAGCCTTTTTAGGAGCAGTGGAGTAACCATCAGAGGCCATAAAAGGGCCCTTCCAGATCTTGCGATAAGGTTCTAATGTATCTTCAGTAAGTATATCTTCATCACTTTGGATGTTGGCACGAGCTTGGATAAAATGAAGGTAGGCCAAGTCAGGATGGTTCTTTTGAAGTTGAGAGGTCAAGTAGCTCCAGGTTTCGACAACGGTCTCATCTCCCATATCTTGGAAAGACCCACCAGGTGAGAAACGGATGGCGGTACGGTCATCACCAACAGCGTCAGCGACAGCATCAACCACTTCGAGAGCAAAGCGAGCACGGTTCTCGATACTTCCACCATATTCGTCAGTACGCTTGTTGCTGTTGGAATTGATGAATTGATCAACAAGGTAACCATTAGCACCATGGATCTCGACACCATCAAAACCAGCTTCAATTGCGTTCAAGGCAGCTTGGCGGAACTTTTGGACCCATTCTTTGACCTCAGGCACAGTCAAAGCGCGTGGTACTTCATGCTCACTACCACCAGCAAAGTAGTTGATGCCTTTAATAGGGATGTCGGAGGCAGAAACAGGCTGTTCACCATTGGGATTCAATTTGCGAGAGCCAGCACGTCCAATGTGCCACAGTTGTAAGTAAATGATAGCACCCTTTTCGTGAACAGCATCTGTCACTTTTTTCCAGCCTTCGATTTGTTCCTTGTTGAAAATACCGGGCGCTTGAATGTATCCACCTGCTAAAGGATCAATGGAGGTAGCCTCTGTGATCAAGAGGCCGCCGTTGCTTGCTCTTTGTTTGTAATATTCAACAAGAAGATCATTAGGGACAGCTTCGAGAGTAGCTCTTGTACGAGTTAAGGGAGCCAAGACAACACGATGTTGAAGTACATGTCTTCCGATCTTGATTGGGTTGAAGAGAGATTGAATAGTCATTGTAGAGATGAATTGAGTGTGTTTAATGATAAAATGAGACTAAAAAAGAAAAATTGGACTCTTTTATATGTAATTTGTTGCATACTGTTCAGCACGGAAAAAAGATTTAGGATCAAGGGGAGCTTGAGCCCTAAAAAGGAAAGTACGCCATTCTTTTCTTTTTGAAGAGCAATACTACGGGCGCTTCCTCTAGACATTACCTATTATATCACTTTACAAACTCACACTATCAAAATCTCTACCTAATCTAAGGTTGTTCAGTGGAATATCCTTTGACATGAAATACGAATTTATCACCATAACACGTGAATGATCTTGACTGGTATATTTGTTGATCAAATCCGTACAACACAAAATTAAAATACAGCAATAAAAGCATTTTTATATCTCTTCTTCTTGAAAATAAGCAAACCAAGATGGATACTTTATAATTTTTATTCTACGTCAAAGAACATAAGAATATTTCAGTTCCTGTACAATCCTATTGTGATGTCACACATTGGAAAGTTTTGTTAACAACACCACAGGTAGTGCCATCTCATGGGCTTCCTTGTGCGCGTAGTGTACACCTAAAATTATGCTTGAAAGAACGATTGTAACTTTGTATATCATAGACGCGTTTTAATATGCTATGCGGGCTACTGAAATTGTTCTAAATAGAGATTTATCTTTATCAAAATTGTCCTGAACAGCCTGTTTTAAAACCAGTGATACTTGAAAGCGAAGTTTATATCGAAATTCGAAGATGAAGAAGAGTAAAATATACCGTGTATTTTATAAACTAGATTCACTGACGTTAAGCTGCTTTTGTCTTGAGCAATTAAAATGAATCAAGAGCATTTTCCTGCCGCTATTCATGCCAAATGACCCTCCCACTGAGCAGGGTAAGTATTACTAAACTTTGCTTTAAAAAGCTACCCTTTGGCGTTATGTCGAGCATCTTTGATTACTATTATTATTAAATCTCTCAGCGAAATTACTAATTCATGTTCCATGATGTATTTCTTGTATTGTATTACGTTCAAGATATTTCAATGAGTGCATGGACATAGAATTTTTAATGAGCTTAGATTATCTCTCAGTTTCTATAGTGTCTTCAAGTTTTCTACACAGGGGCACACACACACACAGACATCCAGCCATTTCGGTGGCCGATCATTTGCCCGGTCGCTCAATGGAATCTATTGCTTATCAATTTTTTAGGTACACTTTTCTTCGTCTTTCATTCGCTGAACAGTCTTCTCTCTCTCCTTCCTCGACTTTTACAGTGAGAACGGTAAATTTTGTCACTTTGAGAAAATTAAAAAAAAAAAGAAATGTCACAATAAGTTAAATCAAATTGACCTAAAAATGATATATATTTTTTGACTTCGTAATGATTAAGATTGAGTTTTGTTATAACATTGAATGATGTATCGTTTAGAAAGACTGGCAAAGTTGTAAAGAATTTCAGCAGGTATGGCATTACATGCCTCAGCAATGCTATCAGACAATTTTCCTTCAGTCAACAGTTTGTAGAGTTTCGATTTTCCTTTTAAGATTGCTTAAAACTGTTCAATTGGGTTTAAATCAGGCGAATATGCAGGCAGACACATCAGCTTGTAGCCACCACATTAGATTTTCCTCATCAACCGGTCCATTTCACTGCTTTTGTTTAGAGTTTAAAATGAATACCGTCTCTCGTGAAGAAGCATGTTGCATCTTTTTTTGTAAAAAATTTAATGAAGAGAATGTTAAAATCTGTACAGAAAGAGTAGAAAAATGGTGGAAGCTGAAATTTGCTACCGAAGTAATCCAACTGAACCAGAGCTTGTTTGTGAAGCACGAATATTTGGTGCCCCAAGTTTATTCAACGTACAAATCAAAAGAAGAAATAGAAAAAAACCACGAAGAAATTGAAAAGAACAAAGATGGAAAGGAAGATATCTTGTTTTGTAAGCCAAAATAATTGCGAGAAACGAAATCTTTGTTAATTACATTAAAATATAGGCAATGACACGCAAATTGTAGATTTTATAAACTATGTATTTCGACCACATGTAGAATTTTTGCCAGACTCTCCGTACAAGCTAGATTATGTATGTGATAAAGAAATTTTAGGAGCTGTTTGGGCTTTTACAAAAAAATTCGATAAAACTACATCTTTGGCATTCAGCAAATGGTTGAACAAGCAAAACGTCGATTTTTTATCAGAAGAGCCAGAACGTAAATTAGTAAAAGGAGACGCAGGCGACGAAAAGATAAGAGACGCCATTTAAATGTTTTGAATAGCGTATATTATGGTAAAGCTCGTAAATGGCATCGCAAATAATCAAATAAATTAACTCCAGTTCTGTAGCTGGCCTTGTGAAAAACATTGTAGATATGATACCAAGACACCATGCTTATATAAACCAATTGAAAAATGACGGATATCACGTTGTCGGTTATTGTAGAAAGTCCAAAACACAAAGTAGCAATCGAGCAACTCTATTGCAAAGAATGGTTGACATATTACGACAAAGGTCGCTCGTTGAAAAAGTTTTCGTCTCACCTTCCAGCAGCGTAAAAGAAAGTTTTTATAAACGAGACTTTAATGATCAAGATATTTTATCGGAATTAGATCAAGTTAATGGAAATACTCAAGGTAAAAAGCTAAATATTATACGGCCAACCACATTTTGAAAATCAATTATTCTGTAGATTTTTTAACTTTTATTCAAGAAAATGATAAAGTTTGCGTCGTTGCATTGGATTATGCAGGATTCACCACCAGTATGACTGATTTGAAAAATATTTTAAGGCAAGTAAGCAAACAATATAAAGTCTAAAAAAACTGGACAAACAATCTTGTAGAAACAATCCCAAATTGCAAAAAATTATCATTGACTTGTATTTCTACGAAAATCAATTCAAAGTTTTTGACAGAGAGCAATTATTGAATAATGTGAACGACTTAAAACTATTCAACTGTCGTCCTAATTACAGACAACGAAGTAAATAGGTGACTTAACTGATTTTAAAGTTAGAATGACTACTCTCGGTGTCAATAAATTCATACTTTTATTGTTTGATTAAAGAGTTTTCTATCAAAAATGAGCTAGTACTATATCTCTTGTATTTTAAAGGTTCAGAATCAATTTTCTCGTTACAAAGCAATATAGGTTGCAGTGGATCATTGTCGTAGCAAATGTCGACATCTTCAAAAGTTTCCATTCTTTTTAAAAGCTTTTTTACGTTAGATTCAGTGTATTTATGGCAAAAAAAAATACATATCGCCTGCTCTCTGGCTATATTCTTGGCCATTAGTTAGCAACCAATGTTGGTTGGAGTTGATGTTATTAGGAAAAGGGCCGGTTGATTTTTTTTTTTTCTAAGCAGTGAAATGGACCGGTTGATGAGGAAAATCTAATGTGGTGGCTACAAGCTGATGTGTCTGCCTGCATATTCGCCTGATTTAAACCCAATTGAACAGTTTTAAGCAATCTTAAAAGGAAAATCGAAACTCTACAAACTGTTGACTGAAGGAAAATTGTCTGATAGCATTGCTGAGGCATGTAATGCCATACCTGCTGAAATTCTTTACAACTTTGCCAGTCTTTCTAAACGATACATCATTCAATGTTATAACAAAACTCAATCTTAATCATTACGAAGTCAAAAAATATATATCATTTTTAGGTCAATTTGATTTAACTTATTGTGACATTTCTTTTTTTTTTTAATTTTCTCAAAGTGACAAAATTTACCGTTCTCACTGTATTTTTCATTGCACATCTTTTTAAGAAACTCTTGGCTTTCTTTTTACTTTCCTTTTTGATGTTGTTAAGATGGATTTTTATTGGTTGTTTTACTCGACCTAATAGTTTGAGCTAACTGAATTCCCTCTATAGTCAACCCACTCGAAACGTAAACACTTTTAGAATAGCTGGTCTAAAAACAAGTTACCAATCATGTCAAATGAATTCAACATAAAGCTGACTTAATATTCCCTGGCAATGCATTCAAAAAACTGCGCTAAAGATGAGTTTTACTTTTCAGTTGTGATAAACGGAAATATTCCTTTTTCACTGTTTATTCTAACTTATGATAATATCTGTGCTTTCTATAGCTTCCTACTAACTTTTAAAGTAAAAAAAAAACTCAACATGGCATAATATTTACTCTTTGGTAAGGATGATGTGCCTTTGACACTTTTTTAAAGAGGAACAGAGACAATATTATCGATAAAATATTTAACACGCATTTCCTTTTATCCTTCTAAAGTAACATCTTTTTTGAATAGGAAAAAACAAAGGCATCTAAAAATATCTCTCGTGTCATATTTTTGCTTTCACAATATCACCAGTGAAATGTGTGATCAATGAGCAAGGGAGGGGGGAAGTGTCATGATAGGAGAATCAAGTACTTCTTTATTCTCTCTTTTGTGAAACAGATCTTATAAGCATCGATCTTTAGATTGGGCAACATGAGCCATGATTGAATGAGATGATAAAGGAGTATGTTTATTTCTACAGATGATATATATTTATATATTACATGTTTTATAACTTAGTCATCAATTTGCCAAGTATCATTTGCATTCTTCTTGTTTAATTCAAGGTCATGATGCTTGCGTTTATTTGCTGCACCTCTTTGAACATAAGGTTGAAGACCCTGACCAAAGTTTTTCATGCAAAGGGAACCAAGCACAATGGTAACGATGTCGATGACCATACCCATGATGACTACAAGAAGCATTAGTCTTATTCATAGACAAATAAAAGTAACAACTTACTGAATACGATCCATGTGTACCAATTATTTTCTGGTTGAAAAGTGTCTTTCAAGATGATACAAAAGTGTGCAATGACAAGAAATTGAAATATGATGAATATGATCATTCTTGCTTTACTCTCTGTACTTCCTGCTGTTCTTGCAAAATATAAGAATGGGAGCATCAGGACAGTGACGACAATTTGAACCCAAGTATCGGCTTGTTTGATAGTGTTCTGGATGCCTGCTTCTTTTGCATATTGAATAAGATAGAATAATGAGACTAAAAACTCGGTAAAGATGTTGACTTTTAAGCATAACACGAAGAATTGAAATACTCTATACATTTCTATATACAAAATGGTCAATATGTGATATAACCACTCCTTTTATCAAAATACTTACTTTGAATACGAACATCTGCACCAATCTTTTTATAAATATTCCAACCAAATTGCTTCGACATTTCAAAACTTAGATAGCACATCACGATAGCAAAGGCCATAATAGTGACAGATAGTGCAATCTCGATCTTTTCGGCTATTTCCAGATGAAAATAAGGAGAAGTCGTACTCTTGAGCAGCCTTAACCATTTGGCACCATCGACAACTTCAACTGCACCCAAGATGGCACATAAGAAATTAACGACAGCTAAAATTAATATTTCCGCTGTGTTTTGATAAACGGTCTAGACACAAAATGTTTAATCATCTTTTTTTTTTTTGATCTATACATCATCTATACTTTACTGCATCCACAGCCATGCCAAAGAACCAAAACTGGAAACCCATAAATGCGATATTCTCCCATTTAATTCGATTTAGTCTATAAGCAGCCCTCTGGGGTATCATGTCAGGACTTGTTGCTGTTGACTGTAATACATTAGATTGAACATGTGGTAATAGATCTGCTTCCATGGTATTTTGTGAACAGATGATAGCTTGGAGTGTGACAATAAAGATACATTGTATTAATGCCATGGATACATACAACTTCGACCAGCGAGTTTCTGTTATACGTGTAATCTTGAAGACATTAATATCTTTATTATGTTTAGTTTATACAATATTTACAACTTTATCAAAAGTAACCATTTTGTGCAAATCCAGTTGCTTATATCAAAAAAAAAAAAAAAAATAAGAAAAAAAAAAAGAAAAAAAGGGGGGTCTGAAAAGAGAAGTGCAGTAAATAAATAAATATTTCAATATTTATTGTGTTACATTGGCCCTCCATTTATATGATCCCCCGACTATTTTTTCCCTTTTTTTGCCATTGAAATGCAAAGATTTCATTAAAACAAAGCCTCATTTAATTCAATAGCAGATTGTCTATTTAAAAATAGAAAGAATAGATCATCAAAAGGGGATAAAGAAGAAGTAGTTTATTAAGTACAATTGTTCCTCTTCTCCATATTTCTAAAGTGTATTTATATAATACAAAGCTTATATATTATTATTCTTCATGTGTAGATTGATCAATGGATAACTGTAACTCTTTGATTGCATCCTTCAACTTATTGATCCATTCTGGTTCTGATTTACTAATACAAATTTGTGATGCCGCATCATTCTTATTTTCTACTATTATATGATGCGTTTCATTCCACACTTCGATCTCTGGACTTAAGTGATCAATACCCAAATCTACCTTTCGTCGTTGTTCAGGATGATGTGGATGATGAAGTAGATGAGGATGATGTGTTTCAAATATTTCTTTTAATGTGTCTAATGTTCTTTGATTGCCTCCTTCCGCGTTGATCGGTGACTCGGTACTTGCTTTACGTTCAGCAGGTTCCTTATTTCTACGGAACAGATTTCGTAATCCTCCTCCTCCTCCTGCTGATGATGTTTCCTCGGTTTGTACTGCATGATCTGTAGGCTTATTTCTATTCATCCAACTCTTAAAACTTGATACACTTGCCTCGTTTCTTTCAATGTTGGTATTGTACGACGTACTCATTCTTGGGTTCACAGGTTCGAGGAACCGAATGCTTTGTGGTTCAGTCCCTGTAGGTTGTATATGCTTTGGCTTGGACTGATCGCTCGTTCTACCTGAATCAGTGCCTACCTCTGTCTCATCAGATTCGTCAGGTAAGAAATCTTCTTCTGGCAAATTATCTTCTTCTTCTTGCATCTGGACAGCATAGCTATTAGGTGATGCCTCTGGTGGTTGAGGTTGATTTGTATTTCTCAGCGTGTTTCTCTTCAATTGACTCATGGCTTCCTTATTTTCAGCCTGTTGTTGTATATTTTCCTCGCTTCGTCGACTAAAACTGATCTGTTGACCAAACTGAAGCTTAGGTAATCGAAGCACCTGTCCACCACTGCCTGTGCTGGCAATCGAGAGTGTTCGTGTACGAATACGGTTACCGATCTTGAATAATGGAATCGTCGTGCCATGCACAAGGGTAGATGAAAGGACGATAAAGAGCACGACGGGCCCGATCAATTCGATTGTCACTGGCTGTGTCTCTGACTCGCTATAGATTGCAGTCATTTCTTCTTTGGCAACAATCGATAAAAAGACGGCACCAACACCCATAGGACCAAACCAGCCACTGAATACGGCTTCTCGGTATGTCTTCATCGACGGCATCACAGGCTTTAGGAGAATTAAAATGGGGAGTCGTCTAAAGACAAGGATCAAGATAGCAATGACAACTAAACGCCAAGGGGCTAATCCTATGGCAGAGTTACCAAACTGGGACCAAGGCTACATAAATGTGTTACACGATGATTATTCCACTACATGTTCAACTTACGATGATGGCACCAATGTACACAAATACGGCTAAATTGAGCATCATATCAATAACCTCTTGAAAGTGAGCTTCCTCTGTTTCCTGTCTGAACCAATCATCCCATGAGAATGCATTGCCTGCGACAAAGCATGCTAATAGATCATCACTTCCAGAGAATCCCGTCATGCTCATCAAGAACAACTACAACATAAAGTGAGATTTCCCAAGTATTATACATGTATTTACTTACAGCCAAAGCAATACCAAAGCAAAGAAAGGATGGTTTATCGATCAAATGACTTTAAGAGTTATTTTCTTATTCTATATAATAACATTTGAATGAGACTTACTTTCTTTCTGACCATTGCAAAATCTTTCTAGCGATATAGCCAACGACAAGCCCAATAATACAAGAAAGGGCGATTTGAAAGAGACAAGTGATATAGATCCATTTACCAATTGCAGTACCTACATTATTTTCACTAATTAAGAATAATGCCAAAAATAGAAATGGGAATCCCATGCCGTCATTAGCTCCACTATACAGAAATAAGTATATGTTGATGGTGTAATCTATAGTCTTGGTGTACCTTTCAGCAGAGAGTGCATTTCGAATATGTGCTGGTACATGCTTTTCGGCAAAGCGACCTTTAACAACAGAGTTGGCCAAGATCTATTGATAGATGAGTAAACAGTTTTCTTTTTTTTTTTTTCTATCTCTTACTGGATCAGTTGGACAAACACAGGCTGCGATGACGAGTGCGTTTAACTATCAATGGTCAGTAAAGATGTTACACAATCTCCATAGTCATCTCTCTTTACATAATTGATAGGTGGAATCATCCACCAGATGAATAATCCGCTAATTAACCACATAAAGATCATAGTAGGTACCAAGAGCATAAACATAGTCAACCATTCTTTTTTCATATAGTATCTAGGCAACGAATATAAATAAATATAAATCAAGGGAGGAAAAGGAGGGGGCGATGCTTACTTTGGTAATTCAATACCGACGGCCAAGACCTAAATTTTGAAACAGTAAGAATAAAGATAATTGTAGATTGCTTTCTTTTTACTTGGATTGCTAAAATACATCTTGTTAACTCTTTGGTTATCTCGTCATGATCTGCCCAGCTAAGTGGATCAAATCCATTAGATACCAATGGTCCTGCAATAATACCCACAATAAGGGCAACGACTAATAAATAGAGTCAATAAGAGAGAGTGATTGATTGAATTGGATATTTACAAGCTTCTGATAAAAAACATCTTTCTTTTACAAACATAGACACATATCCAAAGAATAAAGTAAAGCCACTTAGAATAGCAATGGCAATTGTGAATGTTGAGAATTCACCAGGTATAACATGGAGTGCCATTACGTTTATGTAAAAAAAAAAAAAAA